CGCTCCTATAGATCACAGCGTTAGCTTATACAGTATTCCTAGTAGTTCCTAATATTAGCGCGTTAAAACAAACAAACAAACTATTCAACTTTATAATACATAATATAAATTTAAATTGTACACTACTATAGCTACGATAGTGCCAAACAAAATCATATTCCGCTCTAAAATAGAATATGTAAACAAACACCTGAAAAAATTGCCGCAATCTCCGCTGTGGACAAGCTATTTCGAGATTGGAGTATGGTTTTACTTGCCAAAACCCCACGCACCACGTTGGCGCTCAATAAGTCAAAGACCTGAGAAATAAACTTGCTAATCATGACAGATTTCATGCGGTGGAAAATTTATTGAAAATAAAATTGTAATGCGCATTGAGAGCAACAAAAAATACTCTTTGAAAAATCGTAAGATTCATAAAATTATTCAGTAATTTACATTAGGACGAAAGAGAGGTTAAGACGACGTGGTGGAAAAGATGTTTATTTGTTATCATCTGATTGTGTATTATCTTGTTCGAACATAAAGATCAGAAAGATTTAAGTATATGAATTTCAAGTTCGTAATACCTACTTACCTATAAAAATTTATTTGTTTATTTGATATTAAAGATAGTGTGCTATTTCGCATTTTACTCTATATCTATAGGGTAGTAGTAGCTCAGTTGGTAAGATCACAACACCTAAAGCTGTGGTTTTTTCGCTTTAGGTTCGATTCCGTCCGTGTATTAATGTTTTATCTAAATTAAAATAAAGCCACCATACACTTGCATATGTATGAAAAACATATAAAATGGATTATAAAAATATACTACAAAATGTATGACAAAGAAAATAAATGTGCTTGGACGAATGTTGTAGGTATGTTGTTCCATTCTTGAATGATCTGAATGTAGAAATTTGATTCTAGATGCCCGGGGAAGAAATTCTGCTATTTAGGGTTGTAATTGTGGTCGATGGCATTGCATGTATTATTTGGTATTCAAGCATAATAACTAATTAATGTTTTCATAAAAGAATTTTTAAGTTGAATAGTGTTTTTCCACTTTCGACCTCCTGCTAATCTATCATCATATAGCGGTTTGGCAGAATTGGATCTACCTAGTATTTTATCATAATAACAATGCGTTCATAACAAGAAGCTCATAAATAACAGTCTACAAGAGTAAGTTCTGCATCATAAATCAAAACTAGATGTATTGACTGACATATTCTACGTTCTAACTTATAAAATTCAGGGCCGTAACAAAACATTGACTTAGCACGTGACGAATTTACAAAAGAGTTTTATCGACGTTTTACGCATTAGCTTAGTTTCGCTAAAAATATTTTAACGAGAAAACATGAATAACTCTTATCATAACTGTTAATTAAAATTGTACTTGCAATTGTTCGGTTGCAAGTCTAATTTTGCAGTATAAAGTTAAATGTTATATTATTAAATTACTAGAAAGCGATGATCACGTTTACATAATTACTTGAATAAAAACAAGTAAACAATTCGATAACGCCTTTTATCTGATTAACACAGCGATGTGATTGTTATAAGTTGTATTGCGTAACGCTGGTATTCCAAAGTGAATATTGTCTTTAAGAAAAACAATGAAGCGTCGCGTGTTACCTTCCCTCAAGATAATCGTCAACCTTGTTGAAAACTGTCTTGTACCGAGTACGTAACAATCAACGTTAGCCCTGAAACTAGTTTTAAACGGCTTAACAAAAGATTTTACCAAATATTCCCGCAACGGAACTCGCATCAACGTCCTAGAGAGGTAAACACTTTTAGAATCTTTCACTCTTAATTATTATTTAGTTTCACGGCGTTCCGATGTGTTTGGTCTTATGTTTGCTTGTCGACTGAACGCGCTAGCTGGCACGGTTACAAATATACATGCTTTTGTGTTTAACACAATCAAGAACGTCACGCGTCGACTACTGTCAAGCTATCTTGTTTGATGTGGGATAATCATTTTAAGCTGATTATGCATTTTACTGATCTATAGTTTAGACTGTGTTAATGACCCAAACGTCGGACCAGGTAGTGCATTCGACTTTTGATCGTCTGTCGGGAGTTTGATCTTCGGTGCGAAACGATATGTATCGTAAAATCGCGAGCACTCCTCAATTCATTCGACGTTACCAACGCGTTTAGCAGCGTCATATCTTTGTACCTTTTTTTAAATTGAGGAGGTTGTTGGGCTTTTTGTGTTTGGTATAATAGGGTGCGTTTGTAACCACAACGCACCCTATTACGTTTTTGGTCGTTAAGAAATACTTTTTGCACTAATTAGTCCAAAGCTTCCCACGGACTCTAAAACTGAGTGAATCTATGTCTTAGAAATAGTTTTTGCGCGATTAGTATGCATGCACTAGGACACTCGTTGCAACTGATCTAAGGATACGCTTTTACAATTATTAAAATCCTAGCTGCGCCCACGTCGATCGCATCCCCTCGTTCTTGCAAGTTAATAATAAAAAAATAGATATATTATACTCTCGCGGACATTTTTCTAGATTATTTAGAGAAGTTTTCTTTCAAACGTATTTTATGGTTTCTTGAATCGTTTTCGCAGCGCACGCAATGGAGCCTTCGAGTTGAATAATTCTCCCCGTTTTTACCACATTTCCCACTGTTTTTCCCTCCTATTGGTCGCAGCGTGGTGTTTATATAGCCCAAGGCCTTCCTCGATAAAAAGTATATCCAGCACATAGATGTTTTTTATTGGAACCAGTAGTTACTGAGATTAGCGCGTTCAAACAAACGAACGAACTCATAACGATTTTTAATATTGGTGTAGATTTCATTGTTTTCAAATTTTTACCTTAAGGTAATACGAGTACTTGATAAGTATATCTACGTCAATATACATATGTACTGTCGCGTAAACTATAGACAGTAGTTAGGTACTGAACTGTCCATGTTCCGTACCATTATACCTATAGTCAGTGAGTAGAGTTCTATTTTATAGTATAACATATATATAACATTCTAAACGTCTTGCAGACAAATTAACTATTGAGATCTTTGATTGAAATACTTGATTAATCAAACTGTAAATAATTCTTGGCTCCATATCTAACGTCCTTTCTTCGAGAATGTCTTCTGTCAGCCATGATCGATGATATTAAGAACAATTAATTAATTTGCACCCATATTATAAATGTAGCCTAGATATGCCAGAATAAATACAAAAACAATTAATTGGCAGAGTGACTTTCGGTGGTGTTGGATTTTTAGAATAGGTTTTTTTTTTAAGATAGACAGTCATGGCATGGGGTTCTTGATGGTAGGAGATATACCCCCGCAATCTAACCTAGATGCGCTGTTGACTTATATGGCTTTGGATATTCGGAAATCCACAGACTGAAACCGAATTGCGATTTGGCTTCAAGGCGTTTGATCTGTGGACAGTGGTTCCTGACCCGGACGAAATTTATATATTCCTACCATCCATTCAATATCCAGACTTCCAGACGAAGTACACCATGTTTCAGAAAAAATACAAAACCTGGTGGAGATTGAATCCACGATCCACGAGCCATACGATGCTACCATTAGACCATCAAAAGTTTGAAATGAAAATTGAATTGAAGAAAAGTAGTTAAAATATTATACACATTAGTATTTCATTTCATTTACAGCTTAGTCGGCGTTATTCATAAATAATCTTTGTATCATTGTCGATAGAATGTTAATATACCTGATATTAATAGATAAGATAACATTTTTTGGTTTTAAATTATAACCAATTTAATAATATTGCGGTGGATAGTTAGACCGTATAACCTAGGTAGGTATGTATATTAACAATTTTTGCGACTCAAATATAAGTTTATAGAAAATCGAATGTCTAGAACTCTAGACAATGAGCAATTTGATAACAATATTTGGAGCACAAACACCACAGAGTGATCAAAATTAGCACCATCCGCTGATAACAAAGATAAGGTTTACTAAAATTATCTAGGTATTTTGAACAAATTCCAAAGACTTTTCTATTAAAATTTTGAGCATATTTCATACGTCACTTTGGCATTTAATTAACACAACTTTATATGTCTTTAAAGTTAGTCATAGCCTGTTTGAACATAATATGTGTGTTTGTATATGTGCTGTTAAATTTTCAAACATAGCTAGGAATGTTTTACTAATTTTCTATATAAAGAAATTACTATCGGTCTAACCTTGTGTATAGTTTACACGAGTACTTACAACACATTAAATAAAACACTTTAAAACCTTGTTAAACTAATTAAAAATTTGTTAACTAAGATATTTTGCGATTCAAACGGTGAAGTGTTTTATTCTAATTTTTGAAACCCATTTATCAGCTTTGTAGGTAGGTACTATTAGATTATTCGTTTTATAAAATGTATTGTTTTATTGTAATAACCACGCCGTCGTGCGTTACACGAACTAATCAATATATACCTACGTAACTCAGGATGTTAAAAAGGTTTACAATAAAATCGATTTTTTATTTGAAAAAGTATTCTTAATGCCCATACTGACATTCGACAATTTTATTAATATAAAAACTGTAATCCATAAAAAAAGATTCTAAGATCTATAGATTTTTCACAGAATAATATGAAAAAGCTAACATTTTATCTGAAAACGTGTTTATATTTCGCCAGCTGACTGGTTTATTGATCGCGCTACCCTACCGCGGAGGGACACAATATGTCTTCACACTTATATTACAGTACATCTAGCATGTTTTAAGCAAACTCATCTAAGTACTTATTAGACGTTCTATAATAAAAGGTTTACCTTTTATTGTAGAAATACTTAGAATATTTTTACAGCTTGTTTTCTTGTGTTAAAAGCACTTACCGGTGTTTATGTATTCACAAGTAATGTGTGTTAACTGAAAATAACGCAATACCCAACATATGTATCTAAGGATGTATAAAACAATTAATTAATTGCAACTCCGCACCATGTGTTATTGATAACATTAATCAAAGTAACTAGATTAAGTAACAGAATAAACAAACCTATTCGTTTATTTAGATGCGGCGTGCCCCTCGCATGTTCCTCTTCCTCTACGTCGACATCGAAGGAAAACGGAAAACTCTTTGTCGAACCGACAAAGCCCGCGGCCATAGCAACAAATTTTACATTCGCGACGCACCACTCTCTATGATGACTCGGGCGCTACTGCCGTACTTCGTAACTGGAAGGATGCTATCTTGATATTAATTCTCCTGCTGTCATGTAATGAGTCAATAGTGTATGTATATAAGGACATTCCTATCACCCTCTTGCTTTTAATCGATCAAGAAAACGGGTTAAGAAATGGGCTAGAATATTAATTTAAGCTTAGTTGACAATTAATTTCATTTATGACTTAATTTGTAAGTAATAAATGATAACAACATATATTAATCTAATCATAGACTCTTCTAGGAAGGGGAGCGTAACCAAAAAATAGTACAACTATTAATTGTTATGTAGACACAACATAGACATAGTTATTCGAAATGTAGGTAATTTAGTAGTTAGTAGGCTAGGGCCGTTCGCCTCTAAGTCTAAGATATGTTTATAACAATAGTTGTAGGTATATAAAAAAGTCAATTGACACGTTCTTCTTACCCTTAATTTAAAATCCATTATAAAAAATGAATATAAATTATATAAAGAATACTTTTGAATTCCAATTCGATTTTCAAGTTCAATCCACAACATTGCTAATTAATGCCCACAGGATAGAAATTGGTCCAGATTAGAATAAATCAAAGAGTGGAAATTTACTGAATTTGTATATTCTGTTGTTATGTAAGTGTATTGGGATTAGTATAGGAATGAATGTAGGTAATGTTTAATAGATTTATCTTTGAAGTTTAGATATTAAAATACATGATATACATACAAATACATGTGACTTTTTTAGACACACTTTTTTGATGTAAAAATGAAATACAATCTCTCTTTAAATTATCATTTATTACCTAAAAGCAGTGGTTTAGTGATTAATAAATACGGCTAATGATTTCACTTCTTGGCTGCGGCCTGTTCATCAATGGGGTCCAGTTTTGGATCCTCGAACTTAAAGCTTGGGAATGCTGTCATGTCTACACCAGATCCTCCACCGTACTGACGTTCAAGTTTTTCCAATTCAGTTTTAAGTTCCTTTTCTACTGCAGGGCTGGCACCAACAAGTTTGCCTCCGCTAAAAGAATTGAAAAATTATTAATACATGAGTATACTGTTAGAATTCAATGATTTATTTGGACATATTATGTATTTTGGTAATCCATGCCATATAGATAATCACATGAAACATGGGTTGAATAATTATGGGGCTTAAAATAATGAACATCAATCAAGAAATATCATGATGTAACAGCTATTTGGAGTTAAATCTCATAGCAATTGAAAATTACTGATATCATGAATACTAAATACTAATTATCAAACATACATTGTTAAGAAATTATACATGGACATAAATTTAATTTTATGATTAAGGTAAGATTAATTTTAGTACATACAACATGTTTTTAAGATTATTTGTAGGTTCATTGATAAATAACTTCACATTGTACTTCTCACTTATCAAATACCTTACAACATCAATTAATGTGAATAATTTCAAATTAAAGGATAATCGGTTAGTTTTAAACATACAATAATTATATATTATTTATTAAGGAGGAAAAAGATAATTCATTTTCATTTTTCCATCAAATCAGTACTTTCTCCCATATTATAGTCCAGACTTGTAATTGTAAGAATCAACAGATTTTCGTGATCCAAAAACAATGCAGGCCCATCATTTTATCATAATCACCTCCAGAAATATATGCAATTAGTAAATTTTCATAAAGAAACAAGTAACTCACGCGCTCTTCTGTTTGTATTCCCTGATTTTATCCAGAAAAAGCTGTTGAATTGGGTCGGCAGCCTTTGAGGCAGCAGCTAGATTTCTGGTAACAATAACGGAAGTACGTGCAGCACGAAGACCGCCAAGAACAGATGATGTGATCATCTAAATCAATCATAACCTTTTAGAACCATTACATAACTGTAAAATATACGGTAACTGTCTTCTGCTACATAAAAAATTGCACATGTTGTAAATAATATAATGTGAAAAAAATAATATATCCAATTATTTATATTAAAAAATATTACAAACCTTTGTACAATAAATTCCCTAATTTACAATAAAATTATTTAACACTGCTTTAAGTGATTATGAATTATCATGAACTAGAAGTTAATTGTCATCTCTAATGTCATGGCGGATCTATGACATTGACACATAATTTTTAACTATCCCTTATGAATGCTATATTAAAAATTTTAAAATAAATCTATTTCTGAAAACATCTATACATTATTAATTAAAATTGACATTTAATATGGTACAAACGAAGATTTTTTTATTTTGTAAAAGATATTTTTTTTCAAAAAGGCAACACTGCAAACATACAATGTTTCCGGATCCGGCAAATATTTACTACGCAACTTCTATCTCCCGCCTTTTTCATTCGGGAATCATTTTCTTTTTGTCGCTTCAAGATATTGCGCTATTTTATAAGATGGATAAATTAGAAAAAAGTACAGCAGCCGGCAGTAAACGAATTCAAGTAAAAAATAAAGAATTAGAAGACAAACTATGTAAATTAAAGAAAGATCTTACTAAAATTACAGTAAGTTACAAATTTTGACTAATAATAAATTTTTGGATAATCTGTTTGTGTATATGTAATTGTTTTGTGTATAGTGTAACGTTCTGTATATTTGTTCTAATATTATGCTACCCCTACAAATTTATATTAAATGCTACCTAACTTTACTAGCCTTTCAAAATTCAAAATGTTAAAACATACAAACGACAAAAATATAAGGCATATGAAAATTCTAGAAGCCACATGCGTCTATGTCATTGTTGACGTTATTTGCTATTGCGCTGAGTGCTAATGATAATGGGTTCGAATACCGGAGAAAATATGTTTCTGTCAAAATAGACCCGAAATAGAAGGCTCACATTGAATCTAGGACTTATCTAATAAAACAAATATATTAGGTTTTCCAAGACTCTGCGTACTGGGACCTGCGTCAAAAGTTGGTACAAGTGGAAGGCAACCATGAGCGTCTCCAGTTGAACATGATCGCGTTGCAAATGGAACATGAAAGTGTCTCCAGCCAGTACCAGGAAGAGTTACGTCAACGACCAGAGATTCTTAATAAGTGCGTACCTACTTTATAACGTAAATTGTGTTCACAAATACATTTTTTGCACAATTCTTATCCGTTGGCTTCCTGCCACTGAATTTCTTTTTTAGGCTCCGTTTTTTAAATTGTATTATTATGTTTACATAGACTTAACAGTACCAGAGCAATTTCCGAGGTGTTAGAGGAGTCCATCGATCGCCTCAAACAGACAGTGTCTAGATGCAACGCGACCCAAATATCTCTGGCTGAAGCTTATCAGACCGCAGAGAAACGGGTGCTGGATATAAAGAAAAAGCAAGAACAGTCTGATGACAAACATCAACAAATTATTCATTCGCTTATCGAAAAAGGTAGGTTTAAATATATAATTAAAATTCGTTTAATTTACGAATATTTTTTGCAAACCATTTATGTTTTTGTTAATTTTAACTACCATAATGCCTCTATATCTCATAGTATATAAATAGTCTTTATCTCATAGTAAGGTACTTTTTACTAGGGGTAAAGGTTCCAGGTGAAATGGCTCAGAAACGTAAGAGACTATAAACTAGAACACTATACTATACTATGAACCTACTATACCACTAAGCTCCAACTCTTCAATCCCACCCTCACGGTCCAACCAAGCCATGCCCCCTCAACCCTTGGTCTAGTGCAAACAGCTAACGCGCTCGCCCAAACTCCGGTTAGTATTCGTGGCTCCATAGAACCATACGTAATAATCAATTCAAAAAAAAAAAAAAAACCTTTACTATTGCGCCTCTTTTCTGTTAAAAATCATTTATTAGGTTGATAAAAGTTCTAAGACATCTTAACAATAAATTTTAGACAAAAATACAAACCGGCATCCAATTGAGCTTACCGTGTAAACTAACTAACTAAATTGGTTCATGAACCAATTTAGTTTGGACCGGCATCTGCAGCTCTCCTGGCGGAGGATAGCTGTGGATGCCGGTCGAATATCAAATAGAATGCCGTCCAGGATATCCCCTTTTTTATTTGATAAATGGAGGTAATGGAGGTTGCACTGTATTATTTGAAGTTTATTTTAAATTGACTTGTTGATTTATATATTGACCCCATTAATTAACAAAGCGCGTAAAGTATTATAGTAATTATTTTTTACTATTCTTATTTATATTTTTTACTACTTCATTTGTTAGAATCGGCCAAGACAAGAAGTTTGATCATTTCCCCGTCAATAGTTAAAATTTATTAGTGAAACAGACACAGAAATATGTCCGCCACACCTAGGAAAGACGCCATTTTACTTTTACATAAGGTTAATTCTAACTAATATTTAGTCAATAAGAGCGAAGAACATCAGTTGCGATTGGCAAATGTGTTTAACATGGCGAAGCAACAGCTTGAACGCGAGCTCACTGCGACTCGAGAACAATTAAACACCATTCAAGCTGGAAAAAGAGAGCTTAAACAAACGATTGCTCATCTCAATGAAAAACTCAATGCTGCCCACTCAGAAATTCATCAGGTAGTTTCATTACTTGCTTGTACGCTTTAGGTGAATAAGTTTCATCAAAATATTATAGTTAAATAGTAATAATATTATACTTAAAGCGAGCTTATACCGTGCAAGCAGACCGAGGTTTAGTTCGAAAACTGTAATATTTTTTACATGTTATTTATTGCACTATATAGATTAAAAATCGAAAATATACATATATATTTTTTAAATCTAGACTAGAATTTTTAACCGAGGTTTAATTAATATAATAATTTTGTAACAGGGATAATCACATTTAAGATTTGTTTAATCCACCCTTAAAATTTGAAACCCAAAGATTAACTAGAAACGCTGAACGTATTTTTAAACGGTTTTATTTAGCTTGACTCGTACGGAATTTATTTATTTGGGTCAAAATTAGAAATTGAAATTTAAGCATCTTCCCGTTGTCAGATTGATCTGAAATTTGGTACACACATTTAATTTAGATGACAACACAATAATAAAATCAATAATATAATCCTAAGATGGCTGCCAGTACAAAATGGCGGATTTACATATTTTTCCTTAAACGTATCAAATGAACGGGCTACACTAGTAAACACGATGATTATGTCAAAATTTAAATTTTTTTGTAGTTTTCTGTGAACAAAAAATAAAACCGTTCAACTTAAGTTTTTTTTTTAAGTTGATACTTGTTATTACTAATTACTTAACTTGTCTGTTGACGCCTGACAAAAACTATAAAAAATTTCATGATAGTTAATAATACTTTTTTTAATATACAGAGGGACCAAGCCATAACATCGCTCAATGACAAGGTGCTGCAAATGAACCAAGAATGTATGGTTCAAATCGAAAGCAGTTCAAATGCAACAATGATATTGGAAAAGAAGTATTGTATATTATATTTATATATTAGTAGTAGTAATATTGATCTCAAGGACACAAAACGTACAGTATTTCTTCTCTTTATTAAACGATTGTATTACTATAAGCATCGATCAACAAAGGTCATAAGGTGATAACAACCCTACAAGAGTAACAAACATTTAGATATCCATCCTTAGAAACCCCGGTTAAAAGTAAACATCAAGGTTAATTTTAATTTAAAAATCGAAAATAAATTGAAAAAATTCTTGACTCGGGCAGGACTTGAACCGGCATCGTCAGCTTTCCGTGCTGTTGCTCTACCAATTGAGCTATCGAGTCCTACACCTCATCGTCGAATTTTTTCAACTTATTGATACATGCACCTCTCGCGCAATGTAACTTCAACTTCAACACTTGCGTTTTAAGGATCAATGTCTTATGCTTTGCAGCTTAAGAAATCATTGAAGATGAAATTACAAAGCTATAACGTTTGAAAACATTAATATTTTTCACATGTTATGTATGTTTTCGCACTATATAATTTATACATTATATAGTGCCTTCATGTGCAATAACATGTGAAAAATATTAATGTTTTCAAGGTTAATTTTGACATTGAGCCAAATTCAAATAGAAGATTATAGGTGAAATCATGTTTCCTAGTCTTCAGCAAGCGACCGAAGCAAATGCAGAACTAAAGAACGCTTTAGCTGAAGAAAAGCAGTATTCTATAAATGTCGTCGATCAGAAAACTTTACTTGAAGAGAAGATAAGAAAGGTGGAAGATGAAAATGCAATGTGTGCCGATCAAATTGTGCAGCTTAAGCAGGAATTGGAAGTAAGATGCGTTTGCTGACTACATAACACTCAAATTGCTATAATAATCATACCAAAACAAGATTATTATATATTCTGTATTCGAGCAACATCTTATGTTTGTCACTTTTATAACACAAATGGAAGTTTTCGTTTCGAACACTCAATTAAATAACCGATAAAAGAAATAAAATATATTGCTAAATATTGTCTGTAGTTTACGCGAGTAGGACACATTTAATTGAAACACTTTAACGGTTTAAAACGCGATATATGTTACTTAAACTCGTTGAAAATCCCCCGTGACCATGGCTGCCCTAAAGCATCCGAAACGTCGGGCCGTAGTTAAAAATAATTTTTCAAACCAGTTTCACTAAAAATATCGCATTTTAAACCGTTTAAGTGTTTTATTTAAAAAATATGTTGCTCTCCGGGAGATCGCGAGGGTTTGAAACCTTGGGGTTTTTCACAATTACATGAGTAAAAATATTTGTAATTATAGGAAGCAAACTCTAACAACAATATTTATAAGCAAGAAGTGTCACAAGTTAAGGAAGAGAATGCAAAACTAGCTGCGGAACTAACCAAGAAGGACGAGGTAACATCGGGGTCTAAAACTCAGTTTTACCAAAAAATATGAACTAACAATATTAACAACTGTAAAGTCTTAAAATCTATGTTCGTAAAAAAAACGGAATAATCTATTAAATTAAATTTGTCCAAATTTCGTGGTATAATGGATTTTTAAAAATCTAATATTGTAAGTAAGTCGATATACCGTGATATCGTTTTACCAGGGATTCGAACCCATACGTCCTCATGCCTAACGCAGCTAAAGCTGTTAAGCATCCATCAAAATCGTAATGGCAATTAATTAATTTCAACAAATTCTCAGCAAGAAAACACTCTCAAAGATCAATTAAATAAATTGAATGGACAAATTCTTGGACTTGAGCAAATTAAGAAGAAACTGTTCGAAGATCTGAACAGTTTGGAGGGCGAACGGGAGAATTATATTCAACGCATCCAAGAAATTATCTCGGAGAAGGCTTCCCTGGATGCGAGACTTGATGAACTTGATCAGAAATATACGTCTCACAGGTACATTCACATGCACAAGGTAGTTAAATATACAATTTATTCACCACGGTTTCTCCTGCTGTTGCTCTTACCTCCACCTCTAACTCAATGTAATTTTAATATGTGCTGCTACCATGCTACTACTCGTTACTTTATCAAACAAGTATCAACTTAAAAAAAAATTTTTTTAAAGTTAAAGGGTTTTATTTTTTTGACATAACCATCGTGTTTTACTAGTGTAGTCCTTTCATTTGATACCCATATTGAGGGGGTTAAGGGAAAATATGCAATCCGCCATTTTGTATCGGCGGCCATATTAAATAATAATAATAATTGTCATGTAAATTAAATGTGTGTACCAAATTACAGATCAATCTGACAACGGGAAGGTACTTAAATTTCAAATTCTAATTTGACCCAAATAAATAAATTCCGTACGGGTTGAGCAAAAAAAAAAAAGCCGTCTAAATATATCAAATCATAATATTATGTCGGATACGTTGAACTGAATTACGTTCTTTTTTATGATAGAGGAACAAGCTGCGCTGTCGACTTATTTTGGTTTTGGATACCCGGAAATCCACAAACTAAACCGAAACATTATTAAGCTTGGCTTTTTCATATGTGAATGGTGGTTCGTGTCCCGGACGGAATTTCGATATTCCTGCCACCCACTCAATATCCAGATTTCCTAACAGTTTGTCTAACATATTTATAAAATTTTATAAATTGATTAAAAAATGTTGGACCCGGTATGGATTAAACCCACTATTGACCCGTTAATTATTAGCCATGCATTACAACCATTACACCGCCAGGCAGTCTTTATACTTCAAGACCGATAACACAGTACATTTCCGAGACCAGACTAACTCATTAACCAACATTACTTATATTTAGGGTCTCGACAGACCAGGTCATCCAGGACTTAACCCAAACAATCGAAAACAATAAAAAGGAATTGGACATGAAGACCTCAGCAGCGTCAGGGCTTTTGTCTGATCTTCAAAGCAGCACAGACAACAACAACAAATTGAAGAGCGCTTTGCAGAAATGCAAGAAGGAGCTGGAAGAAGAGAAAGACCGGTGCAGGGAGATGGAGATAAAGTTTGGAATGCAAGTTGAGAATTTGAGTGAAACGATCAACGTGAGATCCTTTAATACTAATAATTGCACATGACTTTGTTACGTGTTAATTATAAGAGTTCCCAGGTTCAAACCCCGGCTATTAGTTTCTAGTCGAGTGAAGGTAGAAGGAGGTAGGTAGTAATATAATTGATTGGTATAGGCATATAGTTGCCATTTCACTTCATGCAGGCGAAACAATAGTTCATTAAATTTATAACCCCTTATTATTATTTCCTTAGACAGTTAAAAATTAAGAATTATTTTCATGGTCAATTTAGTACTCTTGAAAATCGAATCCACGGCCCGTTTGTTATTATTAGCCAAACTACAATACAATACAAATATTCTTTATTGTCACAAAACAAAACAAAACAACACAAAAATTTTTGTAATATAATCTGTGTTTTTTTAGGATAAGGAGAGAGAATTCTCTAAACAAATGGCCCTCATTCGGGATATGCGTAATGAAAAAGTAAGTAACTTATATTACATAAGGAATGGAAAAAAAACAAACAAACTAACAATTACATAAAACATGTCCAGTTCCCAAATGATTTCTTGCCCTTACATGTTCTTTCTTTTATTAACAATAAATATGTTTAACAGGCATAATTCAGCATATCATTGTTTTTCATCACGAGATGATGTTAATGATGATGATGCCACCCGCTCGGGATGACGAAACGTCGAGAACCTCTTCTCGCTCACGTCGACCGAACAGCCCGAAAAACAATGATATGCTGTGCGATGGCCGTGAAAGCCTTACACAATTTGTTAGACATAATTCAATCATTTAATATTCCGATAGCTTTCGGACCTTTTAGCAATATTAATTTTGAAGTAAAAATTCCCTTGAAAACAAAACATTATAATTCTATATAACTCGTAAGCACTATATTCATTTTTTACATGCGTAGACGCAATAGTATTTTGTTATTTTCCCCATCCTATATTTTTGTATTCTTAGGAACGCCTCTTGGAGAGGATCAACGATATGCAAGTGAAGATGGACAATGTCCAGAAGGAACTGACCAGATGTCCTGAGGTACGCGAGCCCGTCAACGCCGAACGACCGAACGCGGACGATAGTTTGATGTATCCCGCCAATACCCAGGTAACTATTCGCTTCTTCGCAATTTAGACAATTTTTACAAGTTAGGAGCCAAAATAATAATTACTAAAGACTTTTAACGCATTAAAACGTAATATTTATTACTTAATTTGATTATACCTCGACCGATATATCGAATGCTTTGTAGCTGTGTTCACGGGTTTAACGATAGTGGGCGAGCCTAATGTCTAAATTAATTATTAGTTAATTTCGCGTTTTAAACAGTTAAAGTTATATAATAACAAACGATAATAAAATTTCGTAAGAGAAATGCGTGGTACGCATATGATATATAGTGATGTACTGTCAATAAATTGGTGTTATTAGCGAAGGTATAAAAATTATATGAAGCAGTGAGAAGAAATAGTTTTTTTAACATGCGTTGAACGTATTATGCTTTTGAGGATTCAATGGGAGACGGACAGAGGTCACCGGTGTTGCCTAGCGGCAAATCCAGGCAAGGCAAGTTTGCAGAGCCGCAGCTGAATCAACGGGACCAAATGCAAAGTTTGGTCTCCGTTTTTAGTGACAGTAGCATCGAAGAAATAGATGTAAGAATTTTATATATTTTTGACGTTATTTTAAACAACATTTATCACAAGTAATAAGCGCATAGAGATAAGTAATAATCTAACAATAGCAAGGTTTATAAAAGTATACTACATATTTGTATTAGTAACTGACCCCACGGCGGAATGTTTTGACTGGCTCGTAAATGTTAGAATTTTCTTAATAATAATCAACAGGCCGTAGGTTCAATTTCCACCAGACCCATTATGATTTTTCTTTAAGACAGAAAAGTATGGACGAGCATAAATAAGCCAAAAGATGAAATATCTCAGCCAATTAACTACGTACCTTCAATTATAGATACGTAATGTCTCGCTCGGCCTGACGTATTAGAAATTATTTAATTAAAATAAATAAAATACTGATATTCCTTTACTTTGACTGAATGGATTTAATTCCTCCATCTATGGCCTGTGGTTCTTGTAATTGGGCGTTTAACTCAAAGGCATGTTTGTTAGATTTTCGAAAAAAGACGTCGCATGATGTCGCTATCTCGCGGTAATCACGGGGACCACATGAAACTACCCCCGAAGCGCTTTAAGCCAGCAAATGAAAAGGACAAGCAAACCAATCCTGACGATTCACAGGTTATTATTTACTTTATCACATAATAGATTATTTCAAAGTGCTAGTTATTTACACATAAGTACAAAATGTGTCGATAAAAAGTTAGTGTCTTCGTAACTTTAAAGTTAATTTTCTTTATATACGATAAAATGAAAGAATAACATAAGTTTTTGCCTCGATTTTCTAAGTATCTAAAGGGTTTCAGAAACTACCTTTTAGGCCAAAATCACTCGGAGACTTGCCATTAAGATCATATTCATGTTATCATTATGGCTAATATTTTTTTTTTTTATTGACTTGATCGTTTTCTAACCAGCTCATGAGATGTCCATCGCCACGTTTACCGCAGTCCAAAGGCGCCAAGACCAGGTTTTTTAAAACCAAACGCTCGAAGCAAATTTAAATCTCTCTCGGAAAATTCGTTTTAGATATTTTCAGCGAATATATTAATAATTTAAGTTAACAAAGGGATGGTTAAAATGGATTCCTCTAAGAAGTAGAAAATTTTGGTTGTTGTGGAAAATAACATTTTTAGTTTGTTTACTTAGCGTAAGTGATGTCTTGAGTCAAGAAGACTTTTTATTTGTTATCTTTTAAATAATAAACTTTTTTCTTTCCTTTCCTATCTTATAACTTGACTTTTAATAACACAATAAAATATAAATTGGAAACCTGAAAGGCGTACAAAAAATTAACCATTTCATAAAAAGAGAATCAAAATGTATCGCCCTTGGTCGTTAAAAATCGATTTTACATTAATCCGGTTTCATAAATACCTTGTAAAATTTGAGTTTTTTTAATTGTAATGAAACAGAAATTAAATTTTACACTTTTATTCGTCAACTAAAGAAAAAACTATAAAATAAATTGTCCGTTCGCACTTGAATCACACTAGAATTTCTCAATTCACACCCAAATAGGAATGTCCATACTCAAGTCGCCGATAGCTTCATGCCGATTTCACCGCACCTGATATAGAAAATTTTGTTTTAAAATAAACAATATTACACCTCTAAATTACATAAAATAATAATCATTGAATATTTTAAAGGAGGAAAGGAAATGACAGACGATATACTTCTCCAACTGTCAATAATATTACAAGTTATGAGCCGCAAAAAAGCTTTTATTAATCTTACTATTTCTAGTCCATCTGGTCTGTCTAACTCTAACAGCCTAACTGCAATTTTATGATTTTACTTATTTATATTTTTATAGTTTAAAAGTTTATCTACAAGAGCAAAGGGTCCGAAAATTGTTAACATAATTCTTAAACAAATAATAGTACAAATTCAATTTCGCATTTTTTCTTTTATTATAGAATATTATGTTTTTTGTTACTAGGCCACTTTGCCTCTAGCAGCCTTAAATATTAGAGATTTTGTTTTTATAAGTATTTTTACCTATAGTTGATTTCGCGAATGATATAAGGCGTCCTTTCGTGCCCTGGGGCAGTTAACCACTCGCTGACGTTGAACGCAACCGTCCAATAACCTTGCTTCTCCAGAATGTCCACAATTAAGCGGAAAGTCCCGCGCAATCGGTTACTATTCATGGAAAAGCATCCGTAGTTGAAGTTCATGAGACAAACACTGTGGACATTTTAAATTGTATTAAAAATCGCGCCCAATGAAAGTTTCATCGCCCTGAAAAAAACTCAAAATTGTAAAAAAATCATTCTGATTTTATGAAATTTTGAAACTCGTTGCACGAGTCTCTAACGCTATATAAGGTCAAACTTAAAGCACTCAAGGTTCAGAATCCTTTGCTTCCCAGTTTTTGACACTTTTCTTTTTTTTTTTTTTTTAAATTGAAAGATGATTTAAATGGGAAATTTTTGATCTTTAATTTATGAACAACTTAGATGACACAAGATTATTATTATTAAAACATAATACTCATACACGATAGCTCCTGGTGGTACATTTAGGTGTTCAAGCGGCACTTTCTTGTCACTACTCAACGCTGGCAACTTCACTGGATGACCGTTCTTCATACACATCACAATGTCTGAGGAAAACAAAAGTAACAAGTTATTTACCGTAGTTAATATTTTTAGTAAAATAATAAAAATGTATTTACATACCAAAGCTTGTACAAATAAAACAGGTGTTTTAGGAATGTCTTTAGTCCTCACTAAAGACATTCCGTTATAAGTTCGATTGGAGGCAAAATGTATTGAAAGGTTTAATTTTCTTTTGCTTTTTTTTATAATTCTATCAATATATTTAAAAAAATAATTTCTAAACAAGTGTGTAGTTACAGCAAAACTTACCAGCAACAATTCCGCTAGGGAGCACTACATTCCTCACAGAGTATTCTTGACTGCCAAGCCCCCTTATCAGGTATCTCTCCAATTCCTCGCTCAGCGCGTGAGTCGGGTACGAGCTTTTCGCTCTGTCCAGAATTTCAGGTGGCAAGTTGTACTTATCACTGTGAAAGGCGTGCACAGCTTCGTGCAACGTCAGTAACTGTAAAAATGACTTATTATTTGAAGGTTTATAAGGAATTTAAATATGCTATACATGACACATACACATTTCTCTACTCTTTTGTTGTTAACAAAACAATCATTTTATTTATTTTTAAATTCAAATATTTTTTTTACATTTTCACTATGCCTTCCTGAGACAATGACTAAGTGCAATTTATAAGTAATAAATTAAAATAAAATATTCAAATGGAATTTTTTACCAAACTTTGTTGTTAAGGACGATTTTACTTAGGAAACACACTACAAACACAACACACACATAATACAACACCATAATGTCATTTTGTATGAGCAGTTTCCTATTTATTTTACATAATTATGTCTATAAGACAATCTTAATATAAATAGTAATAACTTTTAAGTCCTTTAAGGCAATATTCTGAAGCCAAGTAAATACTAACAACATATTAAAATCTTACTTGTAAATAATCTAAATCATTCTTCTCCCTCGCCAAGTATATATCTAAAAACTCTGCTGAAAAAACTTTTTTCAGCAGTCTATCATCATATATCCCCAGGGAAGCTAACTCCAAACACACTTTGCCCCAAGGCAGAGCTGTGGTGTTCGCATTCAAGATTGGATTTATTGAGATTTGGCGTTTAATCTCGTCCCATTGAGCACCTTCTGGGGTATAATTATTATTGGACAAACAATTTATGAATGCAAACAGTACATTCGTTCTGGCATTAGATAATGTCTTTGGCTCACACGATGCTTGTTCGCATAAATATTCTATCAAAGCCAAGTTTGTGTGTGCCTGGAATTAAAAAAAAACATCAATCAACTTTGTCTTCCTATAAGCTGGGTTCCATTCTTATGAGATTTCTTGAAGCATGCTTTGTCTGGATATTTGAATATACAGGTTCCAATAAAAAAAATACTTACAATTCTTGAGAGAACCCTTGCAACTAAAAGTCCCTTTTCGAAAGGCACGCTATTCTTTATCACATAACCCGCTATAGAATCCATTAGTTCCTGGTGATAATATTCTGGATGCTTCTCTACAATTCTTCCTTTCAACTTTGCAGCAGTCCTTAACACATCTTCGTAAGACAACTTATTTATTCTCTCTGATAATATATCACAACATATATGTAATAATTGCACTCGAGTAGGGTAAACTTTTTCTGTACAATTAATGTCACACAGTGACCATATAATAGACCTAGCCATGTGGGCATCAATTGCTTGATCATGTAAAAGTAGACTTGTTACTATATTATTAATACATCTGTCAGGTAAGTCATGAGAACATGAATACATAAGCATCTCTCGTAGCAAGGGTAAATCTTGGTTATCTAATTCCAAGGGAAGATGGATTTGGAAAGCAAGAGGTAAAGCCAATTTTAAAGCATCAACCAAATGATTTTTCGTGTTAAATTTGGATAAAATAAAGTCAATGAACATAATCTGACGAATATTGATCATATTTATATTATATCTGAGGAGCTGTAAAAGAGTTTGTACAAGGAGAGATTCAACAGGAACACCAAGATATGATAAGAATTTTATAGCCTCAATAGTTTCATTGACTTCTAATGCGCGCGCATGTTTCTTAAAATTTTGGCACAAAACACCAAAGCCTGGATCTTTTATTAATGACTCAGGATCATTGCTGTAAAACAGATACAATATGGTTTTAGAACATATACAAAATCTCTATTTATTGCCAAAAACTTTCTATTAAATTTAATTATAGTATAGATACATACCTGCTTGATCTTTGGATTTCAAACAATGTGCGCAGTGCTTGCAACATATGCCTGTGAGTCAGGGACCGTAAGTTATTTTGAACTGTAGCTAGTACATCTGCAGTGCTGGGAGCAGACTTAATAGTCATCATTAAAGCATCAGGTGGCTTTGTTAAGGTCATCTCTGATACTGAAAAATAGAAAATATGTTGAATGCTAGAGAAGATTGTTATAAATACGGCTGTATGTAATTGATCAAGAAAATGGATGTGGACAGATAAAAAGTTATGGCTCAATATGTGTCATAAATATAATATAATGAAGAGGAAATATGAACTCTTTACTTATTAAATGAAATATAAATAAAAGTTAATAGTAATAATTACTACTGGAGGAGAGACTTGATCTTAAAGTTGAGTTGCTCAATGGACGATTTCTTAAGACATTACGCCAAACGCTCTTGAGTAGTAACGTCATTTTACCTGAAATATTTTTTTTAAGATTAGAAATGAAGCCAATAACATATCCTCAAAACAAACAGCACATTGCAAATAATTCTGTTATAAATCGAGAGATAAAACAGTTCAGCCGCCTTTTATATGTTTGGGTGCTATAAAAATGTGGAAACACTAATAGACAAACACAGGTCTTTCATTATAATATACTGCTAGAAACATAATATCATCTAGGTCCTAGATAGAGGTTAGAAAAGGACGTGATTCTAAAAACAAACATTGTAATTTATTACGGTAGAGGAGTAGATTTTTACAGCTATTGATGGAAAATAAACATGTTAAAATAAGGAACAATTGAATTACCTGGGAAATAAAGTAACAGAAAAACGCCAACTTAATTCGCAAGTGAATGTTTTAAAAACTTAGCTGCCTTTAAATATTTTCTGTTTATGTATATAATTAATGAATATTTGTAAACAATTTTAAAGAAAATAATTTTTGGCAAAAAGAATTGAGTTTCATTTTTTCAAAAAACGACAGTAACATATAAATATCAAAACACGGACTTAATCAAATTGGATCAAACTAAAACAGCTGATTGGATTAAATTTGACAACTGATGATATGTAGATTTTTTTTGCGACTGGCAAAATTTATCGTTTTATATAACAAAAAGTCTTGAGCTTGATTCATATTTAGATTATAACTCGGGATAATGATTACGTGTGACTGTATGAAATATAATTATTACGGGTACCCAAGTTTAAATGATGTGTGTAGACAATTGCCAATACCAAAGTTAAAATGTCAACTTGACAGTTTTGACATTGAGCCATGACACCATTGACTTTGATTGTAAAGTTGTTTGTTTGCTATTCGTATAGCATTAGAAAAAATCTTAATAAACGAAAAATACTTACTTTAATGAAAATTATCTTACTTTATTCGGGTAAATTATCAAGTTCTATGTTACAAAATGAATCAAGAAACTATTGTTAGTACACGGACAGACAGAGAAATTCGTAAAACGATAATAACACCCGGTGACTACAATATCGTCCCTTACGAAGATTCCCGGTGTAGAATATCTCTAAGCGATATTGTTTGTAAAAACGATACTGGACCGTGTGACATTGAAACTGAATGCGTTATTTTAAGTTCCACCTTCGATGGCAATGTTGTTATTGGTGATATGGATAACTTTATAGACAAAGATTTCGAATTAATTCTACAACAAATGTGCTGCGGCGAGACATGTCTAGCGAAGATAGTGTATAGAAATAATCAAAATGAGTTAGTCAAAGAAATTTCTTGTGGTATCCATTTGAAAGATGTAACAGAGGAACAGTTAATTAGTGACTGGAGTTGGAATCGATTATATGAAGCATCAATTCATCATAAAGAAAAGGGTGTACAATTGGTAAAAGAGAAAAGAATATTTGATGCATTTAGACGATTTAGTAAGTCCTTTAAAATGTTAGTTGCCATTGAGCCTATTGACCCAGAAGTTATTGCTGATGAGCAAGTGAAAGAGATGACTGAATTACGAGTGAGTAATTGCTTATATTTTAAACAGTTTCTTATAATATGCTGCCTGCTGTTACAAAATGTACTTTCACTATGGCGTGTGGATGTTAGAGGTGGCATGCCATTTTTTTTTGTAGGGTTGGTTAAAGTTCTAAAATTTGACAATAACATTTTTGTTTGTCGCAATTTTTTCATAACAAAGGCATATAAGAAGTTTGCCATGTAAATCAAAAATCATTTATTCATGTAGGAACATTTTTGTCAGTGTTTCGGTAAAACATCATGAGAACTCCCTAATTTAATGATTATTAATGTAGTGCTTATAAATGTTTTGTTTGAATATGATTTTTTATAATTACAGGTAAAATTATACAATAACTTAGCACACTGTCAGCTTCAATTTAATGAGTATGAAGCTGCCTTGAAGTTATGCAGTTTGGCTTTAAAAAATGACCCTGAGAATATCAAGTCTCTATATAGGAGGTGCATAGCATATGCTGGCTTGCATATGTATGAAGAAGCATGGGCTGACATACAGCATGTTTTGCAGATTGATCCTCATGACAAGGCAGCTAAATTAAAAGCAAATGAATTGAGACCATTAATCAAAAAAGTGAATGAAGATTACTCAAATGTTATTAAGAAAATGTTTATATCATAAGTTAATGATACATTGAATTTTCTGTCAGGAAAGTGATTCAAAAATGTATATAATTTTGAAGTTGTGACTGTTAGTGTCTTAAACAACCTGAAAATAAATTTTAGCTTCTTTTTTACAATCTTTTTTTTTAAATTTCTTAAATAATTATGCATTTTATTCAAATAATTTCAATGCAATATACTTTAGGAAACTATGATGTATTAAACAATTACATTTTTTGCATTTTTACTGTTTGTAAAAACAAAATATATATATTTTTACTTTAAATAACTTGCAGTTTTTTTTGCCTATTCAACTAATTTGTCATGGTTTTGAAATACATATACATATAAATATCTACATTATAGTTAATAATAATTCAAATAAGCGAAACAAAGAGATGCATTTAGGACTGATCTAGAAGGCAATGCATTTTGATACAATAAACAAATACTCAAGCCGCTATCAAGGTCTGTTACTGTCCATTTATAACAAAATCTCATGTCCGTAAATATCAAAGAATTGCGTAAACAGAGTGATATCATTATGAGTACGCCTAGACGAAGTTATGACATCATTCTGTACCTGTAGCATGCGCAGTCTTGTGGTCCGGCTCGCATACAGCTGACGTTCAACTTTCACTGTTTTGTTTACAAGCCCCCGTGGATTTTCTTTCGTGCTATGCGAATACTGAAATAAATGAGTAAGTAATTTGTTTATTGTAACACTGCTTCGTCATACACACTAGGTATAGTAATATATACCTATTTAAGTAATTGAGTTCACTTTTACCCCGTAGTACCTAATATTCGTAGCGCAAAATAAATTATTTATAGAACATAAATAATTAGTTTTTGCCAGTTACATATAAAAAGCAGATTTAGCTAACCTAATTAGTAGTTACATCGAAATTAAATGACCACATCTTCGTCAGTTTTTGTTTGTATCAGATTATCTCTCTTTTCGGAGAAAGTAAAAATTCACACCAACAGCGTATGTTTGTTTTATTTTAATTGGTGTGTAACTAATTAGTGGTAAGAAAAAAAATTTTTAAAATTTTTTTAATAAATTTACTTTTTCATAAACTCAACTCGAATTTTAATAATATGTGCGAACAAAATATATACGAAATTAATGGGAAGCGAATGCGCTTCTTACTTTAAAAAATATTTTCAACAATACTAATTATATCTTCAGTTTTCTTCGTACTGGCAATTGAACTAAAAATTAAAAAATCTAAAAAAATTACTCGTTAGCTCAAATAGTTCGAGCAACAGCACGCAACGCTGAACGCCAGTTCAAATCCTGCCCGAGTCGTAATTTTTTCCAATTTACTATCGATTTTTAATTTATTCAGTACCATAATGTGATATTTAAAAAATAAGTTTTCAAAACTGAATATTTTTTACTATAATGACTTCCTATTATAGATATGGCAGCACTCGAGTCAGGAAGAGGTGTACGGTTACTAAATCCGGAAGAGGATCACACGTTTTCGTTAGATGAAGATTCGATGAACCAGATCTTTGGCCGAGATGATGTTAAAGACAGATACGTTGTTGTTTTATCAGTGGCTGGAGCTTTCCGCAAGGGAAAATCTTTCATTTTGAACTTTTTCTTAAGATATCTAAATCACAAGGTAATTCAATTCTGTCTGTAGTTTACGCGTGTAGTACACATTTAAATAAAACACTTTAACGGTTTGCAGCAGTCGTGGTCACCACCACGGGAACCGCATGCTGAAAAAGCATCAAAAACGTCGGGCCGTAGTAAAAAATAAATCTCAAACAAATTTTACTAAAATATATCGCGTTTTAAACCGGTAATGTGTTTTATTTTAATAATTAAAATGCTGTTTACGAATATTCAAAACAAAAAAAGCGTTTTCGTTCGAGACCATCGTCCACAGATGAAAAAGCCGTCAAAGTGAATCGCATTTCGGTTTCACCCTGTTGCCTCAATAGGTCGACCGCGCATCTTGTTTAGATGTTTTATGGCTGGGGTATATCAATTACTATTAAATGAGTATATCCGCCTATATCATAAGAAAAACCATACGCTGTGTTTAATAATTACATTGTTTACTTAATGCTACTGGACCCAACTGCGTTCGTAATATTGATAGCCACTCGTGCATAACAAGCGATAGCGGTGTGATGCCTAAAAATGTAGACTTATTACTTCTTACTTTATTTCTTAAAAGTTTAGGTGTGCTGGAGTCGTACCACTAAGGATCATCACTTAAATATAAATCGTCGTGCTAGTTGTAAGTTGATGCTTTCTTTCAGTACAACTTAAAAGACAACGGTGATTGGCTCGGCGATGAGAAGGTACCGCTTAAAGGATTCAGTTGGCGAGGTGGTTCTGAACGCCACACGACTGGTTTAGTTTTATGGTCGCAGCCCTTCTTAACTACAATTAATGGAGATAAGGTGTGTATAAATTGAGTGTTTGTATTATAACTAGTAGAGCTAGTAATATGGTGTGCGGATGCATTCAATTTTATATTTTTTGGTCTTTTTTGGTCTTTTTGAAGTAAGTATTTATCAAAACTTTTCTATCTTTTCAATACTTGCTGTTTATGTATTTAAGGTAGCAATATTTCTGATGGACACCCAAGGCACCTTCGACAGCTCGTCCACAGTGAAAGACAACGCAACAGTTTTCGCTCTATCGACTATGCTGTCTTCTGTACAGATATACAATGTCTCACAGAACATCGAAGAAGATGATCTGCAGCACTTACAGGTGCGTTTGATTAAGATTTACGACAACGGGATTTTTTAAAATATGGATTAATGCGTGTGTTTGCATGAGGTCTCCACTTGTTTGCGGGTAGACCGAGAGTGCCTCGAGGGGCGCGTCAGCCTTGGCTTGAAACACTAGGTGTCAGCTTGAGGAGCTGCACGGATGCTCACCCGAGTGAGCGGCTTAGAACATACAGTATTATAAGACAGTACAAACAGTACTATAAGAACTACTACCGCAAATAGACACAAAATCGAAAAATACATACGCGAGTCTTTATTTGCAATAGAAATATTGTTTTGAATATCCACGCTATTTCTTACGAACGGAATTTAATGTCACGAGATAAAACAAATAATAATCACCCACAGAACAAATCTTTTTCCATAAATTATCCAAACAAACTTTAGCGTTCATTTTATTAATAGAAGTATTTTTACCTTTGCCTTTTAATAATATGGTATTTATTGTGGTTGCCAGTTTGTTTCATCCCACGTTTCCCTATAACAGTGATAATGGTGATTAACGCAAATCAACATGGCGGAATAACAATTACGTTATCCTCCTTTATTTTCAATACTTTTTATCTTTACTATGTATATATTTTTATGTTAATAATGATGGTATAAATGCAATTGAAATGCTATAAAGTTATTTAATGATTTTTCATCGAATATATTTTAGTTCACTCTTGAATTAAACATTGATTATAAATTTTAAAAATCTACGACAAGGGCAGGACCTGAATCAGCATCCACATAATTCCGTGCTGTTGCTTAATTCACTTTATCTTCTACCGAAATGTATATTTTTCTTTGTTTGTCATGTAACAAAAGGAGAATATTACAGTAACTTCCAGTAACTTATAAATAACGGCCTACTAATACTTGTAGTATATGCCTAGTAGAAGATATTTTATGGTTTAAATAACTACCATATACTTTCAGCTGTTTACCGACTATGGTCGGCTAGCCTTGGAAAACACAAGTGGTAAACCATTTCAGAAGTTGGAACTGCTTGTCCGTGACTGGAACTATGCCTACGAGTATCCATACGGGGCTGGTGGAGGAGCACAACTCTTAGAGAAGAGGCTGCAGGTAACATTTTTTATGCGTCATTTTTAATTTAAAATATATAGGATTAATTTTACTTTAACAACTAATTTCTATTGTTTTGATGTTTCTGTCGTTTGAAACGGAATTGAATTAACAGAAATAACGACCGTTTTAGCTGCAAAATAATCAGCACGAAGAACTACAGTCATTGAGGCGACATATCAAGGAGTGTTTCGAAGAAATAGGATGCTTTCTTATGCCTCATCCAGGTCTCATTGTCGCCACTGATCCTCAGTTTACGGGAACATTGGCTGGTAAAGTATAAATATATATCCAGAAAAAAACATTTATTTTAGTTACAAAATAAACCTAACGTTTTTAGCCTATATTTACTTTTTTTATTCCATTCTTATGGATATATAGCGTCCTGGGTATGTGCGCCTTCAGTTCTCCAAGACCATTAAAAGCACTCGTAAAGGACCGTAGATAACTAATAGTAAGATCAAAAGTTATATAAATCTTATAAACTTATTTACTTTAATGCAGATATCAGTTCCGAATTTAAAACATCACTGCGAGAACTGGTGCCCATGTTATTGGCTCCAGATAACTTGATATGTAAGAAGATTGCGGGTCAATTGCTCAAGGCAAAAGATATGGTGCACTACTTCAAGGCTTATATGACTGTGTTCAATGGCTCCGACTTACCTGAACCGAAGACTATACTGGCGGTAAGTAAACCTTTCTTACTATTGCTATTATGACGATAACAAAGGCAAGAGAATTTAAAATAATCACCCAATTTTTGATAAAACTGTCGAACAATTTTAAACTACAAAAGTGTTCAATTTAGCGGATTTAAAGGCTGAAAATCAAACCACAGTGTTTTTTATTTTTCCTACATATACATGTTTTTGACAAAATATACATAGTTTAAGAGTTAGGTCTTAACTGTATTTTAAATGCTTTCAGGCTACAGCAGAAGCTAACAATTTATCTGCCCTGTCAGAATCTCGAGACGTGTATGAATACCTGATGGAAGAAGTGGTGGGAGGTAGCAAGCCCTACTTGGACCAAAACAGTTTGGAGCAGCAACATGAGCGCGCAAAAAACAAGGCGCTTCACGCTTTCCAGGCGAAGAGGAAAATGGGTGGTACAGACCTGGAATCCACCTATCAGGACAGACTAGTTAAGGTACTGCGTCAAAGATTTGCAGTTAAACATCTAAACCTTAGTTCCTAGACAAGCCTGAAATTGACGCGTAAAACGCGTAGCGTAGCATTGTGTCTTACGTAAGAACTTGTAGGATCAAATCCTAAGGAACCATCGAAGTATGATCGTGATTAATCGGGATCAACACAGAAAATTACTGTCTGTACCTAGTTTACGCGAGTAGTAAAGATTTGTATGAAACACTTTTTGCGGTTTTAAAGGCAGAATTATTAAATAAGTTTAACATTTCGAGTTAAGACCAAGTAGTAAGAGTTAACCGTTAAGAGTGTTTTATTTAAACACATAAAACTTATACATTCTATTATGCAAATTCAATCGCAAAAAGACCGAAACATGATCACTTAAATAACATTTTACGTTAGCATTATTTTTATTAAAAATTATTTAACAGTTGTCTTTTTATTAAAATAATGCTTTATATTTCAGGAAATCGACGAGCAATATGTCCAATATCGCGCCAACAACGATGCGAAGAAGCTGTTGAATTTCACGGGCACGCCTATGATCTTAGGCTCGTTGGTTTTGCTTGGTTTACTCCTAAGCTTTGTCGGTGATAACCTGGGAATACGAATTCTTGTAGTGATCGGGCAAATTATTGCTGTTGGAGCTATATTGACTCTTGGCGTATGGATTTACTCTAGGTAATGAACTTACATTTATCTCCTTATAGAGGAGGACAGACAAGAGTAAGGTGGGATTCACTTGATGATAGAAAAAAAGTCTCCATATGTAAACAAGATGCGCTTTTATAATCGTGGTGCTATATATATAACCAGACAAACTAACCATCTAACTAAACCAATTTAGTTCGTTAAAGTCGATAACTTAGTTGATCAATTGCCTTTAGTAAACGCTTGCGTAAAAGCAAATCGTATGCTAACTATACCGGTTCTATTTACTGGACGAAAGTATATTTATTTCCGATTGTTTATACTCTCAGGATAACTGGCGAGATGCGAGAAATTGGGGTGACAATAGATCGAATAATGGATGAAGTCAGAAATGTTGTGAGTATATTTGAAGGTCCTATCTACTTCAATGAAGAGATGTCGTTTCCCGTATGTGCGGGATAGGATAGAAATTAATAATTGTTTTTTATCTTCTGTAGTCTGTGCCGTGACCGATCAAAAGTATTTATTGTGCAATCTGCTTAACCATTAAGATCTACTACAAAATTTACACATTTCGCAGGTCATGATGAAAGCTGTCAGTTCTGCGACTCAGGAATTGACCACACCATTAGCTGACAAAAAGGATTCATAATAAGTAATACTTTATCTTCCACTTCAATAAGGCTTTTAACAAGGTTTTTTCTCTTATAAAGGCAACAACGTATGTACTGTTATTTCGAATCATTGCAGAGTACACGCCAAATTTGACACAGTTGATGTAGGTAGGTGCTGCCGAATCTCATAATTACGATGTACGGCTTTTATAGGAGAAATTACCTAAACTGCTAACATTTCCTATTAACTATTATTTAAATATATTTTGGGATAACATTTATTTTTGTACTGAATTTCTTTTTGAGGAAATATATTTTTTAAATCTAAGTGATTATTTTAAATATAACAGCAGAATAAATTAAATTTTCTTTTAATCATTTCTATCTTTCCTTAGAGTCTCGGTGTTATCTAGTTTTCGAAGATATGACTCTATATTCAGTGTACAATTTGTGATAATAGCTTCTGCAAATAAAACAGAATTCAACGTAAGTAGATTATATTGTCGTTTTAAGTAATATTTACACACGAACCACGAATTTAACAAAATTTTAGACTAAGATCTATACTATGTTGCTGAAAAAGTGACATTTAAAACATAATTCGTTACCGCAGAAATACCATGACCACGTCCTTCTCATGCGGACATTATGTACAATTAAAATAAAACGAATAAAAAAAAACAATGTATCTATTCATATAAAAACTGTTTAAAAATTGCGATTTTTTCAATAGCTCTAGCTCAAGTTACATTATATGCCATAATAAAATCTTTTGGCACAAAGATGGAAGTTTTACACACATGACAAAAATCCTACTGCGATTTGTACAATAATATAGGTTATTTATACGCAATACAGACTATTTGTCATTCATTAATATTATTAATTATATAGATTTTGAATATGTTAAAAATGATTTTTAGACAGCCAATTGTTTTAAATAAATGCTACTATTATAGATATTAGAGCAAAAATTCCGATACGATGACCGGAAACGCCGCCAAATTTCGTGCTTGGCACAGATTATATATAAAAGATACAGATTATACTTTACTTGCAATCGAATTCTCCCAAAGGTAGGCACTTGGTGGTTTTATTTACATCTGTCAAGTAAGAACTTAAGCTATTTATGATGAATGAATAACTTGAGAACGTATTAAGCATTAATTAACCTGCTGTAACATGTCCATTTTAGATCACTAACAGAAGTTATGTAGAATCCAACAAAATTATTGTAATTAAAATTACGTCCAGCTTTGGCTAGGGATGATAATATAAATTTGAAATGTGACGTTTTATATCACATATAACACGAATATCGCAAAATTGCGTGGATAAGACAAAGAGCAAAATAAATTATAAGCAATGCGTACAGGGATAACTTCAATAATATTGTCAATATTTTGCGACTGTAATATTTTTTGACAGAAAAATACTGACAACAATATTGCACATTTTGAAAGTACAAAAGATAATAAAGCGCGTGTAACGATAAGAGTATTAAAAATTAACAGGAAATATAACACAATCACATAACCGTTTTCCGAACACCCTAACTTAACTAAAACGTTAAAAATATCGAGCTTATGTTCCGAGATACCAGATTCATTTAGTTGCCATAATTTAAACCTTTTTATTTTAGTACGGGTGATAGATAACATGAATAACTTCGGAACATCAAGCAAAAAACACGTTCCACTATAATAGGATATTTGACAAATTAAGAAAATACCAAATCTTAGTCATATCGATCAGATATTTAAGAAATAAATTAATTTGTATTCATAATATAATGCTTTGCGCATGAACTATATGGGGCCTTTCGTTGACATGTTTACCACGCACATTTGACAGATTTTTGTTTCTATCATTTGTCTTATATTGACGCTATATAGATAGAGTTCTTGACACGGACTCAACACAATTTTATAATTATAGTTATGTATAGTTAGTACTCGCATCGCCCTGAAAAACGTTTACAGATTGTGTAATGCAAAGCCTTTACAAATAAAGTCAAATACCCTATTTGAGACCTAATTATGACAAAACAAAGTAATAAACTCTAAATTGACAACAAATACACTAACTAAACACTGTTCCCGATAAAAATCTATCTATAATTTGGAAAACTTGGCACATACATACATAACTAACATTGATTTTGATTTCTATACATTGACAAATGACAATCATTTTGTATTTTTTTATATAACTACTATTTGTTATACGCCGTACTGAATTAATACTAAACAAGATATTTATGAAAATTAAAATGTTTTATTTCGTTTTTGTTAAAATTGTATATAAGTTAAACTGAAAAGGGAAAGCTTTTAACAAGTACAGTTTCGATTAAGTACATTTATCAGTGACGTGCGACACAACAAGTGAAAAAAAATCCGTACTATTTATTGATAAAAATTTGTGCTCACTATTATACAAATTGATTATCTAAAATTACACGATGCTACATACTAAATTTAAAATTGCCGTATCAACCTAAATTTCTATATTGTATGTTAAATTTTTGTGATCGGGTATTGTAGCTTTTTAGCCATATCAGGACATCTAGGTATGGCTAAAAATCTTCAAATGGATTTATCAACACATTGACATTGGAAGTGACATTTAAAATATCAAATTAATTCAACGAAGCGATTACTATAACTATTATCAATTTATAATTTGTCTATTTTACTGTACAATAAATCACCACGATCCGCCACCCACTTCAAAACCTACACCCCAAAATCCTAATAATAAGCATATATTTTGCTTTGGAAATTAATAACTACTCAAAGTCAATTTTGAGTTTTTGATTTTTAAGATAAATGACAAGATTTCTTTTGTCAGCAAATTGGATTTTGTTTGTACAATTTACGACATTAAAAATATAACACCAAATATTTATTAAATCATGGTACACGAAAATATCGAGACTAAATGAATATAATACAACTGAGAGTTGAATGGATCATCCACTACGTATTATAAAAAAAGGACGATCAATGCTTATTTTTTATTCCAACTAACAATTTCCATTAAAAATTACGAGCTGGTTTACGAGGCCACTGTATTGACTGGAAACTAATTGATTTGCATATTATTTTACAATGATATGTATGATAAAAAAACAATTAGCCATTGATTGTCATGCAAACTACTAAAATTAAGCTCGTACTATATTTACAGTTACAGTATAGTATTGCTTTTATCACAACCCGGTTTATTTTGTGACTTGCAAGACCCAGTGCTCTGTGACTAAACTTTGAATATTGGCTATTTCACTCAAAAAGAACATAGAATGTGTTATATATAGTTCCGACTCCGGCCATGATTGAGCAATTTATGTCGTCATGTTTTATAGAATAAATCTGACGACATGTGTTACAGGTAGTGACGTCATACCCACCAAAGTCACAAAAAGGTCAAATAACCAATTTGGAAATAATAATTTTTGTGTGCTGTTATACAAATATGATTCATAGAAATTCTTTCATATAATTAGTCTAACAACATACGTTTTGTATCCAGCGCTCAGTCACTCTAGTATCGGGGACAACTTTACCAAACAGTTCTTATACTTAAATATTATAACACTATTTGAAATCCCTGTATTAAACAAAAAACTATTTTCACACGTACGCCCACGCAATAAACCAGGTCCGTGAGTATATTTTCTGTTTTTTTAATTTTAATCCTTTCCCTAGACATCATAGGGTCTTGTCTAAAACTAGTTCTAGTCATGCGTGTAAATTCTCCATCATTTATAACAAAAACCGGTCGTCTGTCCATTAGAAGTGGGATTGCTGACTTAATACTTGCTCGATATAGTTTTCGGTCAAGATATTTTTTGCTTAGACATGCATTTGACCAGTCATTTCTGTTAATATAAGAGAGGCGTCCATAATTTGTTCCATCTCTAGTTGTTAGTAGATTTTGTTTGCAAGCATTTTCCACATATCTTCGTCTTAGTAGCTTATCTAAGTAAATAAGCTGTTCCCTATGTTTATCACAAGCATCTGATGCGTGGGCACAGATAGCACAAATATATGTACCACTAGTGGATTGAGTCTGGGCTTTGCGACGTTGTCCACCATTCCAATCTCGGCCCAGTTGCTCCATAATAATGGTTAATGTAACGTGGCAAGGTGGAGGGTAGCATCACAATTGTTTGTGCTTGCCGTTGGCTGTAGGCGTAGAAACCACTTGCTCAGCGGCAGCTGCTGCTGCACGTTCCATGCCTTTTTCTAGTCCAGCTTGGTATACTGGCTTCATCACCTGAAAATATTGATGTTTATTATTTTTACATGAACTGCACACAAGATAAAAATAATTTTGGACTAAAATACTTACATTATCCCAAAGCCAGTTTGCAGTTTCGTCTATCGTAACACCCAGTTCTCTCATTTCACCGCTGTATCTGTAATTTAAATTAAGGGTATTTTGTTCAAAATAAAGACTTTCTTAATATAGCATACTACTTTAAAAGGCACATTTTTTTTTGTTATTCAACTTAAACATGTAGTCAATATTTTAAACCCCAATAACTTAAGAACAGATACTTACTCAGAAGTAACCCATTGAAAATCAATACAAATACAATCTCAAAATCATAAAAAAGTTTTTGAGTGAAAAAAAATGACAAGAGAAAAATCTTTATGGCTTTATTTACCTGATATACGCCCAAAGTACCAGCGTCAGTAGCGCCATGCCCATGCAAAGATTACACAGATTAGCAAATGGATATAGTCCCACCAGGCCAAGCACTCCGCTCAACACATAGAACATGAGAGCGACAGCAAAGAAAACGGACGGCGTACGCGCCGCCTTAAATATATTTTTGCTCTCGTTATGTGCCCTGAACTGTTGGAAATGTTCTTCTAAATCCTGTAAAATTATGGAATACATATTTTTATAATCTCATATTATTATTGCTAACTATTTGTTCGCAACCGAAATGGTTTCAAAAAATATTTAATTATCTGTCAAGACGCATTCAATTAGGGCTGGTTTTATATGTATTTGTAACAGAGATATATAATTGCGATTCATAGATTCTTGTATTTCAAGACACGCTCAAGCGACAACATTATTTGGTACTCTATTAAAAAGCTCTTATTACTTACTTGCGTGAGTTGCTGACAATATGCCTGACTAAATTCATCACCACCCATTTTCCTCTTAGCCCGAAACGCGTGTAACGCCTTATCCCGAATACGCTTGTGTTCCGCTTCCAGCAACTGAGCTTGTAAGTAAGGCTTTGCCCCACCACAGATTTCTTCCATCAAAGTGGTATACACTTCCCGCGCTTCTGCCACTGCGGTTAAGTTGTTTGCTTCAGCGGTCGCCTGGTGATAGTTATTATTTTATAACAAAAAAGTCAGACAACCTTGACCTGATGTCAAACAAATTTATTATAAAAATGCAAATTTGTTTTGACATAAGGTTTCATGCTGGTTTTTCTAATTTGTTCTGTGCCCTTGATTTGAGAATAGGTAAATATAAATTTAGCCTTTGTTTTTATTTAAACTATATTGACATTTATATTTGTACTCCTACATGAATATATGATTTTTACATACAATATGAGTTGAGCATTTGGTTTTACTTTTAGTTTTACATAATGCTATACAATAATGCATAAAAATACTCACGGCTAACATACTCTTTGGTTCCGGTAATTCGTTACCCTTGTAGATGTTCATATATGCCTTGAAGTAGACCAGCAGATCCTTAGCTCTAACACGTTGTCCGTTGATTTCTTTTACGACCAAATTGTCTGGAGCTAACAACATCGGCACTAGCTGTTGGAGCGCTCGCTTGAACTCCATTTCGATGTCTGCAACCATAGTAAAATACTTAATAACAAAGAATGAAAATAAAATACAACAGACTCAAAAACTAAATAAGACGAAAAACATATTTTAAATTAACTTACTGTATAGAAAAAAACTTTATAACAAACTTAAAAGAATTCTACAAAAGGTTTCGTGTCTGTGCCAAAGTGTTTCTTGGCTATCCTAATAAAACCACAGTAATTGTTACCTGCTAGTCTTCCGTCAAACATGGGACTAGTGGCTACCTTGAGACCAGGGTGTGGCATCAAGAAACACCCGATCTCGCCGAAGCATGATGTGATGTGCTTACGCAGTGATTGAAGTTCTGGATGCTGCTTATCTGACACCTGGAATATTGTTGTGTACATATGTTTATAAAGGTGAAATGGACCAAATTGAAAATAGCGGTGATGTGTTTTAAACTGAAAAAACACGCCACAATGTTACGAGAGCTTCATAAGGTTATTTTTTTATTCTGTCAATTTTATTTTATAAGTACTTTTTCTGCTATAGGTTATAACAAAAAGTTTAATAATCATCTTTCTAGGTAAATACCTTAAGTCGTCTTGAAAGTAAGATTTGTCCACCACTTGCGCCGTACTCTGCTTCGTAAGGGAAACTCCAGTCCCTAACCACAAACTGTAATCGCTGAAACGGAGTCCTACCGCCATCTTTCAATGCTAGGCGTCCATATTCCGTGAATAACTAAAAAATAATAAGTTATCAATTTGCTATTATATGACGAAGCGCTATCGGATGGCCGGATATAACACTCAAAATATACGTATAGCGGTGCAAAAGACTATTTTAATAGTCCAAAACGAATTAAAACAAAATACGACACGATTAATCGTTCAAAATCGTGGACAACTGCACTGTTTTTTGGATACTGTAGCAGTAACACGACTTTGATTAGACCTAGACTAGCCGCCCAGTATGATACTGTGTCTCACCCCCAAAAATCCCTTTCTCGACGTTATTTTAAAATAACAACCCTATGTCATCGCACAATGACAGTTTGCCAAACGTCAATACTCCATGACTCCGACATGTTTAGTGTCCGTATTTATGTCTCCGACATATAAATTGAAATCATAATTTAATAATGAGCTTCTTGAATCCCACACCTAATTGCATATTTCTTAATTAAGATTTATAAATCTATTATTATATTTTTATGTATAGTAAATGTACTGCAGCAAACCTACTTGCAAATGTTGCAGGTCATCTTCTTGTATGTTTTGTGAGAGATTGTAGATTTGTACAGAGGAGAGCATAGTTGACAACGCAAACACTGTGGCGCAATCTTTGACAGTTGATTCGCTGTCAAACGCGCCCTGTGTGTCCAGGAGGATTATGGCTATCTGTAACATATTGATATTGCTTTTATTCCATGTTGAATACAATGAATTAAAGATCTTCGAAAATAAATCTTACAAAAGGTAAGGAACACGTTCTTTGTTGCACCCTTTAGGTATACAATTTTAATTTTAAAATCCTGAAAACTTAGTCAAGACAAAAAATCTAACCTTTTCTCCATCTTCAAGTGTGGCTTTGAAAATTTCCGACCACATGAGTATACCAGTGGTATCCCTTTCGGAACCGCCCCGCCAACTGAACCCGCTGAGTGGTTCCTCATCGGAACCCAGCCAATCACCACCTCCTCCACCAGCGCCATACTAAAATATTAAGAAATATATATATTTTTAATTTAATAAAATTAACATATAGCTAGAGCAACAGCAAAGTACGCTGCGTGTCATGAGCTCGGATCTTGACTGTCTTATCGACGGTACATATTACTTACTTATTAGTTTTGTTCATCTTTTTAACATGAACGCATTTCTAAGCTTGTTATTTGTATATATATTGTATATTTCATGCCGTGAATTGTCCTTCCACTAACCTTATGGTGCATATACCGAAGAAAGAAGTCAAGTAAGAACGATTTCCCTTTTCTGAAAGCTCCGGCAACGGATATGACGACAACAGTTCTGTCTTTGATGTCATCTTGCAGCAGCAGCTCGGCGAGGGCATCTTCATCAAGAATGAAGGTGTGGTCGGGTCCCGTGTTCACAACCTGTACCCCATGTGGACCCGTTCTCGCCGGTGAAGGCTTTTCTGTTACTGAAAAAAACAATTATTGTATTTAGTGCTAAGATGTAGATACAATGAGTAGTTATCGTTCTGTTGTTGTTTAATAAATAGAAACGTACACACACAGAGTATTACAATTATCATATATAACAAATAATATCACATATAATAAGTGAAATACATTTTTCTCTATGCATATAGGATAGACATACGACTAATCGATTATATTTATTGGCTAGTTGCTGATCAGGCTTCTGTGCGTTGCGCCAAACTATTATGTTTTTCGCTCGATTCGAGCCACGAACAATTATACATAGAATATATATATTTTATGTGAATGTGTTGGTTGGGCATTTATCAAAGGGAGGCTTTAGGCTATAAAATACCAAACTGCGACTAATAGGTTAATTTGAAAAAAAAAAACCAGTAACATCAGTTATCTTTGAGAGTTTCTTTTGTATTTGCTGCGACAAACTTTCAAGACACCTAAAATATTCAATAATTATTATTATTCTTGAAAAAATAAATAATTCTTGTAAGAAATATACAAGGACCACTTTATAATACAATAAAGAAAAAAGTTAGTCGTAATGCTTCATATGGCATTCACAAAATAAGTAAAACAGAAATAAATTCCAAGCATTCATTAGGACAACTAATGATCTTATTAAAGATAAGTAGAAGCCCTCTCTAAGTAGAAGGATACTTACAATACCAGAACACAGAAAAATATTTTTTACTTGTATTTTGGTATTTTAAGTGGTCTGAAAATTTTATTGAGTTTCTAAAAGTTAAACCGCAACAACTTACGTATTCTAGCCAACAGCAGCACACATACAGCAGCAAGAATACCTGCGTATGTATGTAACACAATACATACATACGCAGGTATTCAAAGACATTTCTGACGAAAATTATTCAATGAAACATTTATATTTTACCATAAATATTCGCACATTTTTACGATGTATTATTATTATTACTGGATTTCTGAAAAAAATGTAAGATATTTTCGTTAAAAATATCTGAAAGTCGATTGTTTGTTCCGCTCTCATGATCGCAAAAACTTTTACGGAAATTCGTGAAGCAAGAGTACTTTAAAGATTTTATTATATAACTTGGTTATTACTTATATATTACATATCGTGGGTTAATAAAAATTCAGTCGCGTCTTTTATTCGTTAATTAATTTAGTTCAAAAGATAATGTATTGTTTACAATGTATATGGTTTATCGCTGGCTTTGGTACAGATGTGCGCTTGCGCATGGAAATAATACAGTTGATATCTGAATCAATCAAGTATTCAAATAAAAAACGCGAAGTATATGAGTGGACTCTAACTACAACCCGACGCTGACGTGGTCACGGTGAAACACACTTTTTTGCCTGGAGTATATAATCTTAGTTATATGGAAACATTTTCCATAATATGACACCCGTGTGAAATCTATGAATCTTACACCTTATACAGCTCTCGCTATGCCATTTTAAGTTTTAATTAAATAGGATAAGATCGCAATTGTCATGTAGAGTTATCGGAACCTGTTTGTATATCTAATGAGTCTTGCGTTAATATAGCTTCCTGATGGTTTACTTAAGTACGCGCTAAATCAAATACGATAAGGCAAAATTATAATTTATGTAAATGAGTGATTTAAGCTACAGCCTTGAAACTTAAAATTACCGTTATTAAGCTTCTTTATGAAATACATTTTTACAATACCAATTTTTGTGTATGGTCATCACTTGAATGGATCGGTTACTTAAAATATCTGTATATAATATGTATCTATAAGTAAACAGAACGTTACCTTTTTGCCATTAATATAATTGTTGTATATAAAAACAGGTCTACGTATATTGTATGACGGCACAAATCGAGATACTTATCTTTACCAAGATGGGTGTCACCGCAGTAAGTTTTTGTTAGAAGCCAAAAAAGCATTACCAACAAGAAAATTAAGATCAAATATCGTCAGTTCGAAGTGGGTTAAAAATAAAAGTTGTATTTGCACAAAATCAAAACTTAATCGCATGTAAATAGCGATACAGCTCCAAGTGCAAAAGCTTTCAAACTCCAGAGGTCACAATCGGTTAGGCTGTGGCCTGCTATAAACGCCATAGTACACGTCAACGTGATAAGATGCGTCAGTGTTTAGTACAAGTCATTCACAACATAACAATAGCGTCAAATTCAACATTTAAAATGCAAAGTTCTGTATCACAGCTCGATCTCAGCGTGTAAAAAAGACAACTAATATACAGAGCAAGATAGAAGCAGAAGCAGAAAATAAAGCGCGAATAACATCTTACCTATAATCTTGTTGTTGGAAAGGACAAAACCGATCAGGCCTCAGTATCAACTCATCGACTAGCCGATGACAAAAAAGGATGGAGCCATCGACAAGGCAATAAAGAATGCGATATAGAAGAATTTATAGCTTTACAGGAGACCACAGCCTTAAAGCACTTTATTTTAGTAGCGCACATTTTGCTCAAACTATAAGAATAATCATTAATATGTGGAGTTACGACTGTTTAACTAAAGTTTAATTATACTTAGATAAACGTTTATAAGCCTACCGTACATTTCCAATGTACTGTATATCATTGCTAATAATTACATAGAGCGTTATAGGAAAGCGAATGGTTATTTATTTAAAGCGGCAAATTATTATACGAGTAAACTTACAATTTTCTAATGATCTTTTAATTGTCTTAGGATGTATCTGCAAGTTTAGTCTGCCAATCACATGATCGCCTGTAAAAATATATCGTTTTGAGGAACACAAGTAGTAAGACATTTTAGTTTGGAATAAGTCACTCGCAAAAAAAAGTATAAAGATACCTCGTTCGTTTATAATGTAAAATAATGGGAAACTGTCGTGTAAAGTCGCATTTTGTAGAAATTTATGATTATTAAAAATAAATAAATGAAATGTTAGCTAAGACTATTGCTATAAAATTGTGATAATATAATAAGCTACACATAAACACTTTTATTTTGTGGTATCATTGCCTTCGACGTGATGGATGGTTCATTTTGCGTAAGCACACATTTCCTATATCCATTATGTATCTTGGTGATCGGTCAGGTGCTTTCACTTCTCAGAATGTGACCCTAACGGCAACAGCCGGTTGCTTGTACTCCTAATAGAATGATGACCACAGAGCTGGAAAATCCCAGCTAAATATTATCTTCGTTATGTTTACCAGACAATAAAATGACGATACAAAACAATGTACCTGAATTAACATCTGCTAATTATTGATGTAGCGAACTAAATACTGTGTACAGTTTTGTTCCGAGGTTCCTTCTAAACCTCCTGGGAATGTGAAACGAAATATGATTGACAGGAAGTAATTGTAAATTAATCACGTAATATGAGCCTCTAGCTCAAGCCAAAGCATTCTAACTCTTTTTCCAAGGCGCAATAAGTATCAATTGTTTCTGCATGAATAATTCAATTTGATCCATAGTTGAGAGCAGCCGAATCAAATTCAAAGCAGCCATGCCCAAATTATGGCAGTTCTTTTTATGAGAATAACACGATTCATGTTATTTGTTACTTTAAAAAATTACGACGTACTTCTATTATAATTATAGCAAATTTTGAACATTATAAGAAAAAGTGGAAAACAAATAAAAGAAGGCTTAATATTATATAATAAACGATATTAAGCGAATAGTCACGTGAAGAAACAGTAAAGGACCAGTAAAACGACTTCGTAGATAAATCTTGACGCCAAAACATTGACAGATTGTCAAATCAAATGTTTGGAGATCAAAGGGTGTGTCACAGAAGCACTGTACTACTGTCAATAATTAATAGCTGATCGCAGGTGTATACAATACTCATATTCTGTTATCCTGGCCTATCTCCAGGCGCGGTTATTGACATGGTCAGTTTGGGAACTCGCCAGAACTACGAATGTTTTCTATTCGAATGACGTGGTTAACTATGATTTGACCTGGTATTTCGGGAATGGAGTCAACGAAATATAATATGAATAAACTGTAGTAACTTATAATTTTTGTAGTTAGTACTCAAAGCATCCCAAAGAATTTGGGACTTACGATGGCATAAATCTTGTATCGTCAAGAATGGTCTCAGTGTCTAAGTGTGTCATAATGGCAGATAAGCCTTGTCTTTATCACGCATTGTCGCTTAGAATTTTAACAAAAGCGACAAAATGTGGATTTTTTAAATTATTGCTTTTTTTATAACGGCACCTTGTTTTTTGGACTCAAAGTTGACATCTACATTATAGAACTTGGTGCGACTAAGATAAATTATGTGGCCCATATAACAACGGACGGTTGAATACTCAAAGAAATGAACGTTCCTTCATGTCCTACTACACCTAGTACGTTTCGTATGTAACGTCTAAACGTACTTGTTATGAAGCTGCTTTGATAAATAGCATCCTGCGCTTTCACTTTCACTTAAAAGCATTCATTACACTAGATTTATAGACATAATAATTTATTCTATAAAATAAATAAACAGTACTAAAACTTAGACCATATACACATTAATAAAACACAACGGTTTAAAAATATATTAGTTAAACTTATTTGAAAATATTGAAATGATGCAGCCTGTCACGGTCTCCCCTGACCACTGCTCAAAGCATCGAAACGTCGGGCCGAAGTTAAAAATCATTTTCAAATAAGTTTAACTAATATATGCGTTTTAAACCGTTAAAGTGTTTTATTTAAACAGTTACTATTCAAAAAAGGTCTAACGCAAACTAAGGCAGTTTACATGAGTTTAAGTAAACCTTGTGTTGGTCATTCACTACTTCCCATGTAAAGAATCATTACTAAATTATTTTACCTTCAGTTAAATTGCAACTTTGTAAAATCATATATTTTTGTAAGCAATCAAGAATCCAAATGGAGATGAAATAACATTTCACATGAGTGGAGCAGACACATTTCTGTGTTTGGTGCTAACTTTAATGACATACGTTTGACCATTGAGCAATGGTGGCGATCTTCAAACCAAAAAAAATACTATATAGAATCGACACGAGCGTTTTCAATGAGCATTCTCAACGTAATTGCGCGTTCAATGATTCAATTGTACTTCGAACGGCATGCGAAGACAAAAACTAGGAAAAATGCAAAAGGAATACTTACAACATACATTATTATATGAAGTGACATAATCCCTTGAACGAGCAGTTTTTTCTTCCTTAATTGTATGTGTGTGAATTCAGTCGTCCGCTAACACGTTTTTTATTAAAACATTGATTGTTGTTTTCGAAGTTATATGAAACTGGTTTTAACGTGACGAAGATACGATGCAGTATATGTAAGGAATAGTTTGCCTGAATCAGATACTTGGTGCAAAGTCATGATCAGTTTACTCTAGCCTTGCAAACGCCTAATTCGATACGTACTCTATAATCAGCGTATTCAACTTTTTATTCACAAGCAGATGAACAGGTATAACACAAGGCGTGCCAAGAATATTTTACATATCCCCAACAGATGCTGCCAACTGATACATTTTATACTAGCGCTATCGAGCATTTATTTCAAATCGCGCATGCCCTTGAAATTCGGTTATCTCACACGCACTGAGATGAACGAAGCTGTTATATTAATCTATAAATCAATTTCGATACCGGGTTTGTGTGTGAAGGTTTTATAAGTTTAGCGATTGCATATCTTTTGCCTTCGATTAAGATGAGATATTAAAACTGTAAGTAAAGCAAATAAGCGAAGTATCGAGACAAATGACAACAGTTACAGCATAATGTATTTGAATTAAACTAAAAGTTCCTGCAAAATTTAATCGCTCTTCAAACGGTTACTTGTGGTATTTATAGATACAATTTCAATAACACTATCTGTAGTTCCAATATGGTTTAATAAGCTGGTATAGGTTTCTGAAATCAAAGTTTCAAGAATTGCTTTTAATTCAAGTTAGAATTCGGGTTAGATAGCACAATACTTCTCACAAAGACCTTAAAAGTTCAGTATCAGTAACAATGTTTAGTTTTAAAACAAATTAGAAAAAAATTGATAGTCGATTGAAACCGGGGTAATTAAGCGTAAAATTGAATTAGTCGGCATTGTCTTAAGTATTTGAAATGCGTGTCGGTGCCAACGACCGATACTAAACTGGGTCAAACACAAGTATGTCACCAATTTGTGTTAGCTACACACTTCTCACTTGAGCATGTCTTAACGGTGCTGGGTACTACGATATTAACATACACGTATATTTACATTGGAAATAGGCTACTTGAAAGCAGTTGTATTACTGGGAAAGCGGGCAAAAGAATCGCATTGTTGGTAAACGCCCATAGGCCAAAGTGCCTCTGTGCTAGGTTATACGAGAGAGTTCGAGATCTTGACGGAATTACACATACAATTTATGACAGGTTACTAGAGTAGTGATTTTTTTTATGATAGAATAGGACAAACGAGCATTGGGTTCACTTGATAGTAGGTAAAATATCCCCGTGTAAACAAAATGCGTTGTCGGACTGTTTTGGCTTTGGACATTCGTAAATGCACAGACTGAACGACGAACAGTATGAAACATGGTTCGTGACCTGCGCAGAATTTCGATATTCCTACCACCCATTTAATAACCAGATTTCCAGACGAAGACCAAAATGTTTCAGAAAAATTATAAATTAATTAGATAATAATTGTACCAGGTGGGGATCGGACCCACGACTCGTTGATTGTTAAGTATACATTGCTACAATTACACCAACGAGCCCGTCAAATCAAACTAAGTTTTAAGTTGACACGTCGTACATTTCAATGCAATCCAATAATATTTTATTTAATCCATTACTAGAACACCTATTATTCATATAAATAAATAAATGAAATACAAACATGCATTATTCCAACTATATCGCTATCTACTCGCCTCATTTAAGGTATATATAAAATTTAAATCTGACTAAATCCACGGCGATAACTCTCTATATAAGGTGAATATGTATTCCAAACAGCTCGTACCTGTCTGCCTGTTTGCAAAACAGATTAGACGCAAGCATTCAGTTCCGTTAGCGGGCCGTAGGTGTTAATCGAATTATATTGAGAGACGCTAAATGGGAATTCTAGAGTGAATTGAAAAATGAAAACGTTTATTTTTAACTTCACGTCGTTTGTAAGTGATGTTTTGATATTCGCATTTTCAATTTATGGGGATATCCTTTAGAAGTTTTCAATTCATTCTTAATTCAAGTAAAGAATTAACATTGTTTTGTTTATGTATAGAACTCACACTTCTTTGTTCGATTATAAAACAAAGCTTTTTATCAATCAGGAAGATATTAGGTAATTTAAATAAATATGTAAAATCACGGAAAAATCTCAAGTTCTAAATACAAACGTGATTAAACAAATGCGTGTTAATGTAGTCAATGATAATCCAAGTATCCCGCATAATACCTAGATTGTCGTTTTAAATCGTGTTAAGCAAACACTTAACGTTATGACGTAGTGTCGACCTTACACGAGGTGAAGGACCAACAAAACTCGTTCTTACGAAGTTTTTACTCGCCATATTAAAATTAAAGATTTTTTTACTACCTTTTACAACATTAATATATTATGTAACACTAAACGATAAATTTGCATTTTTTAATCTACAACTACGAGATATGACGTTTTATTTCGTCAGACAAAAGTTCAAAAATAATGTAAATCAAACTTAGCAGAGTATGTTTGACTTTTTTTTTTTGGTCAAGTCCATAGTCAATTTGTTAGGCAGAATACACATCCTTTTGTATTTAGATATGAATATGTCCTCTAAAGCATATAAGATTTACTCAACAAAAAAGCAATAGACAAAGAAATTCAATAAGCAGTTAAAACAAAGAAGTAATTATGAAAACAGTCATGTCATGTTTAGTGTATTCGCACATTACACAATACATGATTTAACTTGATAAGATTCTATTTAAGTCTATTCAACAGTTGCATTTATATAATTTTTAGATTGAAAACTTCCTTAGTCACAATAGTTTTATTTGTCTTGAATTCTCCTAAGATGATTTGTAAATACATTACAAATATGTATACATTGTTAAATAACTTTTATTCACTTTTATAAAAGATAGTACATTTAAATAAAACAGTTTGACAATTTAAAACGCGATATAACGGGGAGACTCCCCGTGACCAAACCCGTGAAACGTCCAGCCAAAGTTAAAAATCATTTTCAAATAAGTTTAACTAATATATCACGTTTCAAACCGTTAAAGTCTTTTATTTAAATGTGTACTACTCGCATAAACATTAGACAGTATTTAAAGATAGTACAGTTATTAATATGTTATTATAGATATTCATATTCTACACCCAAACTTAAAATGCATTTGATATATATATAATCTGCATTTATTACTTTATCACTTGCCTTTAATTACACAATATTAATAAGATATGGAAAACCATTACAATCTTTTGTTCATAGCTAGAGAAATACTTTATTCTTTAAAAGCCTTTCTTTCATTTTAGTATATGAGATTTATGCTTCAAAAGAAATTATTATCTGTTTGGGTAATGGTTTTTTTTAATTGAAAACATTATGATTTGATGTTTATAACAAGGATTATCTCTTATTTATTCTATTCTCATTGCAGAATTTGAATAATTAACAACAACCTTTGTTTATTCTTTGTATAAGTAATTGTTATGATTTAAAATTTCTGTTACAAGTCTTGGTTTATTTACATCCAAATAAGAAATAAGTTTGTTTACAAGGTTGTGTTAACCTTCACTTATATTGTATATATGCGATAGGTTAAAGAGTAAATACTAATTATTTTTGATTGCACCCGTAACGACGTAACGTTCACAGAACGATAATAAACCACTGACCTGATGTAAGATTTTTATCGTATCCTCCCGTCATCTTCCCGCGCTCCGTGCACTCTTTAAGAGGTTTAAAGCGTGAGGAGACTAGCGTACCTCGATTCTTGATGTTCAGCATTAAAATCCAGGCAGCAATTATAAAAAGAACCCATTTTCAATGTCACAAGTTACACGAGGACTGGTGCGACGCAGTAATTTGCATTATTCACTGACGGCACAGGCACTCTTAACAATAATATTTTAACAATGATTACCTTCTTCCTCAGGGAAATTTGTTTCCTGGTGTTTGTATTCTTCGATATCAGCCATGACCAATTTTATTTATTTAGTGAACTGACTTTGAACATAGCGACTCAATTTTTTCCAACACGACGCAAGTTGACAAATGTATTTACGTACTTGACACTGACATTTGACATTGGCAAATAGAGAATGATGAACGCGACACATTAATGCTGTTTTTTTTTAATAGAAAGCAAATGACACTCTTGATAAGAAGAAGAAGTTGACATTCAAGTAACAGTCTCACTACCAAAGTCCCGACTTTTAGCCACTCTATGGATGGAGTAGGTAAATGTCACTGTCATAAGCAGTCATAACATTCCCAATCGGGAAAGGTGTCAAATTTCTTTAAAAATAAATCAAGTTTTTATTCATAATAAATTATAAATTGCTTATAATTTTAAGTTCATTTTGTAATTGTATAAAGTAAATTAAAACACCATGCAGGTAACAAGATTAAAAAAAATATAAACATTCATGTTATAGTTTTACTCAGAATATTAACTTGATGATTTTAGAATCCAAACGAAGATACAGAATGGAACGATATTTTACGATCAAAGGGGATATTACCTAAAAAAGAAAAGGAAGTATCCGAAGATGAGATTGTTAATATGATTGAACAGACAATACAGCAGAAACAGGCTGAAAGTAAGTGTTTACGGTCTAATGATCACATAGACTTTTTCGAGAGGTTATAGGCACCTGTTCTAATTTATAATAATTTCGAATGAAATGGGACATTTAAACATTTTACTTTTAACGCTTCATACTTTCCAACGAAGAAAAAAAGTTCTATGCCTAAATAAATTTTATACAAGTTATGTTATGATGACTCACCAATAATTATTGGCACATAAGTAACGCAGTATGAGAATAAACTAGTTATGATTCTCATTTTAAATTGGTTATCATTAAATTCTTACGAGTTAATAAACATCTTTAAACCATAGATATTTTTTTATCAGCTTTATGATAAATAGGTTTTATTAGGAAAAAATGTTATTTCTTGACTTGTTACAATGTTTTAGAGGACAAACAGCTATCAGAGTTAGATCTAGATGGCCTAGATGAATTGGAAGATTCTGAGGATGAAGCAGTTATAGAAGAATATAGACAAAAACGCATTGCCGAATTAAAGCGTCTGGCTGAGAAAACAAAGTTTTGTGATGTCAAAGAAATTTCTGGGCAAGACTATGTACAAGAGGTGAATAAAGCTGGAGAAGGAATTTGGGTTGTCATTCATTTATATAAACAGGGGTATGTTGTGTATTATTTGACAGTATTAGACATAATCAATGAAAGGGCTGAATTTTTAACCCCATAATAAAAGCTTTAGAGGTTTGAATAAGCTCAAAGATTTGTGACTTTCAAGCTATATAAATAATTTCCTAAATACTTTAGAGATTAGATGCCAATCAGTATGATACACTGCTAGTTGTGGATTTAAGTCCCACCTTGACCACCCACACCCCACAAAAATTACATTGATTTAATTTTCAGAATACAACAATGCGCCCTTCTAAATCAACACTTGCGAGAATTAGCTGCAAAATATCCCTATACTAAGTTCTTGAAGGCTATCGCACAAACATGTATACCCAATTTCCCAGAGAGAAATTTGCCAAGTGTTTTTGTGTACTTTGAAGGAGATTTAAAGAAACAGTTCGTTGGGCCACATGAACTGAGAGGCACTTCCCTAACTTGTGATGGTAAGAATTGTTTGCTATATACAAACAGCAGTAAAATTACATTCTTTACTTGAGTTACACTTATTATGATTTATTGATCTTTAATACTAATACGTCCCACCCCTTGAATTCCCAAATAGGAGGCAATTTTGGGGTTGGAAGACATTACATCTAGAAATGTGGTTGTAGGACATAAAGGTTATCTCATATCTATTTTTAACAGAGTACACTCTTAGAATGTATATAATATGAAATACCTTTCAGTCCACAACTTTGTAGCTACAAATGAATGAATGTATATAACACTAAACCAACATGTCTGTACTATAGTAAGTATATCACAAATTATGGCAAAAAAATTTTGTTTCAGAACTTGAATTCTTGTTAGGTAAAGTTGGTGCTGTTGATACCAAAATAAAAGAAGACCCAAGGCCTAAGATCAAAGATAAACTGTTTACAGATCTAGGGAATAATGATTGGTGAATATTACTGTTGGGCTAAAGGAATATTGCTTTTATTTATTATCTAAGATTTGAGATTATTGTCCACAAATTATTTAATACAAATGTATTCACATTAATAAAGTATTATTTTATCTCAAAGGTTCTTATTTTCTCGTTTTCGTAGCATTATTTTAAAACACGTTTCATTATTTCATCCATCCAATAATTTATTAGTGAGAAGGTTGGGCTTGAAGACCAAGAGAATATAAACATGTTTACATCAACAATAAAAATTACTTCAATAAATTCTTTAATCACATTTACATTCAGTAGTATGTACTTAATTACAGTAACAATTGCTTATGATGTCAGAACTAAAAGTAATACCAATTTTAAATTAATTACCAGAAATAAGAATTATCGAAATCCTAGCATGCTCGCAAAAGATTAATGGCCGACACACATTTCGCCAAGCACGTGTCTACAGGTGCGCGGGAACTTACGCCCAGTTCAAACAACACATCAAACAATTTCGCTCCATGCTCTTGTATTCCGCCTATTAGTTCTGGTAACTTTTCAAGGATACTCGCAACTACTTCCGGCTGTGGTGACTCCAGGCATTCTAAGATGGCTTGTAAACCTGCAAATATACATTAATAAATAATAAACATCGAGCTGACCTTGCTACTAAGCCGATCCGAATCTGTTTGGTATGCCTCTTATTGTGTTATTTTTGTCAATAATTTCCGTTCATTCGTTGAGTTTTTATTAAGAGTAGGCCAATGGAAGTTAGTATCGCTCATAAACTAAATAGACCTGGTTTTCTAAGCAAATTTAATAAATACTTGTTTTGTTTGTTGAAACAAAATTCTACCAAAATTCCAGACGAAGTCCAACATGTTTTAAAAAATTAAAAAATGTTAGATGATACATAAATATATAGAGATGTCTTACCGGGTCGTGTATCTGGCGCCGCCGGCAACAATTTAGCAAGCAGTGAGAGTGCTGCCTGACGAAGCGGAGCGTGCGATGAGGCTGCAAGCGGAGCTGCACAGCGCAATATTGCGTCCGCACTCCGTGGACCTCCCCAGGCACCACCGCGGCGAACGCCCCATGCTTCCACCTCCTATATATAAAGATAAATAATAGTTAAAGATTTCCAAAGCTTTGTAATGATATATTCAGTACATGTTCTATTGATATTGTAATATTTTTTCTTTTTCTAGTTACAATAAAGCATATTGGAAATATGCACAAATGTATAATGTATTAAGACGTGTCAAAGTTATTGTTATTTTTTTATATTTCTGGATCTATAAGAGAAAACTTTTAATTGACTATCCTATTCTATAGGTTTTAAATTATAAGTTTAGTGAGCCGATTTCTTCCTAAAGACATGTGTAGCAATACTGCATTGCTTTGCTTAAGTATACTTGTTAATGACCCTAGTTAATAAGTTATATACTAAATATTCAGAACAATCATATGATTTAGCATAAAATTGCTATCTACCTGAAGCAGCCAGTGCAATTCGTCAGGTGTAGCACGGCGTCTTTGCAGTGCCGTCAAAGCGTGAGGAGGTGGTGTCACGCTGGAGCTGGCTTCTCCGCTCGTTACGCCGCTGAGCGCTGGTTGGTTTCTGTTAATAATAAACCCAACGCATTTTTTATAGTGTTGGACAGACGAGCGTGAAGTTACATGATCGGGGAGAAATACCCAAGCCATATAACATCTACACAAGATGCACTGTCGAAATATTTTTAATTTTGGATATTCGGAACTACATATTAATTGTTCTGTAAATTTTAATAAAAGGTTGTTTTTGCTATACTCACGAAATGCCTTCTCTATGTTTATGCATAAGTGCGGCAGCTCGCTGTGGTCTAGCGGCTAAGTAACGTCGTAGCAGTGCGGCCACTCGATGGGGCAGAGCACCCGACCCGCCGCCGCCTCCGCACACTAACGTCAGGAAGCATTCTAAGATACCATGGATCTCTTCGCTATAAAAAAAAATATTGCTTCAAGCCCATTTCTTGCACATAATACAATCTGTAGGTAATATTTTCATAATAATTTCACTTTTGAAACTGTTAAATTGTTTTATTTGAATATGTACTAATCGCGTTAACTACATACAGTATTTAGGAATAAATGTCATCCTTATTTTCATATAGTGTCTTTGAAACAGTAAAACCCATTTTTAACTAATCAGTTAATTGATTTTTATGGAAGGCTACACAAATCAATCTAATTTCAAATGCATATGCGTTACGACTTTTTATTACGCAAAGTTACCTCGCCGGTGCGGCGAATAATTCTTGATCGGGTAACATCTCCAATGCAGCAAGTAAATGATGATGGTGTCTCGCTCGCACTCCTCGCAATAGTGCACCGGCCAGAGGGAGAGCGCGTTCCCCTGCACCCACTACCCGGGACCACACCGCGCGAGCTGCTGCTTCTATACGCCATGCTCTACAAAAATTTAATTTATATTACACTGTGGCAACAGCTACCGCTTTCATAGAAGAAAAACTAAAAAAAAGTAGTCAAAATTTGATTTTTGTTTTATACATTTTTAGCATAAAAAGTACACATCAATATTGTTTATGTGCACAGAGCAGCATTTTTTAAATTCTTTTGTTTTCGAACGATAACAATAATTAATTAGTTATCTAGTATTACTAGTTGGTTTTGTTCGATAACCAAATTTTGACAGACTGTGGACAGTCGTTCGTGACCCGAACGGAACTTCAATATTCCTACAACCCAATTGATCCAAATTTCCGGACGATGTCAAACATATTTTTAGAAAATTTATAAATAGATTAGAAACATGTCTATAGATTACGCGAGTACTGCACTATTAACAGTTTAAAACACGAAGAACTAACTAGGTCTTGATGTTTCGGATGCTTGTAGTTAAAATAAGTTATATACTATATTTACGACTCGTTGATTATTAGCAAACTAGGAATAAACCAACGAGGCCGTTAGACTTATACTTTATTTAAAATAAAACTCACTTTTGTGTGTGCTCCTTGCCAGATTGGTGTATATTAGGTGCGAGAGCAGTAAGAAGAGTGTGCGACACTCGGTCTGTTGCGCTGGTGGAGGATCGCGCCGCTGCTCTTAGTTCCGGAGGATCAATGTCTAAGGGATTTGACCCTGGTCTTTCCTCGCATTCGCGGAGTAACTGAAGGATTTTAGGTACCTAAAAAGTAATTAAATATAATAGTAAAATGTTTCCTTAAATTGATTATTATAACAATTGTGTTTAAATGGAATGTAGAGTACAAATGAAAATAAGTGATGAATAACCCCCCCCCCCCTTTCTTAGATTAAATATATTTGTAATAGTAAGTACCTATTATATTATACATTCCATGTTAATCTTTCTATTTATTAAGTTGTTCTCACCTTCATATACATTAGGAGTAATAGCAGTGGGTGCGACTCACTAGCAGCCAAGGCAGCAGCAAGCAGCGCGTGCGGTGCACCACAGCATCGTAGAACTAGTGGTAATCGCGCTTCAATACGACGCCGTGCTCCCTCCATCCCCTCTATTTTTTGCACCGCCCACGCTTCCTCTCCCACGTAACGGATCAAAACATCCAGCTAAAACATTTATTACTTTAATAAGTTATAAATATGTATGTTTTTTAATGTTAATAAAAATGTTACTGATAAATTACTTTAAAGGAAACATATTATATTAATAAAAATTATTAGTTTATACCTATTATTGGTTAATATGTGTTACAACTTTTAGCACTATTGATTACTATCTTTTTTTATATTTAAAACGTGTTTTATACATGCGTACACAATGTAAGCCGTACTTGCAAAATAGGCAATATTAACCTGTTTGTGTGTAAGCCTGAGAGTATCTTCAGGAACGTAATGTTTAGGCGTAGCTCGATCTCTTCCTTGCCATATCCTTGGGCTATTCACTAACGTTTCAGCAAACTCTAGCACTGCTCGAGCTGCCCACTTTCTGTAACATCATATATTAACATCAGATAAAAAAAAAATATATGGTAGATTTTGAGTTTTTGTTCCTATGGTGTTTTGAGAGTGACACAACAGTATATGATATTGCGAATATAAACAAACAACTACTTAAGCCATTAATCATAAATTATTTTCGAAAATTATGCAGTATTTTTTTAATGTTATACAACATTAACTTCCATTTTTGTCACTGCTATCAAACATCGTACCCATCGGCCCGCAGTAGCTCATCCAAGCAGGCGTGCAAAGTCCGCCACGACGCCCGCTGCGCCATTAAAGCAACGAGCAATGGCCGCCAACTGGCACCCCCACTCACGAACATGACACGCATCTATGGAAAAGTATTTTCTTAAACTAAATCTTAAGATTTATACATTATAAAATTATAAATCTTACAAAAATGTAAAATCATTGAAATCTAGTACAACTTTGCTTAAATAATAGCCAAAACTTTCAGCTAAATTTTAGTCCTTCGAGCCGTTCACTAAAACTTTCTATATATATACTTATAATAAAATTCACTATAGTCATTTATTTCATACAATTTAGTTTTTATAAAGTCTTACCAATTTCGACAGTGTTTCCCTGTGCAACTCAGCCAGCCAGTCCAAGAGTAGTCCACAACCCAACGTACTACCTGAAAGTACCGATGTAGGCGCGATACTCTGTCCCGGCTCTTCTTTAACCTGGATATAAGCATATTATTTAGGCGGTTTACTAAAAAAAATATAATATATGACTTCAATCAATACTAGCAACACTTACATTAGTAATTTCAAGCTTACTTAGCTTATCAATGAAGATGATACTTATTTGAAATGTTGTTTGCATTTAAATAGTTTTATTTACTTATGTAAATGTTTACCAAAATTAGGAACTCACCGGCACATCATATTTGCCATCTTGATTGTTCTGTAGCAGCTGTGTTATGGCATCCACTACGACCTGAGTATCCTGTGTCTCAATGATGTGGTTACCGATAGATTCAAGGGTGCTGGATGTTGCAGACTCGAACACTATAAACAATATCATGGTTGATATTACGTTAACGTAAGCAATCAACTGAACAAAATATTACACTACAGGGTTGGGTTATTGACTTGTAGTAGTAATATAGCGCTTGTAATAAAAAAAACATTTGACTGGCTCGTTGGTGTAATGGTAGTAATTTATGGCGAATAATCGGTCACCGGTTCGACGGGTCTAAATTTTTTCTAATCAATCCTCAAGTTTCGGTTTCAGTCTGTGATTGTGTCAGATTTCCGAAAATCCAAAGCCAAAAATAGGCCGACAGCGCATCTTATTTCGCTGTTATATGGCTGGGGTATTTCACCTACCATCAAGTGAATCCCGTGATTGTCTGCCTTCCTCAATCATTCAAAACAATTTAACATTTTAAGTCTATACACATCTTAGACTCTTCTGGTTCATTGATATTGATAAATGAACTTAACACATTTGGATATTAATTTCGATATTAATTATACACAACCTACCAGCAATAATCTGTTCCTTAGTTGCGACTGGCGGTAGATTCGGCAGTGGATTGTCACCGGTGCGAGAAACGCCCGCTCCGGCACGAAGTGCATCCACCACAGGACCCCGCACGTAACTAACGTGTATTAGTAGTGCCCTGCAGATCTATAAATCAATGGGAAATGTGATTATAGATTTATTTTTTAAATAATGTAATAATTTTTTAAAAAAAGCAGATATTACGGTTTAAAACGTGAAATATATCTGTTAAATTCATTTTTATTAACAACGACTTGACGCTTCTGATGCTGATATATTCCACGTTTAAAACCATTAAAGGTGTTTTATTTGAACTTTTTATTTTACATATTTACTTTATCCAATAATAAAACATGGCCATCTTTTTTAGACGTGGTATACTATGGAGAGTTATGTGAGTTAAGGATTATAAGTGTATAGTGGTTTTTTAATTTGTCCGTAATAATAAGATTCCAACTTGTGATACTAAATTAATTTTAAGTGATAACTTATTTTGATATCGTAAATCATTTCGTTTTAACGCTTCATGATACCATGATAGTTTTCCAATTTCAATATTAAGTAGTGTAAGTTATCAGTTCCGTGACTTACCTCGGAAAGCTTTGGGGGCGCAGCATGAACTAGTGTCCTAATTAGCGGCGCAGAATACGCCGACCGGTGTAGTAACCCACGCACGGCGTCAACGCCGCTACCCGCTCCGCTTAAGAATTCCAGGGTGCTTCTCGTACACGATCCACCGCCCACTTTACTCTCTTCCACAATTTGCTGTTAAAATAAAAAAGGGGGGTTACATTTTTTTTAATATGGATAATTTTTACGGCCTTTGTTCTAATATAAGCATTGTATGCCTCATAATTGTGGATTCGATCACCACTAAGTCCGAGGCTAACAATAAGTTTTGCTGTTTCATAATTAGGGTATTTCACCTTCTACTAATCTACTATTTGGTTGTATCGTCTATCTAAAGTAAACCCGATGCTTGTCTGTCCTCCTAGATCAAAAAAGTGATAATAATGAGAATTGAAACCGTTAAATCGTTCACGGTTAATGTCTGTGGCAAATTTATTTTCGAATATTACTTTGCTCAAGAGGTAGCCAATAGGATAAGTAGCTCTTGGTAAGAGCAAAAGCACAGTAACGTTATGGATGCCTGTTCAAGTCTGCCCGTGTCATACCTTCCTTCAATCTAAAATCAATGCTTTTAATTAAATAGCAATTCGTAACTTTCCGTCAAAAGCCACACTAACAGAAAACATTCTCAAACCAAGGGTTAACACTAATAATGTACATAGCGTTATTGGTTACCGCTAAAGTCTTACATTGTTAAGTTGTGTAAAGGCGCTATCCAAATCACCAAAGTACAATTTGGCCCCAGTAAACGCGGAAGCCAATAGAGCAGTAGTAGACTCGCCAGTGAGGCGGAGCGCCGCGGGGGCGCACTCCCAAGCTTCAGAAACCTCTTCCGGAAGACGCTCTTCTTCAAACAAGGTGTCATCTAAAGATATGAATTTCTTGTTAAGACAGTAATAATGATAATAAGCCTTTATTACATACATAGTTAGTAAATACATAATTATATACAAATTTTGTTTTTATATTTTTACGTTTTATTTGGCACTCTTAAAATTTATTATACGAATTAAATATTATGCGCAATGTGTGTTTGCGCACAAAAGACTTATATAGTCAGAGACAGTAAAGTTAAGTTAAGACAGTAAAGAGAATTTATTTCAGAAAAAAATCCTTATAATATATTTATAGTAATAGAGATATTATTCTTATTATTTTCCTTAAACAATTTTATGATAATGGCGATTAAGATCATCTATTTGTGATAACAAATAATATTTTTTTTGCAAACAATTATATAAATAAAATTGTGTGAGTGATTAAAAAATGTGTGGCTATAATTGGTCGAACCTGAGGCCGCCATGGTGGTGGAGTCTTACCTGGTGGAGGCTGTGACCGTTGCAATCTCAACGCTGCAGCAAAAGCTGCGCCTCCAGTGGCACCACGAGCTCGCTGCACTCGTAACAGTTGTGACATATAGCCACGCTCAACACCTAGACGAACCACGGCAGCCGCTGGACATGCATCCAGCGCACTTAATAATGCACTATAAAACACACATCAAATACATATTAGTCCTTCAAGACAGACGTCATAAAATTAGTATATAAAAAGAGTTATCAAGTAACTGATCAGTTCTTAGCGTTTACCTTTTGTACTCAGCTATATAAATTAATAATACTTTGAATTTTAACTTCATAAATAAAAACCAACCAACCTCATTGAAGGTACAGGCATGCCAAACGTCTGTATAAATAAAGCCAGCTTATGAGCTGGAAGACCTCTAAGACCAGCTTCCAGTAATGCTGGACGCGCTGACCGCACCATGTGTAATCTCAGCCAATCCGGAAGGAGAACGCCCTGTTTTTGAATTATTAATTTAAAAAACTCGAAACTGGAATATGTCGCTATATTATTTAGATATACGTTAATAGTTCTGGCAAAGATAAATAAAATAATGACAAAAGATGGGACTCATCCCCAACTTTTAAATATATCCAATTAAAAATGCACGTACCTCTTCTACAGATTCAGTTACAATAGTATCTGGAGCGTCCGCGCCTACCCACATGGTTACCAGCCAAGAATACATCTCCTGGTTTACGTCAACTAAAAAAGTTCAATAGAACATTATATATTATAAGTGAGTTGTTTGTTTTGTATACAGTTGAACGTATTTACATAAACTATTAAGCTCATTTATATATTAAAATATATGAACCGTCCACCAAACTGAGTGACTTCTAAACAGCCTTTTCAAGAATAATATTTAGTTGAATCGAAAAATACGGTTTATATACAACCCAAACATAAACTTACATAAGGAGGGGCCATAACATAGTAGCTTAAGATGCGCGTGCGCAGTTAGTACATGTAGGGTAGCGCGACGTCCGCTCGCCCATTGCAAAGTAACCTTTTCTCCACCCGCCCAGTTAGTACTACCCTCAGCGCCTTCATCCATTGCTTCCGGGGGTTCCGCTTGAGGTCCCATTGCTAGTACCTATCGCAATAATCACGAAAAACGTATTTTTAAGAACTCAGTATCCAAGACCATCCATCTTTATTCATGCACATTCTATGCTTTCAGGGTTTTTGTGGGGTGACTTTGAAAACTAACGGGTCAAGATACCTAAAAAATATGTGCTAAAGAATTGTTTTTCTTCAAATTTATTTGAAGAAAAACAATTAAGCTCTGCGAGAGGTATAGGACTACCTTTAAAATTACCTCACAAGAACCGTTTTTGTGGTAATCAAATTTCGTCGAAATACTTCATATGACAAAAGAACCTTTGCCAGGTCAGCTAGTGAACGAATAAATTTTCACCTTATAGATTATAGATAGTGTCGATCGATAGAATCTACATGGACACAAACATTATCTACTACATGACACGAAGACAGTAAGTCTGGTCTGGTTTGTAAGGTAGTGGTACATACCGTTATAGTTTATCTAAATTCAATGATTTAAGGTTTAAAGTTTTATTTCTTTTACAATTTCTGTACCTGTCTCAAATGCGTGTACAAAATAGTTGTAGCGGCGTGTAAAGCGCGGTGGTGTGCGCGCTGATCACCACGCCGCTCTGTCGCTGGTAAAACGTGACCGATAACAGTTGTCCGTTCCATCAATACTTGACTGAGATCCTACAACAAAATCATATACATATTATTATTGTAAAATATGGTGTGCGATAAATTAAAGGTAATACCAAAAAGTAATTAAGCCTTTTCATTTTTAATGACACAAGACGAATTGATTTACAGACAGATTGACAATACGTCTATGGTTTACGCGATAGTACACATTTAAATAAACACTTTAACGGTTTAAAACCGATATATTAGTTAAACTTATTTGAAAATGATTTTTCTTCATTTTGACTTGGCCCGACGTTTCGGATGCTTTGCAGCAGCCGTGGTCGTTCAATCTCCTATATATATAAGTGTTTTATTTAAATTTAGACAGATTGACTCTTCAATCAGGCAAGCTGTCGGCACAACCAAACTTTTCGAATTGAGGCAAGCCCGAGCACACGAGTACACTTGTCACCACTACTTCTTATCCCCTCTTTGATGACGTCATCTCAGTATTCCTCTAACAAAATATTACATGTGAGAACCAGAATAGACACCCGACCAAGGCAAAGTCTATGTTTGTATGTTTTCCCTATTGATGAAACTACTGACATAATTTGTCAAAATTCTTGAAGGAATTGAAGACGAAAAAAAAAATCAACTGCAGTGAATATGACGTATGGAAAAAATCATAATTTATTATATTGTTAACATGAAAAAAAAAATGGTTAAATAGGTCAACATTTACAATACGGTGATTATTCTGAAGTAGAATTATAAATTTTGTAAGATTAAATACACCACGACTATTATTACAATGACTCACTTACCAGCACTGTATCAGTCAACTCCTCAGGTTGAGATTCAGTGGAGTTTTCCGCGAGAAAAGCAAGGTAGGCAGCAAGGTGTTCCGGTATGCACTCAACTAGCAGCGCAGCACGGATTCGTCTAAGCGCTTCCCCTTTTAGGGCTTCCCAGTGTCGAAGGGACGGCAATAATGGTAACCAAGACCTATCAATCAACAAATAGCAGAGATTTGCATAAATAAATAACTTTATTTGGCATTGAACAATTGAATAAAGTAATATTATTAGACAGATTAATATACATAAAGTTAAAATTGCTTACTGCCCGACGTTTCGGATGCTTCGCAGCAGCCGTTGTCCATATATTTCGTGTTTAAGTTAACCGTTTAAGTGTTTGAATAATAATAAAACCCTTTATTCACAAACACAAGAACATAGACACTTAAAGTTATTTAAACAAAATACAAAATTATTAAAAAGTAATTCTACTTCACTTACTCAGGATTAACATCAGCATTATAGTCCAGTTCTGTTGTATCTTCTGATGTAGATAGCACCAGCTTCAATCCCTGAACGAGCAATTAAGAATGTTATTTATTCGTCAAATTCAGTAAAGAGAAAACAATTGAAATGGGCAATATCTTTTACCCTGGTAGCTGAAGCTCTAGTCGGCGCATGCGCATGAGAAAGTCGTTGCATGTAATAGTGAAGGACGGCCCGCGCCCCCTCCTCTGTTTGTAAAGTGCGGCGTACATGAGCACACAACTCGCCCGTCTTGCTCGTTTCGCCAGGTCCCCCCGCGCCGCCCGCTGATAGAAACTCACAGAGACACTGAACTGGCAATACGCTAAAACGACGAAAAAAATATTATACTTTTAAAAAACTGAACTTTATACATGTATGTTTCATATGCACATGGTGGCATTATATAAATAAAAATCGATTTTAAACTGAAAAAAAATTATGACACGGGCAGGACTTGTAAACGATAGCTCATTGGATTAGAGCGGTACTTGAACAGTCAGAACGCTGTGACGGTTCAAGTACCGCTCATGTAAATTTTTTAAATCTATAATCGATTTTTAATGTATATATCTCTTTATTATATTGTATAACTTTCAATACCTATCAAATCATACCTAAGCTCCAGTCTTTCGTGACGCAGTAGCTGATGCAACCAGGGCATCGCACGTCGCGTACCATGCCGTTCCACTAGCTGAAGCAATAGAGCTGGCTGGCGACATAAAAGTCGGCCCAATCGCAACTGAGAGCTTAGTCCCTGCAACGCTTCTATTACAGCCGCAGGTGGACGCCTCGCTGGGCCAAGGGGTTCCAACAAAGTTAACTATAAAAAATAATGTGTTCCTAACAAATACACTAATATAATTACACGAAATAATTTCAAAAGTAATTAGATTTATTTATTTTACACTTCCCTTAATTTAATTTGTTTTACATTATTTACCCAAGAAGGATTGCCTGGAAGGGATCGCTTAATAAAGTTTCCCATCACACTATAGTTTATAGATATTTTAATTATTATTTTTTGTTTATTTGTGTGTGTTGTGTAATTAAAAATAAATAAATAAATATTACTGGACAATAATTAAATAAATCGGCCTTAACAAGTCCAGCAACTTTCACCACCTCCTATAAACTTTTGATGACAACAACAATTTCTGACTGTCTTTCTGTATCAATATGATTTTTTTTGCGAAATTAGGTTTCACATCTTATATACCTGGCTGAGCAATCTAGACGAATGTTCAGTAATGGGAAGCGGCAATTTGTTAGCAGCATTGCTAGCAGCAGCTAGATGTGTCTCGAGCTGCAAAATAGCTGCTCGTTCCGCTTCAGACCGTTCGTTTTCTGCTGTAGCGGTACTCCATTCTATAGAAGGCTTTCTAAAAGAAACATTCATCTTAAATGTTATGTCACTTAAATATTTACGATCCAAACTAAAAAAGTAATGTTTGTGAAATAGGTATTTTCAAAGGGTTCTTTGAAGTTGCTTCCACAAGTTAAAACAAGTTTGCAAGTGAATTTGGATGCTGAAAGGACGTAAATGTAAAAGTTAATCCTATCTATGTAATTTATATTCGTACTAATTTACTTAAACTAAGAGAAAGCGTCTCTTTTTCTTTACATTTTACGAATAACGTCTAAATTCTTCTTAGCATAAGAAATGCAAGACATAGTTGATTTTAATAGTTACTGTAAAAGAAATTACCCTGTTATACAACACTCGATAAGGGCCCGTAGAGTAGGATACGTGGTTGCAGCACGCTCAGCAAACTGATGCGGATTGTGTGCAGCAAGCATCGTCAGTACTAGCCAACCTCGCCAGTATAATGCCGTAATAGCTAAAGACGGTGGTGTGTACCTATAAAATAAACACTTTTTAAACCAAGCTTAAGTATATTAACTATCAATTTTATGTTACACGAAATGTGGCACACTTAACATTAATTAATATTAATAAAATAAGATCTACTGCTTGAAACGTAAACTGCTGTAAATAATTTAAAAAATCTATTTTGGATTGAAAAAAAAATGATTTACAACAATGATCACTGTGGTCGTTGTAAGTTTTTATAAGTGTACAAAAGTGTATGTGGTTGTTATAAAGATCAGAAGACACTTTATAATCATCCTAAATTGAAATATTACAAAAAGAAACCTCTGGAAATTCAAAGGGCTTATATCTTACCCAGCTGGCAAAGTGATATTTTCGGGTGGATGGAATTGACACAACTGGAAAATGTAGTCAGCTATTTCAAGCTTGTCTACTTGCAACGGTCCATCCTCTGGTGGCAGAGCACAGGCACGGCGCACCAATTGTTCTAACAGCTCGAAGACTTCAGCGGGAGGAATGGGAATTTCCTACAAATTCATACATACACGATTACTTAAATTTTTTAATTAATGGTTTTTACTAAACTGTCACTAATGGAGTACAAATTGTAAGTATGTACATATTAGTTTATAATACTCGTTTGCTTATAAAACTATTATTAGAATAAATCTAAACATAATTCAACTAGTTTATGCCCGCGATTTCGTCCGCGTAAAATAGTTATTTTGGGCATCAATGTTTGTTTTTGGAAACATCTTCCCCCTCCTAATAAATTATAGCTGTTATGGACAATGTCCAACGCACCCCGTCGTTCTTGCGAGTTTATCCTAAAAGATAAACATATAATGTCGTGGACATTTTTCTAGATCGTTTAACGTAGAATTATTCTTTCGTATATTTTTTTTAGATATCTTGAACCGTTTTCACACGCGACGGGAACTCTAAAAGATGAAAAATTTTCCCCGTTTTTTCTTTGCTCGCATTGGTCGCAACGTGAGAGTTCCTGAGATTAGCACGTACAAACAAACTCTTCAGCTTTATACCACCTCACCAGGTTTATGTCAATAGGTTATTAGTATTTTAACGAACGTTAATTTTTTTTATTTACCTTAGAGAGTCCAATAAAAATAAGACGTAGGATGGTGTGCTGTGATAAAGGCGCTTCACAACACAAACGGTATGTCAGCGCGCGTTCAGATTCTGGTGGCCAATTATCTACTTTGCTATAGGTTTCTGCTGGCTCCACGAACATTATCTGGTAATACAAATTAATAACAGGGAATTTTAATATAGTCAATACATTAACAAAATGAGATTTTAATCCTGTACATGTCGAATTTTTTTTCAATTTATAATCGTTTTTTAATTTAAAATGAGAAATTTTAATATCATATTTGATAACAGTACCTTATTCAGGGCATGCTGGTATTCGTGACGTTGTGGACGGTAAACGGTGACGGCTGTATCTAGCATCCAAGCCAGCGCTTGCTGCTGCAACGCGCATAAGTGCGCTCTATACTCGCTGCAATGCGCACGGTGCGCCGCCGTTACTAAACAGCAGCAGCAGAACAAATCCGCTATAGAGGAAAATGCTCGCTCCCGAATCTATGGGCAATATATTATTTTAAGTTTTAACTGCTAATATAACTTGTGTTATTATATATATTGTGTTATTATAATCGTTAAAAAAAATTCGAAAATTTAGATTCTTTAAAACACAAAGTACCTCTTGCGGCGGTTCGTGTGGTGGTGGGTGCGCAAGAGCTCTCGCCAATGGCAGTAATGCTTGCGTATCGGAACGGGCGGCACGTATACACTCGCGAGTAAGTGCCCGCAGTGGCCGCAGATAATCTTCAGTCCGAAGAAGTAGTTCCTACATTTAAAACATAATTAATGTTATAAAAAAAGAAAGACTTTTAACGGTTTAAAAGTTTAACTAATATATTTTGCGTTTTGAACTGTTAAACGTGTTTTTTAAGAGGTTAACAGACTGAATGACTGTGAAATAAAATGTGACACTTTGCATTACACTCTTACTATTAGTCAGCAAATAATATTTTTATACTTTAACACTATCCATTAACTTAGTTATTTAATATATAAATTAATAGCTACTAGACACAACAAGTCTACCTTATTTCAAGAGGATTGTTATATTATTCATTAATTAATAAATATAAATGGATTATGAATAATAGTTCATGATAGACCTGAGACATGAGTACCTGATAAGTTTCAGCCATGGCGGCTGGTACAAGTTGCGGTTGCGCGTGTATGAGAGCAGCAAGTACCGCCATGTTGTTTGGTGAACGCACGTTCGATAGCTCATTATAAATCGTGTGCGTTACAACACTGCGCAGGAGAGCGGGACTATCTGACACCATCTCCCTATGAGATTACAGTTGCAAAAAATATTATATAAATTATTAGCACAATAAAATAGCTCATGCAATAAATTTGTTCAACGTATAAGAACTCAATAAAATAGTGCGGTAACAGCTGCTTCATTTTTGTCTTTCTCAATTTTTATATTACTATTATCATAGATTACAGGTTTCCCTTCTTATTGCATGCCAATTGATACATCACAAGTACACGCAGTGGTTTTGGGTTATTTAAAGAATCTTACCTAAGACAAGCCTGGTACGCACTCTGCAACGGTTTAGTCTTAAGGCGCATACGAGCGAGTTGCGCTAAAACTTCGTGATCACGCGCAGCGCTCGGTCCAGATGCGCATGCATTCGCGCACACATACGCTAGCAACTCCTGCGCAGCGCGCCACGTTTTACCCGAATGTAACCAGCCTTCTAGACGGGATGCGGCTATCATGCGAATCTGGTTATAAAATAATAAACCGTCAAAAATTCGCTTACAAATTATAATACTGTAATACGATATCTACTGTCTCTTCCTAAATTTAGATTTGTATTTCCTGTAATTTGTAATATTAATATGAATTACATTGCGCGAGAGATGTATTTATCAATAGATTGACAAAATTCGACGATGACGTGTAGGACACGGTAGCTAAATTGGTTAGAGCAACAGCCCGGAACGCTGGGGATGCCGTTTCAAGTCCTGCCCGTGTCGTAAATTTTATCAATTTATAATCGTTTTTTAATATTAAAATTTTCAAATTTATAAATATATATATATATAATATGCTCACTTCAGGAAAGCCGCATGTAGCAGATAGTAACTTTAAAAATCCCTTGCCCATAGCATCAGGTGCTGCCCGTCTTTGTATTTGCTCCTTAATGGCCTCCAGCACAAGAGCCTCCACCGTTTCATAGCTGCTTGAATATCTGTAACCAACACTGCTGTTATTTATAATATGTAAATCGGGACAATATCACACATTGAACTACATAAAATATATTTAGTTTTTTTAGTTTCTCTGACATATATGATACTTTAGTGTTATCGTTGACAACAAGAACAAAATAGAAGAAATAGCGATTTCTTCTAATTTGTTGTCAAAAGACGTTTCTTTTAAATATATATTTTTTTAATGATAGCATGGATGGGTAAATGAAATACTCCTATAGCTTCTAAACAAGATGCGTTATTATTTATTTTATTTAACTTTTTTACATACATCGTTTTACCTAACAAAATTTCAACCGGTAAAGAAACCGTCTAGCGGTTTATGCGAACCGGCTTCGGTACCTCAAGACATACTAAGTCTATAAATACTCTTTAAAATCCCCCTGCTTCTATCCGGCCTGTCCAACAGCATGTTGTGCGTATTACTGTCTAAGTCGTTCAAGTACAGAGGTAACATGTACTGCCAGGTACGTTTGCCATACGAATTGCTCGTTAGCGGCATTTCGTACCTGTATATAATCAAGTTTCCTTATGTTTCCTGGTCTAACTCTGTACTTTTTCATTTTTAATTTCTTCACAAAGTATTAAGTATTTGACTTTATTGAAAACGTTCAATACAACAAACCCTCCTCGCTTTTTATGTAGTTAGCCCTAACCGATTTTGGTACAATTGCTTTGAGGATATGCAGCTGTAGCGAATATATATGTTTTAAAACAGCGTTTAAATTTCGTTGTCGATACGTTGTGTATTTTGGCTTTGGATATTATTTGAAGGTTTAAATAACATTATAAAACTGTATTTTCACTTATATTTCCAACTGTCAAAGAATCCCAGCAATATTATATTTTTATACAATAAAACATTGTTTTAGCAACAAGATACTACTCAAATAGGTCAAAGTATATAAACTATTTTATAGATGGTAAATAAATATTCGTAAAACAGTAGTAATGCATTGTTTAATTAATTATCTTAGCGCCATCTTCATTATCCGGAACGTAACGTTGTAATTGCACACATGTCGACCAGAGCGAATGGATTCGCAAGGATATAGCTACATTGCGAATCCATTCGCCCCGGTCCACACGCACCATTTGGGATTCGGGTACAGCTTTGGGATGCAAATTCTCTCTAATCCTAAATTGCTGAAACGCACGCATGTAAAATACACTTATACAAAAATATTATCTACAAACAATAGACAAAATAAAAAAATAGACAGTCATTAGTTTTAAGAGTATTTAAAAACATTATATACAATCTTTTGCTCTGCAATATTATTTAAATGCTGAAAATAGTGAAGTACCTTGGGAAAACAGTGTACTCCAAATCGGTATTATCAACATCATCTTCTGTGCTTCCCATCAAGGGTGACCCTGAACCTGATGGAGACATTGTACCTGAAATAATAGTAAACGTCGTACATCCCTAGAATTCAAAAAGAAATATCTTCTATACATTTTTTTTTCAAATTTACATAATAGAAACAAATCGGTGAAAAAAAAGGTTTACTAGGAACAATTATTTCGTAAAGAAATTAAACGAATTTCTTTACGAAATAATTGTTCCTAGTATCGTTAGCATACTAAATCCTACCAAGGGTATTGTCCGATGGAATAAGATGCGTTGGCGGCTGTTTAGTACTGAAGGCCGTCACGATATTCTCCACCAAGCATTTGCACCACGAGCAATCCACCCACCATCTTTCGTTGAGGGCATCGTCCAAATACACCTGTAGGAATCATCAATATTATTAGAAAGTTACGCAAGTTTGACTATTTCAATTGAGTAGGACAGAATAGGTATTCGCACTAGAATTTCCTATTTAAATCGTTTGGAGAAAATAAAATTGTTCATAGACCAAATGTAAAACTTACAGACGAGCGTTCATGGTGATGGACGATGCGTGAAAGCCTTAGTCATAGGAATAAAGGATATGTCCCAATCAATAATTGATACGCGCATGCGAACTGCGTTTCATGGAAAACCCTAGCTTTATTGATGAGAATGCATGTGCATTATTTACAGGTACACTACCAACATTTGAGGATAGCGCACAGGTACTACTTTAGAAGAATTTGCTTAGTCATCACTAAGAGATGTATAACCGTTAATAAAATAATATAGAAAAGAAGTTTTTCAGCTCTCTCTTTTCAATCTTCACATTTAAAAAAACCTGTGACCATTTAACTGATTTTTTTATTATATTACAATATACATAAAATATAAATCTATATATATATTTATAAAATTTAAAATACTTTTCTTAACTCTACTGACAGACAAAGAATTAGTTCTAACTACAACTTAATTAGGTATAGAAACTATATAATCAATTAATGAAATACCCCAACCATATAACATCTAAACTAGATGCGCTGTCGACCCATTTTGGCTTTGGATATTCGGAAAACCACAGACTTTGACTATAAAACACGATTGAACTTCACGTCTTTACATTTATGGAGGGTGGACCTGACGAGGACGGATATTTCTACCATCTATTTAATATCCATATATGATGGGGAAATGGGTGAAATGGTCAGCTGATGGTGTGGGCTGATCACCCGGCCTGCTATGTAGGTATCCACGATAGAAAATAATAATATCCATATTTCCAAATACAGTCCAATGTGTTTAAAAAAATTATAAATTAATTAAAAACCCATTGGTCCACATTATTAGCATTACACCAACAAATCCGTCTAGAACAATAGTAAAAATACTTTATGGAGAATAGAAAATATTCATTATCTAGTCTTTTAACACTACCTTACCTTAATAAACGTATCTGGCCAATTATTGCTATCCTTATGCCCGGCATACAACATATTGCAGGCAAGCACAAACACTAAAGGATTGCCTTTGCTTTTAAATGCTGCTCCTTGCTCCCTCTTTAGCAGCGTGCATAACGTCTGCGTTACAGTCTCATGGGCAAACATATTGGGGCGAATCTTTGTTAGGTACAGCATACCCATACATAGTATAGGGTCAGGCTTTGAGCGCTGAGATTTTAATAGGCGTATTGAACCTGTTAAGAGTCCCAACTGTAAAAAAATTGATATATTAACTATATATTGCTCTAATTTACATACCTCTAAATTGTTGCTAAAAAAAGCTTATGAAACTATATACATTGTGACAAAAAGAAAATTCCATTTCCATCCCCCACATGATGGAAAACACATTTATCCATCCATTATTTACCGTATCTACTTCACTGATCAATTAAGTTACAGCCAAGTTTGTTCATTGGACTTGACCGATACAATTTATTATTACCATGAGATTAGAATCCAGGATCTCATATGAAAGTAATGCAGCCAGTATGATTATGGTACAATGATCTAGTTTGTTTATAAAACAATGCAGTTAATCCAAAAGAAAACTCTTTCAATATGCACAAAATACAGATTTTACTTTAGTCGAAGTTTGTTCCCATATAACTAACATTCTATAGGTTGCTTTATTAAATTTAATATAAATGTTTACAATCAAGTTATACTTACAAGCTTATCAGAATTATGTGTATCTAAAGCTTGTAACACATTAGGAACCAAATCTACAGGATCAATTTCGAGAGAGGTTGTTGTCACTGACTCTGCTGGAGATCCAATACGTGACCTCTTACTTGGAGGTTGACTTCCAAATCCTGAGTTTTCCCGTTTTCTTTCTACAACCCCTAAAACAAGAATAATACATATTCTAATGTAATGCTTAATGCTAAATAAAATCTTTTATTTAATGATTATTTTTGTGAGTGAAGAAAGAGCAGGCAGCAGAAAATGTATTATATCTTGGAAGCACTTGGCCTCTTATTCATCTTTATCTTTTATTTATATAGATGATTACAATAATCAATATTAGGAAAATATCTTTAACTAAACTTAACAAAACAATGCCAGCTGGTCAGATTTAAGCCTATCAAATGAAAATTACCACTAGTTGAAGGCTTATGGATACTCCGTTTTTCAGAATCTCTCGAAACTACAACAGTAGACTTGCTACCAAGAGCAAATATATCCTGAGGATGCTGAGGAGCCTTGCTTTTTCCACCGCGACCGGCAGAAGACATTTTACCACGCTCCATTATTCGAGTTGTACTATTCAACTATGCCTAATGCGTTTTCAATTCGCCAGTTTCATTTTTTTATCAAATTCCAATAATAACAATCTAGATTAAATCTAAATAAACAATGTTATAATATTATTCCTGCAAATCGTAGGCTTATACGACTTTTGACGTCTACTAAAGCAATGTTTTGACGTTAATGACTGTCATAATAGAAATTAGAATGTAATAATCAATTGTCAGTTGTCACGAGCTGTGTCACTAAAGGGTAAATCCCTTAATTATTGTTTTTAATCTATAGTGGCCTGGGGGGACAAGTGACATACCTAGTTATATAGCTATTCGCAAAACTGATCAAAACAATAACAAACAAATTTAAACGTTGGCATTGAAAATAATACATCTAACATATTAATTATAAATAATGTAGTTTCGTTTGCATTCTTTTGTCTGCCTTTAGTTATTGTATTCTAAAATACAATGTATACTTTTCGATTGAAAGCTGCTGTGCTTATAAATTTGCTTACAGTAACAATTGTCAGAGGAACAAAATATGGTTATATCACATGGAAAAATAAAGCTGTCGTGTCTGTAAGCGAGACTATCGAAGATATACCTGATGTGCACGTAGCTAAAGCAACATACAGCAATGAAATTAATTCCACCGGGTAAAGAGAAATACTAGTTCTTTTCACACATTAAAGAGTTATTTTATACCTTGAATAAGTATCTATATGCACTGGGTAACTACTATAAAAATTTAAAAAAAAAACAATAATTAAATCCAATTGTTTGTAAGGTGGGCCTTTCTGGAGTTGCATACATCACCTGACTCCAGTGATGAAAAACAAGCTTATTCTGCTGGTTTCTTAGAGGGATTCCTCACCAGGGACTTAATCTGGTTGCATTGGCAAAATATGCTTAAAGGGTATGCAACTTTTTACTTTACTTGTAATACAATAAATTCAATTGAACATAAATATACTTGGATGGCCAACCAACATAGATTTAAGTCTTGAGTAGCTATTAAAACTTAATAGAACTCATGTCACGTTATTGAAGACAACAATCTATTACAATTGTTTAGCATGAATAAAATGGGAAACTGCTAAATATATTTGTTATAAGTTACTTGCTTAACCTACTTGCTTTACAAAAATGAAAAATATTAATAAAAACATAAGTTACTCCCTCCCTTTTCCAACAAACTAATTAAACATTTATCTAAGACTAGCTGCGCCAGCGACTTCGTGCGCGAGAATCGTTATTTTGGGCATCCAAATTCGTTTTTGCCAAACCCCTTCATCTTTTGCTGTTGTGTACCTTAACAACTTACTGTTAACTTTGGTCGCGTTCCTTGCCGTTGTTCTTTCAAGTTAAGCTAAAAATATAAACATGTAGCGTCGCGGACTTTATTTTAGATCATTTAAAGAGGAATCATTAAATACTGTCTTTAGTTTTCGCGGGGTGTTTCCCTTTTTATTAAAACCTTTTTCGGTTTTAAATCCGTTTTTTTTTTTTTTTTTTTTTTTTTTTGTTATTTTTCATACTTCGGCCCGATTCGATCTTTTCTCCCCCTTCCCCCCCCCCCCCCCCCCCCCCCCCCCCCCCCCCCCCCCTTTGAGTATTATTTTCAAAAATTTCCCTAAAATTCGCTTTTAAACCGTTAGTGTTTTATTTAGAGGAATCATTATTTTTCATGCTTATTTTGGGTTTTTGAACCCAATTTTCCCCTGTATCTTCGCAGTTCTTCCCAGTCATAGAGCGATGTTTTATAGCCTATAGCCTTCCTCGATAAAATATTCTCTAACCGACACAGAAATATTTTTTTTAACCCGTTGAAAACAACCGAACAAACAAAATCGTCAGCTTTATATATTAGTACTAGCGGCCCGTCCCGGCTTCGCACGGGTAGACATATAGGTCTACAGATACAGTGTAAACTCTATATAGCGACACTAAAGGGACTGTGCATTTTATGGCGTTATAGAGAGTTGTCGTTAAATGGAGAGAAGAAACATTGTATAAAAAACAAGCTAAACCAACCAAAGCCAATTAATTTCGACGCTTAAGAGAGTTTGTCGTTAAATAGAGTGACGTTACATCGAGTTTACACTGTATTTAAATTATAAGCATGCTAATGAAAACGACCACTAAATAAATTAGTATAGATAGATAGACCAGATAAAGTATTGCCATGTTTCTTAATATAGCATCTTTTGAATATAATTGCTCATCTTGCTTAAACGATGCATACTTATAATATCTATTATGTTAAAATATAAATATTTTGTTATAGATACTGCTATAATAAAACAGATGTTTGTGGTCTGATAGAAGACTATGTAGACACCAATGAAAAGTACTTAGCTGACATGGTCCATAACAATGCAGATGATGCGTACTGGTATCATGTAAGTTCTTTATGACAGATCTCTAAGGTATTTGACCAGAATCTTTTAGTCATTCTGGAAATGTAGCTAACATATAAAAAAAATCACAAAAAGAAACTCTACTAAATGATGGGTGTCTGAAACAAAGTAACCCAAGTGCCATTATGTAAATATTTACATACATATATGTATTTAAGATATGGACATTAGTGTTTTTTTTCTATATCATTAGTTATCAATATGAAACTTATATTATAGAAGTTTCTTTACTTATTAAAATGTATGTTGCATAGATAAAACTTTATAAGATCCAACTAGAAGGCTTAGCTGCTGGATACAACCAGGCTACAGCGGACCCTTATCAATGGTTGTCAATTCGCGATATTCTGTAAGTTAAACCATATGTTTATTTCATTAAAAATTTGTCTCTGATACCCGTGTGTGTCTTGTAGATGGATAAACATGCTTGGTGACTTGGACGATTTAGCATTTGCTTTAACAATGCCTAAAAACACCCCTGAAGGTCTCTTGTTTGGTGAACACTGCAGTGGACTGGTTAAACTGCTTCCCGATCATTCAGAACTTTTTACTTCTCATGTCACGTGGAACAGGTACGTATAAAATTGCATTACTTTAAAACTTAATAACAAGGCATTGAGGTCTCAACCGCCATTTATCAAATGTTTTAAGTAATTTTATTGTATTTTAAAGCTTGAACAAATAAAGTAATTTCACAATTGTTGAATCTGCTTACCGTCCTACTCAGCGGTTCAAAACATAATTATACATACTACTTACTATCATTTCGAACGTGAGAACTAAGAGATATATATTATACATTATTAACATATATTAGTACATATATAAATGTCTGTTAAGATAAAATAAAAGCTTACAGTTTTCTTTTTCATTTGTGTTTTACCTGATTACCTATTATAATCATTTTTAATCAAATAAAAACTGTTTCTCTTATTCTTTAAGTTATCAATCGATGCTTCGCTTACAAAAAATGTATGTGTTGAACTACCGTACATCGCCTAACACAGCTAAAGTCATTCCAGGCAGGAAAATGGCGTTTACCTCTTACCCTGCGTTTATACAGGTAAAACATGCTAAATTAAAAAAAAATGTTTCGTCAAGTTACGTTAAAAGAACTAGTACAGTACGACTCAGAGGAAGGTAGGAAAGAAAATTATTATTTTTAATCTTGCTCGGTCTCCTGACCTTGTCCGACCAATGAAATAGTTTCTCTTATTATACCTTAATTGGTTTCAGTCTACAGACGATTGGTACATAACATCAGCTGGCCTGGTCGCGGCGGAAACCACAATTGGCAATAGCAACCGAACTCTATACGAGTTCATACAGCCCTTGGGACAGGTAAATTAACGTAGAGAACAAACAATTTTTTCTTCCTATTTATTGGTTAAACGGCTTGATAAAGTTTATTACTCTTTACGTAACATAACGTACCTACGTATCGACATCTTATTCTAATGGTTTAGTTACGTTTGATTAATAGGACATCAGCGAAGCCAAGAGAATATTCTTGTATACATATATTTCACACTAAGGCACGTTTAGTGTGCGTGTACGTGAGGATGAATTTAAATCTCGAAAAGCCAAATTGTTTCAAAAAATTTTAAACTAATTACCTACCTATTCACTGTTTCTTTGTATCACGATACATCAATGCTGTCATCATTTTTAACTAAGTTAATCAGAAATTATTCGCTTTAGATAATGGAATTCGTGCGAGCAATGATCGCAACTCGATTGGCAACGAGCGGTGCGGAATGGGTGGACATATTCCGGAAACACAACAGTGGCACTTACAACAACCAATGGTTGGTAATTTTTGTATAAAAAGCTAATTTTGATGGTGAGGAAATGTACATTTGGTTGGAATGACACTATACACTTTTAAAGGATATTAATAAATTTAAGTCTCAGTGGCCTTACTTATACCATAAAAGTTCATTCAAAAGTTCGTTCAAAGTCAATTGTACGTATACGATACAGCTTTTGTTTTACTGCAACGAATCAGATTATATAATCCTCATTGTACAAGTTGGTTAAAAAAATTAAATAGATATTGCATAATAGAGCTCGTTTGTAGTCCATTCATTTTGATTCCAGGTACATAGTTGACTACAAAAAGTTTAAAAGGAAAACTAAGACAAGTGAAGGTAAAGTGGAAGCCGGTCTTTTATGGGTTCTTGAACAGTTGCCTGGATTTACAGAAGCGGCTGATCTGTGAGTAATTGAAATATTTCAATATTTGACTTAAGTTTTACTAATAAATTAAAAATACTCAATCACTTTTAAAATTACGAACCGACTTAAAGTAAAAGTTCTAATACATAACTGTACAGACTATATTATTTAAAATTAAAACAACATAAGGGATTAAATCGTGATATACTATTAGTTAATCTTAATAGTAAATGATTTAACTACGGCACACTTTGAGCTAGTATTAGCTATTGTATGCTGGTATTAGATTTCGATCTATAATTGACATATTGTTAGAGACTTGTTTATATTCGTAGTATTCTTGTTTCAGTACAGATGAATTAAAAAGAACCACATACTTTCCATCATATAACATCCCCTACTTCCCACGAATGTTTAACTTGAGTGGTGGGAATGAGCGCATCGCTACTTTTGGCGAATGGTTCGGATATCACACTAACCCTAGGGCGAAGATATTTCGAAACAAACAGGTATAATTTGTTATCAGGCTGTATTATATTATATATTACACTATTATGCTTCTAAAATGACGGGCTCATTAGTGTAATGGTAGCAATGTACAGCTAATCAACGGGTCGTCGATTCGATCCCCCACCGGGGCCAACAATTTCTTATTAAATTTATAATTATTCTGAAACATGTTGAACTTGTCTGGGAATTAATTACGTGATAAGAATATCGAAATCCTCCGGGAACGATACACCGCGTAACATGAGCCGTGAAAACAGGTTTCCGCTGCAGTTTGTGGATTTCCGAATATCTCAACCCAAAATAGGTCAACGGCACATCTTGCGATGCTATAGGCTGGGGATATTTGACATCAAGTAAACCCCATGCTTGGCTGTCCACTTCTACCATTAAAAAAAATAATAAAAGATGCGAATGCTTTGAAATACCCCCTGTATTTCTGTACAGTCGGCCATAACATCGCTCAGTGACATGTTTCGTACGATGCGTTATAACGACTACAAACACGACCCTCTATCGCACTGTGCCACTTGCCATCCGCCGTACAGCGCCTGCAATGCTATTTCAGCACGAAACGACCTAAATCCAGCCAATGGTATGCTTCTATAATTACTAAATACTGTTTGTAGTTTACGCAAAATTTAAATAAAACACTTTAATCGTCTAAAACTCGAACTGTATTAGTTAAACTTATATTAATATGATTTTAATTACGGCCCGACGTTTAATGGTCATGGGCGCCACGGCTGCTGCAAGGCATAAGTTTAATTAATATATTTGGCGTTTTAAACCGTTAAGTCTTTTATTTAAATTCTATATAATTATTTTACTTAACGAAAATTACGGATAATGTCAAGCGGCCAATGGTTCCGTATTATTATTGAGATGAACCAGGCTTATAATGTACGTTCTTTCTTTCATAGGAACTTATCCGTTTCGAGCCTTAGGCCACCGTAGCCATGGTGGCACAGATGTAAAAGTCACCAATTCCGAGATGGCGCAAAATTACCACTTCCTTAGCGTATCGGGACCCACCCATAATATCTCAAGAGGGATACCACCTTTCCAGTCAGTATAGTTTCAGTTCATTTGAATTAATTTATCATACCACTCCAATATTCGAACCTATTAACCACCTGTGATAGTGGCGTTTTTAACATATTTAAGTAAGAAAACACGCAGAAACGTTTTACATGGCGATCTTTTAAAAATTTGCGACAGCACAGAATTGAAGACTATAGTCTAGCAAGGAAAATATTTATTGACTTTTACTTCTAGGTGGAGTACATTTGACATGGGTACAGAGGTATTTCACGAAGGTCATCCAGATGTGTGGCTATTTCCCCCTCTTATTCATCACTGGCAATGGGGGTAGACAACATGAAGACCCAAACATAAGTGAATATAGAGGGGAAGAAAAGAGATTACTTATTATAATTATTATTGAATCAAATAAGAATTCTATACATTTTGAAACACGCCTTGTTATAAAATATTTAAAATTTTACATTTTAAAGCCAAAACATGAAAAAAGACTTTATGTTGCTTTTATGATGGTTGATTTCTGAAAGATACAGTAGAGAAAGAAGATATGAATCTTGAAGTAACATCAAAATGTAAATGTTTTTACTTATATACTTCGTTATTAGAAGTAGTTTTACAGGGCTTACAATATCAAAGAAAATACTATAATAATCTTTTATTTGGATTATAAGGTATAACTTAAAGACTTAATTGTATAAATAAATCGTTGACATCAGTGTGTCCTTTCATTGATTAATCTATATACATAATCTACTAATGAGATTTGATCCTACTGCATGTAGTCCATACAACTAAATGCAATTAACAATGTTATTCAACTTTTTAATGACAAAAAAGAGAACAAAATATTTACAATACTATAACAAGGATTTAAGTCACATGACAGTATAGAATGTTTGAGAGTATTAATTATTAAATAATTTGTAAATTATTTCATATTATATGGTGTACTTTATATATTAACATTTAACATTAGAGACCACAAAATACCCAAAACATTACTCTAAAGAATTGAGCATAAGCAGTTGCTTTAATACTTTGGTCTGTGATGTTTCTCGTATTTCACCAGCAAGGAACATCTCATCAACTACTGTGTACACCTGAAATGCAAAAATGTAGAAAACTAAAAATGGGTGAAGCAGAGTCAAGCATACTGTTTCAGTTAATTTATTAAGTAGCAAACTTTGTAGAGCAATTCATTGTTTTAAAATAGACCTACCTTATAAAAATTGAAGACCAGATCTAATTCACACACATTATGGAAGTACTCATTCAGTACTTCAACAAAATTGTGTATTGCTTCCAAATAGCACAGATTATTGTCATTGACATCCACACAAATGCAGAAATATAATCCAGCATAACGCCTGTACACAATTTTGAAGTTTCTAAACTGTAAATATCGAAGGAAGTTACTTTATTCATTACTTACAATATATATAAATATTACCTAAATATTATAATGATTGACACTTTAAAGTACGAACCTCTACAAAGTTTGTATGTTTAGCATCCCTTACAGTAACAACAGCGTGAACTTCTTCAATTAGCTTCTGTTTTTCATCATCATCAAAATTCATGTACCACTTTGCTAATCTAGTTTTACCTGCTCGGTTTTGGATCAAAATGAATCGAATCTGTAATTGTGAAACAAACATTACTAAAATTTAAGTCTTAAATGATGAGTAATTTTACTCGTTCTTGTTTTATACCATTTTATTGTGTTTTAATAATGAATTTAAATTTTAATGCCACCGCTCAATAGATACGCCTCCTTAAGTTCTTTAAAGTTTAAAATTTGACAAAATGACAGTGACTTCTGTCAATATATTTTGACAGGCTATATAACAATTAGAGTAGTAATTGCCACAGATGTATGTGAGTTGTAGTTTATTGCAAGCTTTATCTAAGTTCTCATTTAATATTTAAAACGTATAGAATACCAATAATTCTATTTAAATTTCCTAACCATCTTAACTTATACACATATAATAGTAGCTAGTTTGAGATGAAATGCAATTTCCTACAAATCAATACTTTTTTAACAATGGCAATAAAAATATCGAGTTGTTTTTCAAATGACAAAATAATTACATTTTCAGTGTTTTTTTTGACGTTGATAATCTAACTTGTTATCCTCTAGTTTTCCTCAATGTAGTGTTTAGGTTTCCAATATGTCTTTAATATAAGTAGATTATTAGAATTAACATCTACTGGAATCTTAAATGACGCCCACGAAAACTACAACAACTGAAGTAGAAATGGTGATACGAAATAGAAAAACTGTTATGAAAGACGGGATCATGACAATGTCGGGTATCGGCGAGCCTTCGGTTTTTCACGCTCTGGTGGTGATATTTTTGGAATTCTTCGCATGGGGATTATTGACGATGCCAATAATATCAGTGCTAAACGCTACGTTCCCCGACCATACGTTTTTGATGAACGGACTTATAATGGGTATCAAAGGAATTCTATCATTTTTATCTGCACCTTTGATTGGCGCTCTATCGGACGTATGGGGACGAAAGTTTTTCCTGCTGGTGACGGTTTTTTTCACTTGTGCACCGATACCATTAATGACGCTAAACACATGGTGGTTCTTTGCCATGATAAGCTTGAGCGGAGTATTTGCTGTGACCTTCTCCATTGTGTTCGCGTACGTGGCTGATGTAACGACAGAAGCTGAGCGCTCACGAGCCTATGGTCTTGTATCTGCAACATTTGCTGCCAGTATGGTGATATCACCAGCATTAGGTGCTTACTTGATGAATCTGTATGGTGAAGCTCTGGTGGTCGTAGCTGCGACCGCAGTCGCCGTCCTCGATGTATTTTTCATCATGGTAGCAGTTCCTGAAAGTCTTCCCGAGAAAGTCAGACCAAGTGGCTGGGGGCCTGCTATAAGCTGGGAGCAGGCTGACCCATTCGCCGCGTTAAGGAAAGTGGGAGCAGACCGTACAGTGCTGATGCTGTGTGTTGCAGTATTTTTGTCATACTTACCTGAAGCAGGACAGTATTCTTGCATATTTGTGTACTTGAAATTAGTGATGGGATTTGGTGTAGTGCAAGTGGCAATTTTCATCGCCATAGTTGGTGTACTCAGCATCGCTGTACAAGTGGTACTGGGTTATCTAATGAAGTCACTAGGGGCAAAACATACAATTATGGTTGGACTTTTGTTTGAGATGCTACAACTTATGTGGTATGGATTTGGCAGTCGCACTTGGATGATGTGGGCAGCCGGGGTGCTAGCCGCCCTAGGATCTTTAACATATCCTGCAATCAGTGCCTATGTGTCTGTTAACAGCAGAGCAGACCGACAAGGTGTTGTACAAGGAATGGTGACAGGTGTCCGTGGGCTATGCAATGGTTTGGGTCCAGCCATGTTTGGTGTAATATTTTACCTTTTCCATGTGGATCTCAATGAAGAACATGCTTTGGCTGGCATGGAAGGCAGACCTGATGATGACAAATATATTAGGATTGTGCCTGGCCCTCCCTTTGTTTTGGGTGCATTACTGGTGATTTGTGCACTCCTAGTGGCTGCCTTCTTGCCCGAAGACAATGTAGTGGCTGCACGGCGTACGCCTCCAGACCTGCGATTTGAGATTGAACATGGCCGACGTGTTGCTGGCCCCCTGTCACCGTTGATGGCTCCCGAGTCTGCAGCTCTCTAGCTAGCGGCCAAAGCTGGCCGTGCAGCCAGCGTGTGAGTTCCTGGGCAGAAGGCCATGGCAGTGAATGCATTTATGAAGGTACCAAAGCAAACTGTGAGTGATGTGAGTCAATCCTCTAAACTACATTCCTGTGACCATCACCTTTGTTTCTGCTTCTATGCTGTTACTGTTTTAGACTTTTATCCTTTGTAACATTTGGCTCTCGAGAGCATGTAAATATAAGCATTAGTAATAAATCATTTCAAATTGTAAAAGTCCTCTATTTTAAAACAACACACAATAACATTAGCTTATGTATGCAAACTTTTCAATAAAATACCTAAAAGGTTTTTTATTATACATACAAGTATTATGTGTCAAACAATATTATCCTTTGGTGTTTATCATCCATTACATTAATAAATATTATATTATTATTTCATCAAAAAAAAAATGCAATAAAATTCAGGGTTTTCCAATAAGGATCTTATTTATCATGTCATTTTTGTAAATATATCTATCACTTACAATCTGTGAGTCACACATTGTATAGTAAATAGAACACGATTTATCTATTGATTGCAATTTTATTAAATGTATAAGTGGCTGCAGATAAATCTACAGCAGCAAACTCATTTTAGAGTCGCAAGAAATAAAGCAAAGCTAAATTCGTATATATTCCGTCGTTGATCTTTTAGCAAACATATCACGAAAAAAATATTACAGGTGTTTTATTGAGCCAATTACAAATTTACTTTTTTATCGAAATATTATAAAATACTATTTTCACTACTAGAACTACTTTCTTCCGCGACTTTATTGATATATTATAAAAGTTATATTCTAATATGGAATTATTTTAGATGATCTAATTCAAAACAAGTTAAAGAACGTTATCTTTATCGCAATCAATAGACTATTGTCTGATCGCAGTCGCCGAAGGTTGGCGATCTGCGACATTCATTTATTAAAACAGAAGCTACAGGTCTGAAAAATATGAAGTAAAATTAAATGCAGTTTATTTTTAGCAACAACAAATTAAAGGATTGCTAAGACTAAAATTTAAAAGTTACTACGCTCTTAATTGCGCTGTTTCTTATTACACAGGTATCCTAATGCGACTCCCACTAAGCTATATATAGAACTCCAAAATAAATATCATATTTTTGCTTTAAAAAATAACTATTGCTTATTATTAAAGCAATTTCAACGGTCTTTCTCAAAATATAACTTAATTTCATTTTTTAAATCTTTAAAATATTTTTATACTTCAACAAGGTTCCCCAGTGAAGTAAAAAACCCACTTCCCTAGCCGTCCTACAAATCGGAATTTCTATGCGCGTAGAAGGATAACGCTCTGCTTATGACTTGCAGAATATTTTCGTGCCGCTACAGGATCGTCATACTAGTTATATGTGAATTTTAAAATAAAAAACTTTTGCAAAATTACGAATGACAACAGACCTAACTCATTCACGTCTTGTCTAATCAAATACCTACGATAAACGATATCAGTTGTTATCACATTATGTGGGATAATAGCTCACTGAAAACGCGCACGTGAAATATGATAATACATTTTATTACTCCAAACCCACGAAATTATAATTACTGGGTGCCATGAAGGTTGTAAAGGCTTTTGTCTTATTGGTTTTATGAAGCTCTGAATCTATATCTCCCATATTCCCTATTTAAACATTTCCGTAATAATGTATTCAAGAGAATTAGTAAAATGATACAATGAATTTTCATGTACGGATAATTGTACATCTCGAGCTATTATTTGAGTAGGTGTATTAACGCGGGATAACGTCACCGAATGACGTCATCGTCCACGAAGTAAAGAGATATTTCGCAATAGGAGTGGGCAATTGATTCTCACGCTGCACACGTTTTGGAAACTTCGCTACGTGATCATTTCTTTTGTTAGAGTTAAACATATTAGTTTGGACTTTACATTGTCTTAAATTAGTTAGTTAAAATTGCCAAGATCAGAAAGAATAAAACTAAATTTTTCTTTTCGTTTGTGTTTATGCTCCGAGCACATTCTGAGGCCATTGAATAACTTTGCATTATTATAAAACCTAAACTTTGGGAAGGTCAATGACATAATTAATTAAATTATGGTAACACCTCGAAATTACACAGCCTTGTTAAACTCGAAGAATAACATACATGAATAATTATTATAATTAATTAAAATGTCGAGAAAATATTTTAACTATGCTATGGTCTACAGGTATTTAACCTACTTTAAAGACCAAAATAGATATTATGCATTGGAAACAATAGTTTTCCAACTGTATATGAGACGGATCATCGTAGAAAGCCATACAAACACACGTAAATAATCCTCCTTTTCACGTAATTATTGGATCACAAAGACTTTTACGAGGACCTTAACCTTCGTATTATCCTATATCAGCGAGATACATGCCAAGGTTTATAATAAATATGTTTAGTCACGTAAAAACCGCATATTGTTGTCAAGGTGGGCTAATCTTTTGTTGTTACAGGTAAAATATGTTTCCAAAAAAAATATGTATCGAATCTGACGAAATCGTGGAACCAAAAATAAATTATGTTACAGTTAAAGCGAGCCACCTATTCAGATCCAACGAATGCCTTAATGATGAATTTCCACATAAAGCCTATTTTAAAAGAAAGTAATGGAAATTTACATTTTTATGGGAAAATAGCCTTATAATCGTTTCCCTAGAAAAAAATAAGATTTTGTTGAAATAAGCGCGATAAAAGGCGCGATATGACTGCTTATTGTTATCACTGCGCTTTGTATAAAAGCGGAGGTAGGCGTATGGAGGCGTCTTTTGTACTCCGGGTAATATTACTTGCTTTTAAAGGAATATGGTTTTCACGCCTGCAATGGAATATATCTTAAGATCTAATTGTCTCTGTTTTCTGACAGAGTTATTAAAAGGAAAGATACTTACTTAGCTATCGTGTTATTGTGTGATGTTAAATCTCCTAATTACTGATTTTTACTGAGCGAAATTATGTTGACCCGGCGCCTAAGTTACAAATATTATAGTTATGGAAAGTTCACGAATTTATTTATTGATACGATTATCATCTGTCATACCCTTATGTCTAAACTATAATTAGAATTAACTTTAAGTGTCCTTCACCATATTTGTTTCATGCGACTTCTTGTACAAAATAATAGGTATTTAAAAAACCTCGTAAAGTACATCACTACTTAGATTAACGATAACATTACCATAGATACAAAAAAGTTGGTTTTTATCTTGCTTGTAAATAAAACAGTCTGCCTCAGTTCAGTAGAACAGTAGGACCTACCTTCGGAAAAATATATTCTACCAGATACTAAATAACGAAGCAATGAAAAAGGGGGAATGTTGCTAAGCAGAGAATAAAAAAATATAGCATCTATTGTAATACATTTTTCATGTAACATAATGAAAGGAATTACATACTTTGGAGTGTGCCTAATTTTGAGGCCTTTTGTTACAAAATGATATTTTCAGACAAGGCCAAATAAAGTCTATATAAGAGGAAGGATTCAATTAGATTTGTTTGTTTTCATAAATATAAGTAAGATTGTAAATAAACTGTACAATAATAATGAATAAAAACAGTAAAAATAGATAAATATGTATGTCGTTCCCTTTAGAGGGTAAGTGTTGAAACGTTTACATTTTATTTGTGTTGAAGGACTAATCGTGGTCGGGCAGACTTAGATTTAACATAATATTAGAATAAGCTATAAGTTTTAGATGCCTAAGCTAATATTGTATTATAGTGAGACTATGTAGAAATAATCCAGACCATTTATGGCCTGTCACATTATTTTTATTCGGCTGTTGGGAACACATTGGGTGTTTAAAAGCACCCAAATCCTAGTTTCCTACATAAAATGTGCCGCTTTCCCGGTCCACTTATTACGAAATTCGCATTCAGGGATTCATGTTTGTCATGATTCACGTTTTCATCAGTTTTGGAACTATGTGACGCGCCATCAGTGTGCTGCTGCTCTAAAAATATGCTGTATTTTTGTTAAAATTGTACCTAACATATCTTGCTAGTAAGCACCGGCTAGTTAGGCAACACGGGATCTTGGCTAGTGCTTTTCGTTATTTTGTAAAATAGTCCAATTTTAGTATTCCTAGATATTAAATAGAAAGTATTAAAGTAGAATAATTCGCTCAGATTGCGGACTGTGCGCTGTGGCGTCAATTAATGTTCATTGAAGCACAAATAAATGGTTTGTCAACTGGTTATACGATTCGGCATTCACTATTTTGATCTGGCAATTTTTGGGACCACGCTTTGTAATTTCTAATTTTGATGTGATCCTTTTAGTGCGGCAGCCGTTATGTTTGTTTCGTATTGTAACTAAATATGTTTAAACAATGGTTATAACAGCTTGCAGTTTAAATAAATTGTCTAAAACAACGTATGTTCTAACTTTTAGCGCGTGTTGAGTTAATAAATAATTTGTTGTATTATTAAACCCTGATTTTAAACCACTATTAAAGATCAGCGCATGTCATAATGCAGAAAAAGATATCGATTTCGCGCCAGTTGACGACACCATAGATATGATCAATATTTTATATAGTCTTTTTGCAATTTCACACTCCAAGTTGTAACGTATGACTATTAAATCGGCATTTGCATTGAGTGAGATATTTATTTTATTGTAATAATACGATGTGAAGATTTTATATTTTATAAAGTACAATATTGCCGTGTATGTGATATTATTTTGGGACTACACCTGTGGCCCGACGCGATAGCTCTTTCTAATTTATTATTGTTCATATATTAAAATACCCATGGTTAAATATGTCTACACAAATCATTTACTGTGCATTGTATATATTTACGAAATTGGGTTGTTTGTAAAATTAAAAGTTTGAATTGCTGAATGTTGACAATGGTTTTCCTTGAATTTTGTTAGATCGATTATAAAGTTATACTACACTTGGTTTAGATTGATGTTTTCAGCAATTTTAACGTTTAATTCTGTGTGAGACCACTAAACCATATTAATATGCTTCTATGTTGAGAATTAATAAATCTGAATGTAGTCACTATTACTTTTATTATTTTTCCATAAAAAAACTCATCATTAAGATTGCGTGAGAAAATAAATTCGTAATTTTTTTTTTTAATGAAAACATCAACAAAGCTAAGAGACAAAAGCATTATTTCAATACGTCTCTTACTAAAGATAATTCTGCGATTTAATCACTGCACAGCTACATACTACTAAGGATATCAATATACTCGCAAATAACATATTTTTATTCAACTTCAAAAACATAAATGTACAAAATATTATGGAATCGTCAACCAACGATGACTTAAGTTTTAGGTTAAAATGTTAAAGAAATACATGCCAAATTTCACAAGATCCTTAATTTCTAATATTCTTAACAAACGATTTGCAGTAAAACACCAAATCAGGTGTGAAACGGAAATTTCAATTACATGGGATAAAATTGTTAATATGAATATTTCACAGTGTTTATATTTGAATACTGGTCAGTCGATGATATTTTATTGAATCTTATTACAATCATGATTGTCTATTGCATGTCATTCTAATATGATATAGAATCATGAGCTACTTTATGAGTCTTTTGAGGAATTCTACGAAAAATAATGTTTTATATAATACTTTTCATAATAAGACAGTAAGGAAACTGAATCTCAGTTGATATTTCTCATCTGCATCTGCAATTCAAACCTCCTGTTTGTGCGAACACCCTTTATAATAGTTCTATTCTCTTCGCGGCCAATGTTCCTCTTAATCTTAAGATTCGATTTTTCTCTCATAATGGTCTGCTTTGCTATCTCTTTACGTACCGTTGTGCCAGTAAGAGACGGCAACGTTGCTTGTCTTTTCAATCCATGGAGATTTTCTTTGGACTTGACTGCTGGTTTAGAAGTTGTCAGAAATTGTTTCTTGTTTTCAAAATTATTAGATGTATTAAATGATAGCTTAGTAGCTGCTTGTGAATTTGTTGCATTAAGAGATGTATTAGCATCACTTTTAGCTGTAAATAAGTGTATGCTGCTGTTCATTTTGAAACCAAACCTAGTGTAGCCTGGATTCAAGCTTTCCAGGGTGTGTGTTTTTGTTGTCTCTGGCTTAGATTTGGAATCTGAAATATTAGCATAATGTCTGTTAGTCATGAATATACATTTCCTAGAGCTTTATTTAATAAGATATCAATTGAAGGAAGTAAACATAAGTATCAGAAATGTAAACAAAGTGTGTTAATTGTTGATAAATAGTATTCAATTATATAGATAAGATTTTTGTATTTTACATTCATACGATTTTTTTAACATTTTCTGTGACACCTCTATAAAAACGCAATGAACCAGCTGAAATAGTAAAACCTTACACATAAGATCCTTTTTATTATTTCCTAGAGAAAATTTCACTATGGTTCTATTGTCAATACTTTTTATCAAGTGGTAAGTAATCGTTAATTTTTTTTGTCAAAAATATTTTTTAAATAAGTTGGACAAATATTAGTAAAACTTAAAAACACTGAATTATTGTAAAAATAATAACCCTTTTCTTTAATTGCAGCAGCAGCTAGCATCTGCCTAGCTCGCTTTGCCTTCCTTTCCTGGCATTCATCAAGGGACTCCATTTTATCAAAATGCTTCTGGTGCAGGGCTGCAAAGTTTGGTAGCTTCTTCCTAGTTACCTTGCTACTCTCAAGTTTATTTTTACTTGGAGTCGTTTTGGTTGGTGTGTTCTGAATCTTACCTAAAATATGTATACAAAAATTAATATTTATAAGTCTCTCATAAATAATAATAAGATTCTGCAAGCAAACCGGAAGGTTTGAAGGGGGGAGGAGAGAGCTGACCTAATACCTCTGCAAGGAGAAAATGGGGAAATCAGTGTAATTGTCAGATAACGTGGACTGATCACCCGTCCTACCACAGGTGTCCCCGAAAGAAAATAATAATAATAAGTCTCTCATGCCCCAGATGGGATTTTATTTAAATCATGATTAATATTTCCAGAAAAAGAAATGCAACACAGTGGCACTAACTTATATCTTTGCAACCTCAGTCTTTAAAAGATATAGTGTCGCATTCTGTATAAACGAATTCTGTAAACCTTATTAATATAAATATACCTGAAGCACTCGAGGTCCTAGATCGTGAAGGCTTATCTGTGGATGCTTTACGTTCAGCCAATTTCTTGCGCTTACTGTCAATTTCTTCTGCATCACTTTGTGTGTATGATCGTTTTCGACCTGTGCTTTGTAGCTCTGAAACTGAAAATTGTGGTTACTAACTATAAAGAAATATGTATATAATACATAAGATATCTGCAACAATCATTACATTTATAAACCAGTTATTATATTTAGTGCCTCAAAAAATAAAAACTCACCACTTTCATTAAAAATGAAGCTCTTGTTAGATCCTTTCAAGCTGGACTTAATAACTTTTCCTTTAGCCTGATGAGAAATCATAGGTGTATTGACCGGACTACAGAACATTACTTTTGTAATTCGACGGACCTCATGGATAGAACTTCTGGACTTTTCTACAGACCTTGTGACATTAAGTACCGATTTTGAGGTACTACGCTTAGATGAAGGGAAGGGTGTACGTCCTGGGGAGGCATCAAGAGGTTTCTGGGACGTTTTGACTTCAGGAGATTCTTTTGTAAATGTCCCTTCACGTTGTAATGGAGTTGTTTGTGTCTTTTCTACAATCTCTAAACTATTGTCAATTATTATAGGATTGGACAAATCAGAACTTATTAATGAGGAAATTGAACTTTCGCTTTTGTCAAAAGTAAGATCCAGGTTTGCATTATCTTTTTCCTTATCAAATGTGGTGTTAACTATTTCCACACTTTTATTTTCTATATCATTAGATAAATTGGTCAATTTGTTCAATATATTCGACTCCTTTTTAAAAAGCTTTAAATCGGTTAAATCATTTTCTACATCTCTACAATAATCACTCTTTTTTGGTGTATACCCTGTAGCTAAAGAATCCCTTATAGGAGTATTGTTTGTCCTTATGAGAGTGTCAATTGTACTTGAAACATTATCAATTATTTCCACACTTTCATCTTCTACATCATTGGAAAGATTTGTCAATTTTTCAGGCATACTTGTGTCCTTTTGGAAATGTTTTAAATGAGTCAAGTCTTTCTCTACATCTCTACTGAAGTCACTTTTCCTTGGTGTATATCCTCTAGGTAATGAACCCTTTATAGGAGTATTTTTACCAGAGATTTTCTTTGTAGGAGTATTGTTTTTACTGCCAACTGTTTTTATAGGAGTATTTTTCTTACTTGAATCATTTGCAACTGAAGTATTGTTTGCACCAGCAAATATCTTAATAGGTGTATTGCTTTTGATGTCAGCTCTCTTTGCAGGAGTATTAGTCTTACTTGAAACATTTTTAACTGGAGTTCCAGTATTTTTCTTTTGACTTGATGTAATATTCTTTGGTGCTTTTTTGTCTGGGCTATAAAAAAGACTTTTATTTTCTTTTGTTGTAGGTTTCCCTACATCCTCAAAAGTTGCATTTAAGGTAAATGTTTCTTTATCAAATGTTATATTTATAGGATCATCTGTCATTGTTGTTTCTTTTTCAAAAGTAGTATCCATGATGGCATGTTTATCCGTTCTTGTATCAAGACTTTTTCTATAATTTTTAGACATATTCATATCATGTGTTTGGTCATATGTGCTGTTTAAACTAATAATAGAATTGTTAGGCCTCTGTATGCTTTGATACTTATCATTATTATTTATATTTATAGATACTATTGCATCTACCTTGTCATAATCATCAATGCGGAATATTTGGTTTTCTATTTCATTTTCCTTATTAGAATTATAAATGATAGTTTTATTCTTCTTTTCATTAATGGTCTCAACACATTTCTTACTTATATCAACTCCGCTCTTAGATCTTTTAGCATGACCTTTTTGAACAGATTGCTCACCATTATTTAAAGTGTTTTCTGGAAAAGAGTGTTTTTGGTTTACAATTATACTGTCAATATTATTCAAATGAGAAAAAGATTCCAAGTTCTCTGGACTATTATTGGTACTGCCAGCAGCACTATGGAAAGAGTCAATGGATCCATTACTTTTGTCTAAAGACACATTGTCATTCATGTCACACATTTCATTTAAATCTTCCACCACTAACGAGCCTGAACTTGTTTTCTTCTTGGTCACGTTTTTGTTATCAACAACTAATTCAGTGTCAACATTTTGTGATGAATTTTTTCTAGGCTTCCTCTTCTTGGAAATTTTCGAGACTTTTTGTGGTGAATCAGAAACAATTTCTTTTCCTTTTTTCTTATTTCGTCGGCTTGTTTTGGCAGTATTAGTAACACTATCGGAATTTAAATTGTGGTCTTTGAGAACAGTTCGACGAGATTTGCGCACCGGCATAGTCTCTCTTTTGCTACTGGCGTCACTGTTAATTTCTTCCTCAGAAGGACATCGTAAAACATAATGTTTCTTCTTAAGCTGAGTTTCTATAATATCGCAATTTTCTTTTTGAATCTGACTTCGCGTTTTTCTGTCAGTTTTAATTTCCTTTACGTTTAATATTTGATCAGGAGACGAGTGAATGCCTGAAATGTATTGCTTTCCTTAAATACTTTATTACATAGTAGTAAAATATTATCCATGTATATTAATTAAATATGGTAATAACTTACGTTTTCCCGAGCGTGTTGACATTTTTGATTTTCTTTTCTCACTTCATAAATGTATTAAAACTAAAATAAGTCATAATATTTTACTGTTTAGCTTGGAGGTTTCAATTTCAAACAAACCTTTTAAATTAAACGACAACGAATGTCAAACAAAGCCATAGACAATTCATCAATTTAGGCCGTTACATTGGCAGATTATCACTAGTACCACTACAAGAATTGTCTATGGAACTATTGAGGATTTGATAAGTAACACTACTATTAATCGTTAAATTCTTGAGCTTCTAATGAAATTTATAATCTTGTTTCATTACAAAATAAAGACTTATTTTTACTTACTAATTTAAATACCTTCACTTTGTAATGGAAAATTGAAAAGAAGAACCTTATGTCAGGTCACTGTCAAGTATAATTTGTATTATAGATTTATAGATACATCCGTTTCAAATTCCAACACTTGATATTTTCTTTTGAATTTTATGATTCAAATTAACCACTACAAGTATTGATCTAACATTAACTACAATATTATTGCTATATTTGTAATAGTGCAGATTTTTTCAGTAATATTTAATACAACTTCACAAGTAAAAACGGTGACAAATAATGATACGAATAATGCTGTTTATTTAGGCGTGTTTGTATGACTCAATACTTGTTAGTGGAAATAAACAATGGAGCGCCTTTATCTTGCTATTGTTATTACGACAATTTCTATTTTCAACTTAGGAAATTCAGATCGCGGTGACTATATTGGTTGCTACCAACTCTCAGATTCGGTAATCAATATTCATACAGGACAATCAGTCGATGTTTGTGTGTCTGCATGCGAAGAAGTGTATTACAAATATGCTCTAATAGGAAATGAGTCTACATGTTTCTGTGGTAACGCACCAGGCTCGTTTAAAATGGATCTAGACGCTTGTACAACTCTCTGTCCAAAAAACGTCACTCAAATGTGCGGTGGCGAAAACGTAGCAAGTGTATATGATACTGAAGTAACTAAACCAGGGCAACCAATGTCACTCGAAGTGTATAATATAACTGAGTCAACCATTCGTATACAGTGGTCTCAACCCCAAGCATACAGTCGCATCACAGGCTTTGTTATCTGGGCAGTTGTACTATCGACATATGCTGATTCAATGTTGCAGCCCATAGAATGGCGTGTGCCCAATAATACATTGCAAACTCAACTTCCAAATTTACAGCCTGGTTCATTATATAATATCAGTGTTGCAGCTATGAATTTTGAAGAAATGGGTGCAAATATAACTGTTAAAGCTGAAACTATTATAGGCACTCCTGATCCCAGCCCACCAGAGATGGAAATAATACAAAGAAAAGGAGACCAAATGCTTGTGCACATCCCTGAAGCTCTTAATGTTAATGGTCCTGTGTCTATGTACAGAATAGTGGTTTCCATAGAGTTATTTCAGCAAGGATTTATAGCTGAAAATCTTGGGAATTACTCATATGCTCAAGAGCAAGAATTACCATATTATATTACAGCAGAATTAGATCCAGACTATATTAAAAATGACTTTGTGATTGGTGACAGAAGTACCTATAATGGGTTCTACAACGCTCCATTGCCCCTAACTAATGACATAGATGTATCTTTAGGAATTGTTAGTGAAAAGAATCATATTAAAAAAGTAAGGTATGCAGAATCAACAAAGAAGATTATCTTAAATATTAATGAACCTGAAGTTGTATCACCTTTAGTAGTAGCTCTAGGAGCTGGTATTGCTATAGGTGTTGTGCTACTCTTAATAGGACTTGGTCTTCTTATTATTCTTCGGAAAAGGATACATATTACCCGATTAGAGAGAGGCTCACAATCAATGCCTCTAAGTCTAAGTGAACCATGTTTGGAAATAGAAAATGCTGGATTTCTGCAAGGAGAAGATGAACAAGTTGATTATTATGGGAATTTAAAAAGAAAGCTTTGGAATATACCACGAAATCTTATTGAAATTGATAATTCTATTGTAATAGGCGTGGGAAGCTATGGAAAATTTATGAAGGGAAAAGTACAGCAACATGGGGGGCAAACATCTGGCCTCATACAAGTGATTTCTGACCGAGAATTGGAGAGACCTGATAAGAAAAAAATGCTTCAGGAATTAGATCTTTTACTTAAGTCTAACGAACATGTCAATGTTATTTCCTTGATAGGGATTTGCGAAACAAGCACTTCATTATTAGTAGTTCTGCAAGACACTAAGATACCTTTAAAGGACATGTTGCTTCTAAGTCGTCAAGATCTACAGAGTGTTAAATTTTGTCTCATTGCTGAGACTAGAATTTTACAGATTTGTGCAGATGTTGCAAAAGGTATGGAATACCTGCATAATAAGAATATAGTACACAAAAAATTGTGCTGTAGAAACATTTTGATTAGTGACAATGGAGGAGTGAAAGTTTCAGGATTTGGACTATCTTATATGCGCCCATTGGACAGTGCCCCTGATTATACACGCTGGACGTCGCACGAAATGTTACGGCAGTCCCGCTTTAATCCTAAAGCGGATGTGTGGTCTTTTGGCTGTCTAATGTGGGAAGCATTCACTATAGGTGGCACTCCATATTCTCACATAAATAATAATGATGTTTCTTCTAGAATATTGCGGGGTGTGAGGCCCTCTCAACCCTCATACGTTGGTGATGAACTATTCCAAATGTGTCTGCAGTGTTGGCAAGTTGATCCTGATGAACGGCCAACATTCTCTTCATTGTATAATGAGTTAATACCATTTGTAGATGGTCTCGGCACTAGATGTTTAAGTTTTAAATATTTCAATGGCTTCAATTATGAGCCTCAGATACCTGAATATGAGGTTATTTCATAGCATAGGCTTGCTCTTTTATTAATGCAATATCTCAAATGTATATTGATCTGTTAAGTTGAAATGCTACTAAAGAGAAATCAAAGAGAAATCACCGAAAAGCCCATGGTTTTTTGTATTGCTAAGTTCTTTTATAATGATTTATTATGTTACCCTTATCTTCTCTTGTCTAGCTGTAAATATATTATATGTATGTATGACATTTTAGACTTAACTGATCTGAATCAATGTAATTTTAGAATTAGTTTAAATTTCTGTATGCAATAAGTCTGATGTTAATGACAGTAAACTACAGTAAGCACATTTTTAAGGTGGCATTTATGAATAGAGATATAAGTTGTACTTGTCAAAACGTACCTTCACTAAAAAGACAGCTAAATACCTTAAAAATACTCCTCTCACTTGCTCTCACTTTTAATAAGCTATTAAATAAGAAAATGACAATGAGCGCGGGCGCACACATTTGTAAGTGCTTTGTTGTCGATATTATAAAGTTTAGAACGTAGATAACAAATGCACAAATATATTGTTTACTTTTGATATTTACTCGTAAAAAGCACAAGACTTAATTATTTAGTTTTATTTGAATTTGTGACTAGAATTTATATTTTTCGATGACATTCCATCATGATGTAATCTACTTATTGTTTTTGTTACAATTAAAATAATCCGTCCAAATAGAATCTCAAACGAAGTGATGTACTTACTCGAAAATAAAGCAATAAAAAATCTTTTCATACCTTCGGTCTTTTGTTTTAGTCGTCCCTAAATCAAGTTCTGCTCGCTATTGTAACTAGTAAAAAATCACTACATAGTATAAAACAAAGTCGCTTTTTCTGTCTCTATAACTCTATCTGCGCTTAAATCTTTAAAACTACGCAAAGAATTCTGATGTGTTTTTTTTAATAGAAATGGAGAAATACTATTATTTTGAGGTTTGTAATGTGATGTAAATAATTTATTTTTTTTCGCTTAAAAGGCAGGCTGAACCCTACAAGGTTTATCAAAATAATATACTAGGTATAATACACATTAAAAAGGTGTTCAGAAAACTCCGCGATGGTATATGTTTATCTCGGATATCCCACAAGAACATTCAACTTTTTACCATGAATAATGGCTAATTTTCGAAGCGATTTTAACCCTTATCCAATTAAATACCATAAATACATTGTTGATTTAAAATAGGTCTATATGACCCTTTACCGCCACTGTAGTCAAATGGTTAAACGTATTAGCATTGCGTTAAGCGCGAGAGGTCCTGGGTTCGAATAAAATGGTTAACATAAAATGGTTTCGGTCGGGCAGGGCACAGAAGTCTTAATCAACTACTTGCCCGTTAAAAGAACGGACACAGAAATTTGTTCGCACAATGCCCCACGAGGGAGAAACGGGACGTATGTAGCGTTTCCGGTGGTAATGGCAGAGTCGTAAATTTTCTCAATTTATACTTGATTTTTTATTTATATAGTCACGATAATGTCAACCTTTTTTAGTATAAGATAAAAATGATAACAAGAATACATTTCATTTGCATTTATTTAATGTTAATATAATAATTATAGACAATGTTCAAGGTACCCTTTAATTGGTTTCCAGCTTTAACTCTAAGACATTGTTACCTTCATTGACCTCGATCAACAATTTAAAACAACAGTAAATCATTAAAATACAACTAAATTATGTAACTTTGACTAATTATAGCGAATTTTAAATTCAAAACATTGCATTCGAAACTTAACTATCTCGTAACATTTGCAGACCCGTTTCTAAACCAAGATAACAAAAAGTAAAATATAAAGTTCCATCACTGAATGTTTACAGCAAATAATCGACATCAACATATAACATACAACGTCGAGGCGGCCGATGGTGCGGTCGCCCCGCTATACATACTTATAATACGCAACAAGTACAATTCAATAGAATTAGTTTAACATCTCAACATGTGTAAAGGTTGATGAGACAACGACTGAACGGCGCTTGATATTTAGTTCGCTGCGCCGCTGCGTCCGCGCATCTTTCCTCTAATATTGTAAATACATATTTCATTATAATAACTCTGTTAGCAAATCAAAGTGGGTTTATTTATTATTAGTATTTTGTAATTTGATTTTAAACCATAATCTTAAAAATCCCTTCGTTCGGGGTAAATTACTATGAGCGGATACAGCGGCTCGCTCCTGACGTACACTCGCGTGTACGCGCGATTCGCACGCGGCGGCTACTTGTCGCCGCATGAAACGATACAATTTTAATGACAAACAATATATTACAATTAGTCCGCCGTCGCAAGGGAGGCTACCGTGTGGCTTCAGGTACGCGTTTACTAGAATTAGTGAACATTTAAAATAGGTCGAACGCAGTGTTATTTTATAAATTATATTCAGCTCTAACGTTAACAGTGTCGTATAGTTCTGTACGGTAGGGTCGCTCCCGACGGCCGAGCTCCCTTCGTTCGGGGACGCGTTCGTGGCGATGACGCGAGTTGATTCCTCAGTCTTTAATAAATTGATGACAATGAGCAAGGAGCAAATGAAAATGTTATGCAATTATATACAGAAAAGTCGCGAGGGTTCGCGGGCGCGCGTGCGAATCGCCTCTCGGCAAGCGGTGTGCTTGTTGTAATGACGTCGTAATGTTGAGTTCGTACACAGCCAAATTCCTATACACAGTATCGAACCTTACAGCTCGCTAGCCTAGCGCACCCGGCGGCTGCCTTCCTATACCCGACTATCGCTACTTAATATTAATTACGATAAACCACTCTATCAACAAATTCAACAACATTTAGCTATTAAAATTATAAGGGGGATGAAAACGGATCGCGGCTCTCCACAACGCTTCCCGCGTACTATCCCAATAGAAAACGTTATCCGACATTCTATTCCTTCGATACTATACGCCACGCTCAGGACTCAACTCGCGGTCGTGGAGGGGCCGCGGCGTCACCCGTCTCGGCTCAACGCGCCTAACTACGGACCTTTAATTTATTATGAAGAATGTCAACTAGCTACCTTAGCCTACAACATTGATTAACCTAAGTGTAACAGCGGCGTGAGGGTGCGGTGCGGACTACTGACGAGGGAGAGATTTGGACGCCCGCTTCGACTAACTTCTATGAACCTGGACACAACCTGACACCGACCGCCGTCGGCTATACTAACTTACGCACGAGGAATATCGGAAAAGATTGGTGATAAAATCTTCTATGCGGAATGCGTTTCGTACGAGTGAGAGTGCGCTTAGTGGAGCGGTGGTGCTACTCGCTAGAGACTAGGCGCTAGTCGCGAGGGGTGTGGCGGGGGCGGCGGGCTCGGGCGGGGCTACGAGCGTGCGAGACACAAATGTAAGTATCACAGAAACAGTATAAACCCTTGTAAGCCGCGACGACGCGACGAGTCCCGCTATTATTATCTCTCCACACAATACAATTTGAGATACCGCACTAAGAATCGTTCATTTTATATACTCTCAAATATTGTAACAATTTTTATAACAATAACATTTCTGTGTTAAATTATTTATACATTCCGTATTGTTTTAGTCGTCTATCTACGCGAACGTTTCGAGATGTTCGAAATGGTAACTAATTAATGACGGAGATTGGAGACAGATTATAGAGGGAGGAAACGGCACAAACCTTCATTTACGACTAGAGCTATATAGAGCGATCGAATCGCTATTCCCGACAACTGTGCTACAATGTATGATAGTCGGATCAAAAGAAGAAATCGAAAGGGATAGAAAGACAGTAGAGTCTACGCGTGGAATATTCCAACTTATTAGCCAAAAGGCTTATCATCGCGAGAAACAAAATTCAACCTACGAATGGAAATTTGTCTTACTAATATTGCAACGACTACGGATCTATCGCCGACTGAGCGCCCGATTCTAACAGATTAAATAAAAGCCAAGTTACGTAAATCGCAGCCATGGGGTTTACGAATCCGTTACACACGTTTCAAGCGAGACATTTCTACCTTCATTCACTCATATACATTAAAAATGTATCTTGGATTGAACGAGTCGATGCTATAGTCGGGAGTCAGAACGATGAACAACAGTGTATCGTTACTATGATACGTCATCGAAGTTCTCAATCCTTTAATTTTACAGTAAGACGCGATCTGAAAACATTAAGTGTTCAATATAGTTCAAATTGACGGCGCAAGAAAAACCTCGAATTTAACCTGTAAGATTTTTTACATTTATATACGCTCTCATGTTAAAAATCATAAATATTTACTTATTATTCCTTTATTACCAGGCAAACAGACGTGAACCTTTTCCGTTCCATTTATCTTTTCTTATTTTTGTCCTTTGTGTAGAATGGCGAATTCGTAAATCATCCTCGTGGGCCGTTAGGATTTCGAATAATTGACGTTATCTTAAAAGTATTACTAATCGAAGTAAATTGAGCTCGTAGAATCGACTTCCGGTTAACGACAACGCCTTTTGGTCAGCTAGGTCGCGACGCGTCCAACAAACTGCATCTTATTTTGTCACCAGTATATACATTTATATATCTGGTGCATTCTTTTTGGCTCAAACACAAAGGAAACATTTGCATTCGAGAGTCTGGGAGACAAAACTTTGATGACAAAGATCGCGACCATGCGAAACCTTTATAATTGACAACAAGATATTCACAACTACCCTCGAAATACTTAAAATAGATTTAAGATGAGAAAATTGAAACACGAGATTAGTTCGAAGACCGTAACCTATAATATATATTATATAGTTTAGCCTAGTGTACCCAGCGTCAGGTAACGCTAGTACGATCGTACCTACATAACACACGTATAACAACAATAGTTCTCGACGTCGTTGGACAGTTGCTTACAACGAATCGATTATAATTATATCGGAAGTAATCGATTAAAATATTCAATTAAACCAGAGATATCTCTCAATTCCTTTCCTTATAAACTATAGTAGAATAACATCTGCCGATTCGTATATAAACGGTTACATTTTCATATATTTTGTACTTATTTACCATCTTATTATGCGGCGGTGCGACAACTGTATCTACCGATGGCACTTTTGAGGTAAACGAACAACTTAAACTAAACCCTCCCGCTTCCGCTTCTACCTTGCGCTCGTCTGACGCGACACCAAGTACCTTGACAGAGTCGACAACGCAATCACAGTTCATTATTGTTTAACTACGGAGACAGCTCTCGGCTAACACCAAAAATAACATTTCGATAACTGTAAATAATATTTTAATATTGTCCTCTCGAATATATAGAAATCTGCATTAAAACCTTTAAATATATTCCACTACTATTATTGGACATGAATCTGTTATATTGTACTTACTTAGAAATTTAGACCGACAACACTACGCTCACTAAGCGAATAAAGTAATATAAAACAAAACTCAAATGAATATTATAAACGTATAAAAAATAAAGATCTTTGAACCGCGAGTGAGGAATGAAAACAATCAACTAAGATTCGATACGCGTCCTGTCGAAATGTAACTTATTCATTAATCCAACGTATTCAATATAACTATTAATAATTATAATAAAATCGACAATAATCATTATTGCATTGCACATCATTAATATGAATAATTTTCAATTATATGTCAAGAGAAATTAAAATTACCAACTTTGGTTAGATAATATTGATCCATCGAATCCTTAGGGCGACGGAGAGTCACTATAGCCTTAATTATATTCAAAGTTAACTACAACTATATAATCGAATATATTAACAAAATATAACTTATCAATGGTAACATTTACAATGAAATCCGAACAGAGAAGCGGTGAAACGAACGATGTAAAAAAATAATAATGTGCATGGAATAGGAATATCGGTGACAGGAGATATCACAATATCGTCAACAAGGCATCCGCTATGCGGACGCGTTACAACATAAAATATAGCAAACTTTCAACGCTAACATATTATAGTACTTGCATAAATCAGTATACATAAATCTATTACATCTATATGTAAATATCTCAAGGTCGATACCAGTCGAACGTCCGAATTATTCGTTTTAATATTATGCACGTAAACGGGGAACACAGTTGTGGCGTCGATCGTTATTATTCGATATATATCGACAGGGACGTTCGAGTGGTATCGAAAGCTGCGTGAATGTCGGTAAGTGTTAAGACAAAGTTAACTAGGGTCAGGTAACTTGCGCCACTCGGCTGGCTCAGGGTTAGCGACGTCGACGCTTGACTAGAACGGCGTTGTTGACCCAACCCCCTTTGAGCTATGGTCTCCAATAAACGTGGTCGTGCCTCTTAAGTTTTTAGTACGTTAGTCGTTTGTAATAACTGGAGACGCACCGTAAAGCGTTATTATGCCACGTACGGGTGTCACACGCCATCGTAAGCATTTGGAAAAACGACTCAGCACGCTTAACCCTGTGACTTAAAGCGTTTATAGGAGACCGTAGCCCTAGCGCTTCCTAAACACTCGTACACACGATACGTGCAACAATAAACGTAACAAATAACAATCGATATAAGGATTAACACCAAAAAACCGGTGTTTTCAATAAACAATTCGTCGACTATCGACTATCAACTATCAGTGCCGCATTATCATACGCATTCGTTAAGTTTATAAGGCGTGTGATGTAACTATCAGTGTCTTTTAGGCAAGTAATCGTGAACCTTATTTCATCTAGGAGAATCGTCAAAACTTAGACTAATATTTTTATAAATATTGCACTTCGATAATATTTATTAACTGATTTAACGAAAACAAATAAACTCTTACCCAATACGAAAAGACTCTAAAAGGTTTGCTAATTTTTTAATCGACGACAATTCGATTCTTTAATCGAATTGACCGTAGTAGCCACAGGATTAGCAGTTAAGTGTATCGAAATACCTTTGCCAAAACTGTTGAATTTCTTTAGTAAATCTCTCAAGAAGTCAGATACTATCTGTTACCAATGTCATCAAAATACATTAGCTAGCTTAAAGTGACTTCAAGCGAAGAATAAGTTAGCGGTTGCGACGTATCGTGTGATGTGTGTTTGAATATTTGGGGATTTGGGACATACGTGGTGTTCCTTCACTGCATGAGCGTGGATATTGCGTTGTGGCGGGTGCGTTTTAGCTCCTCCTCCTGTATCTTTTGCTCGATGAGGAACTGCGCCGAGGAGATAGCGGTCTGGGAGCCACTAATGGTAACGATCCGGTTCCTGGTGCCGGGCGCGAAGGTTCCCTTTTTGCTGATCTGGATATTCGCGCCAGACATCTGCTGAATCTCGACAAGGCTTCTACCGCCGGGACCTGAAAATGACGACGCTCTGTTTTAGTTTTGGACATGGGTTGATCGATTTTTGGGTGAAACCAAATTGTTTCTACAAAATTTTAAAAGGCGGCAATCGTTTGTATGTGATTATTTTGATTACGCCGAATCGAGCAATACCAGATAAAAACCCAGGCATACAACATACAAACAAATTGTTAATAAGTTAATAATTTATTTGAATATCTTACCCAATATAGCACCAACGATGACCTCTGCGATCTCCACGTTCTTGGAATCTTTGGCGCCCGCGTCGGCCGGTGTAGGACTCTTGGAAAGCGGCAGCAGCGAGCCCGGGAAACCGCCGGCGACCCCCACCCCGCCGCCCGACAGCGAGATCGGCGCCACCGCTGGGGGCCAAGCGGCAATGTAACCGCGAAACGCTCTAACTCACCCCCCAAACCCTCGAACCCAGCCCTCCTCCCCCCAGCCCCATCTCGCCCCGCCGAGTCGTACGCTGACTTACATTAGAACGTTTCGCGCTGTTGCGACAGAGAGCGCGGTTAGCGCGTCCCCTTCTCCCCCGCACCGACCCACAGCGCTCGCCCTTTCTTTGAACCCACCCTAACCGCGCAAGCCAATTCACCCATACCCACAACTACGGTTTAACATAAAAGTTCGGATGTAAATTTTTTTCGGACATAACTATTAGGTCGCCCCTTGGTTATATTTTACAAAAGTAAAAAAGTTTACATCTACGCTTTTTTGCCAAACCGTATTATAAAAACTTTAAACATTTGATTGGGCAATGCTAATGTACTTGTAAACTAAAAATCTTAGAGCTACCTTGCACAGTAGTAGAATTCTATGATTTAATGAAATGTTAAACAGTGCCTACAACATAAGCATCTACTATAATGTGAGAGCTAAAGATGCCACAGTTTTTAAATTTTAGATTCATTATTATTCAATGCATCGAATTCTTTTAATATTTTATGTTATTGGAACTTAGTCTTTTACATTCTTGAGACAAAAAATACTTAGATGATGGACTGATACTGAGGAAATATTCTGTTGGCGTCAATAGCTCGAAATGGATATGATAGCTACATAGTTGGATGAAAATGAAAAAATTGCAAATAAACTCCATTAGCATAACCCAAAGTGGTAGAATTTTGTACGAGAATTTAGTATGAAGAGAGATTCACAACACTCGTTTGTTGGTAGCGCTGTGTTGCGGCTAAAGGTAACCTAGAGGAAGAACAATTGGACTATTAACGATGCACAGCTTAAGCTATGGACTATGGCAGACAAAAAGTTCAATTTTGTCTGTCATGTTTGATAAAATACCTTAATAATTATTCCAAATTGTTCCTTCTCTAGCAGTGCCATGGATTTGTAACGAGTTTACCATATTAACTATTGTAGAAATTATATTATTATTAACAATAATTTTCTAAAATAGGGTACCACTTAGTGCTTAAGCGTAAATGCTTTTTATGATCATCAATCTTAGTTGTGCGGTTTTAAATTATATACCTCATGTAATCAAGCATATAAAACGTTGTCAATGCAATATGTGTTTCCTATTTCTAAAGGCATTTTTTATTTTGAGTTCCGCATTTATATAGTTATTATGATTATTACAATTTCCAGGGCACCGCCACGTATTGCCGACTTTTTGGATAACAAGCGATGATTTTGTGAAATTACAAATAAACAATAATTTAAAGCCAATGGTCGTAAATCAGCAATACTTTAACGTGATGTTATATAATCGAAATCATTAATTCACTACAAAAGTATGTGTAAAGAAATGATATCCAATTTGAAATAATTTATCTTCGTTTATCAGTCTTATGTGAAGTAAGTTAATGGTGAATGCTTTATCTATTTAATGAGATTATTCATGAATACTAAATATAGAAAATGCTAAAAGTATATTGGGAAACTACAAAGAATGTTAAGTGATACAAACATCACTTACCATTCTTTAAACTACAAGACATGGATTTCATATCTTGGGGCACAAAGCAAAGTTTTGAATTCCTGATACAAAAATACATTTCTCACTCTTCAACACTGTAAGTTGTATTAGCTAAAGAATTTAGATTCAGCTTATATTTCTTTACATCACTGACTAACTGGACTGTAGAACATTTTGTAAGTTCGAAACAAAAAACATATTCTTTTTCCGGGAGCTAAATTTTAGAATTTGATTATAGCTCATGTGTCAGTAAATAATATTACCTTACTAGCAATGGTAAAATATAATATGTTTACCTTACACATAATAAAAGTGTTATGATTTACAACGTTGCCTAAGCTGTGGAGCCCAAGATCATTGTCTCATTACTATGTATTGTGATAATGACGATGTTTAGGAATAAATATAATCGATATCTGATCATAGGCACTAACCGAGCGAGACTTGCGATAGCGGTCCGAAGACAGCAGGCGAATCTTGCGCGGAGAGCGGGAAGTAGGCGGCAGAGAGGGGCGCGGGGTGGGGCAGTGCAGGGGGTAAGGCCAGCCCGAGGACTCCGTGTTTTACTAGTAGCGACAGCGCTGCGCCGATCTCAGATATACCGGCCTCGGAGTATCCGGCCTGTCGGAGTGCCACCTGTAAGCATAATTCAGCATTCATAGTGCAGCTAAAATATTTGTAGAGGTGATATGTGATTTGATACAATAGGCACGTTTATGAGTCACATACAAATAAATAAGTAGACGTGCCAGCGCCATCGTCCGCATAGAATAGTTATTTTACGAATCAAAATTCGTCTTCGCAAAATCGTTTTCGCAGTTCTATTGGTTACTATTAAGAGATAATTCATCGTTTATTTTGCCACACTGTAAAATTTGGTTTACCTTGATGTGATCAAGTGTGTGTTGTGTAAGAGGAGAAGCCGGTGGCGTTCCGGGGGGTGCTAGAGACAGCTGCAACGAGAGCGCTCCAAGACCGCTTCCGTTTACTAGGACACCACCCACTCCTCCCACGCCAGCTACGCCGCCCACGCCGGCCACCCCGCCGCCCAACGCATGACTCTGAACATACGTAAGTAACATTAATTAGTACGGGAGAATAAGATTTTTTTGTAACAAGGATTATGATTAGCGGGGTCGATTATTTATTTACATTAACACCTTATTACATGATTAACGTGATCTGTTAAATGGTTTATTATGAGTTACATGTCGTGTTTAGCATCATGTGAACGGTTAGGTGTGACCACTCCGACACGCCCGCAAGTGCTTTCCACTTTTGCCCTCTTCAAGCTTAATTCAAGCTGAAAGAGGTTGTTTCTTATATATTTTTTTATGTAAAAAATAATAATTTTGTAATTTGAATTTATAGCATATACTTTACTATACAGTTATATTTACATATCAGCCTAATAAGTACTTTTGTAAAAAAAACTAAAGATTCAAGTAAACCACATAGTACAAAAGTTAGACCAGAGATGGGCGTTTAAGCAACAATTATTTATGTTTACTTGTTATTTTAGTTCTTTTTGGAACCTTTTGTAAACCAGAATTGACCCATCTTAGACCTAGACTTATCTAAAAGAATCTTGTAATGCCAAAATTGGAATATTGGTACAATTAATTCTTAATTATGTTAGCCAATGTAAATGGAGCGTGTCGTGGTGTCACCTCTGTCACCTCAGAGGTGGCGACTGCGTACGGCGAACCAGTGGGGTTGTAGTTCGCGACGGGACCAGCCACGTCGGCGTACGATACGTTCGGGCACGACCCGGACTGAGGATCGTCCACCACCTTCTGCAGAATCATGAGGCACGCCTTCTTGTTGTTATCTTTTTCACCTGTAAATATGTTGTAGTAATATTAGATTATTTAAAAAAGTAACTACAGAAGTGATTGTGTGAGATGCAGATTCAAAGAATGGGTACGAATGTATGTTTGACAAGTAACCTGGTTAGAAAGTAAAATTTATTGATTAATTTTAACAAATAAAATAAAACGAAAATATGAAAGAAAATAAATCTTACGTATTAAAACTTATAAATAAAAGGCGGTTTGTATAGAATAAATATTTGTTAATTTTACGATCTTCATAGTTAAGTTATCGACGACGCTTTCTGAATTGCGATAAATATACTAAATAACAAAATCACTTCTTGATTTTGATCGATTTGTTGTATATATTCAACATTGGATTTATACAAAGACAACAAGCACGTTAAACAGTTTATCTCGGTTATCATTACATACATATACAACCTACATTGAAGGCGTAATGTCGTTCTAAGCTCCTACGAAGCCAGTGGCTATCAATGGTAAAGAAAAATTATATAGAGAAGTAGATAATAGGTTATTATTATGAGTTAAAGTGATAACCAGATATGACTGTCGAGATACTAGTACTTGTGACTGCTTGGCTGAAACTACCATAATGCGACATACGTTCGTTTTAAGAGTCATTGTACAACATACATTTTAAGTCTTGTATAGAAAATGCAAAGGCACTTACCCACAACAGTGATGCAGCGCTCTTGTAGCGACAGCTCTTTTGCCTTTTGTGAGATCTGCACGTAACTGCCACTCTGCTCTTTAATTTGTTTGATGTAGTTTCCGCCCTTGCCAATGATCATGCCTGCTGTGGAGTTTGGGACTAGGATTTTCACCTGGAATAAATGACAATTATATTTAGATAGTCACAATGAAACATTATAGTGCATACGTGCTCTGTATAAAGACTAACACTTATCTTCACACGAGAATTTAGCTTGAAGGTCGATTATACGATAGGTATAAACTATAAAGTAAATAACAAAATAAGTACATCTAAATAAAAAAAGGGTCATACGATATATTGTATGATTGCTGCATTAATAGGCACTGATAGTTTAAAGTTTTTTTTTTAGTTCGAGACATAGCAAACGTTGTAATTGTTTTTTTTTCATACTTCACGCCCGAACTAATCAGCTTCTTCACTTTTTTTTAACATATCAAGTATCGGTCCTACGTGTAGTTTCGAAACGACATATCATCAATTTCAAAGGAATAGAAATTATATGTTCGTGTCCATATCAATGTGTTTTTTAACCGCGAGTAACGAGCTCATGCCTATATTATATCAGAGACTAGCTGTGTCAGCGACTTCGTCCGCGATAATCGTTATTTTGAGCATCCAATTTAGTTTTTGCCAAACCCTTCATCTTTATAAACTTAAGTTGTTACCCACGACTTCGGTCGGACATATAGCGTGGCGAGGCATGGCTTTTTTAGATCATTTAAGAGTAATCATTCTTTCATACATATTTTTTTAGGTATCTTGAACCGTTTTTGCAACGTACGCCTTGGAAATCCATAATGATGAATACTTTCCCAATTTTTTTCACATTTCTCGCTGTATCTTTGCTCGTATTAGTCACAGTGTGATGTTTTATAGCCTATAGCCTTCCTCGATAGAAGTATAGATTCCGACTAGGTTTTTAGTTTGACCTAAATACCGAACATAGGTCTTAATTGAAATATACAAAAGTTATTAAGGACACAGAATAGAAATTAGTTTCCCGCACAACAAGGCTACTTCACTTATGAAAAACTGCGAGCGTGACGTCTGTAGTTTCAATTTCAATTTCATTTCGCATTAACGAGTGGGTAATAATAATCGCAGGTTGTCGTGCCGACCTTGCCTCGCCCCTAAATACGTCTGCACATTGCGTTAGTACTTATGTCGTTGTTAAAATGGAGGCATTATCATTTCAAATAACAAGAAAGATATATTATGAGGCTGCTACAAGCAGAGTGGCCTAACTGCATATTTATGACTTGCCCTTTTTAAATTTTTATAGTCTAAAAAGAGAGCCCTAAAAAGACAGTAACCCTAAATTGTTAATATAATTCTTACACAAGTTATAGTTGAAATTCATTTTCGCCTAAGTTCATTGCGCTTTTTTATTTTCCTCCTTATTGATTTTTTTTTGTTTTAAGCCACTCTGCCTCCAGCAGCCTTTTATATAAGTACACAAAACTCTATGTTGTAATCGTGTAAATAGTTTTATTCCTTTGAAGTTGCATCATTTTAATGTGCTTAATAAATCATAAGACGAAGAAGTCAACGTGTAACCTACATATATGAAAAAATATTTCGACTTACAAAATGATAACTTTTACGACGATAAACAACCAAATGATTTATTTAACTTTGACCCGCTTATCTGAGACACAATTATTTGACAGTAGCATGTAAGTTGGTTTCTTAATTATATCTTATAAATTTTGTTGTTCTTATAAAATGTTATATTCGACAAAACTATCAGAAAGTTCCTTTTTTGGGAAATAATTTTCATTATATGTATATTAAGTGAACACCATATCAATATTATAATAGTACGTCGCTTAGTCACGTTGTCTGTTAGTGGTCCATACGACATAAAACAGATGTTGTCAACCAGTCCAATATATGATTGTGGGTGTTAGCTGATCTAAAATGCTACGCTATTGCTAGCAAAAACAAATGTAGGACTAAAACCCACTGGCGATTCCGTTTGGCAATGGAAACGCAATTGTAATCAATGACAATTTTGTAAACGAGACAATTAGATGTCCAGGGAATAGACTCACTGCGGACTGAAACATTAGCATTCAGCACAATTATAGGTACTTCAACACAAGGCCGTTACCTAAGTCTACTGATAATACTAAATATGACGAGTTAGATCTAGTTCATATGCTAGTTTTAAATACACTAGGAGCTTAAAACAGAATTCATAATAATTTGACGGGCTTGTTGGTGTAATGGTAGCAATGTATGGTTAATAATCATCGGGTCGTGCGTTTGATCCCCACCGGGTCCAAGGTGTTAAGATGAAAAAGCCATTTCGGTTTCGTTAGCGCATCTTGTTTAGACGTTATATTACACGGCTGGGGTAATTCAGCTACCATCAAGAGAACCCCAAGCTTCTGTCTGTCTGTCTTCCTCTATCATAAAAAAATGAGCCGTGGCCCGAAAAGTAGGAAAAATTTTTTTTTTTTTAAAAATACAAAATAATTTTGTTCGGGAGGAAAGAAAGGGACTTAAAAATATTATTATTCGTATGGTTTAAAGAATATAACAATAAAAGTGTAATCAGAAAAATAGGCAAATTCTAGACCGTTTCTAATTACCTTGACCCTACCTTGAAATGAATGTTGAATGTTTCAAAGATTAAAACAATATAAATTATATATTTTACTTACTACTACTTACTAACTTTAGATTTTACTTTAAAAATTAGATATTTGACAGCACTATTCTGAAATTCGTCTAAAATATATATTGATATAAAAGGTGTCTTTTTCAAAACATTAAAAATTCAAACAGGGTTGTTTATTTTTGGTTCAAAACCTCGTAAAAAGACTGTGTTACTTTATTGGTACTACTACAATTATAATTAATTGATAAAGCAAAATACCGTTAGCGCTCTTAAAATAGAACACACTAATCTTTGCCTCGTATTGATTAAATAAACGAACGGGAACTAACCAATGGACACGCATTATCAGTACAGGCTGCGACCCGTTATCAGTTTCACTGCAATTGCGGTGAACTAAATGCGGCGTATTTTTAACAAATTATTTTAAAATATTCATCATGGTTTTATTGAACTGGCTTATTTGCGATATCATGTTTTGATTTAAAAGAATTGCAAGAGATAGTAATTTACTGGCAATACATATAGATGTAAAAACAAGATTTAAAGAGCTTATCGAAAAGGCGAAGAAACAGTAAGAATTGTGAAACGATAGGGAAAAAATATTAACTATTCTACGCGGACGAAGTGGCTAGCACATCTAGTATTTAACTGGCTTTTTATATATGCATTTTGAGTACTAAGATTGTATTCAATTCACTTCTATACTGTATTTTGAAAAATATAAAGCATAAGATTGTGTATTTAAATCAATGTCAACTAAAATATAATCTGCGACTTACTACTTTTGACACGTGGAGGATAACATTAACGAGGAAATTTCATTTTTCAAAAAGCAATGTGAGATTTAAAATGTCACAAATGTGACAAGACTCACACATGGGAACAAATAGAATTACAGTCACGAGCCCCGGCACGTGCATGCACTTGTGATCACGCACACATGCGCGCAAATGCGTCACGGAAACTGCATTATTATCTATGGCTTTGCACAGATTACATAATGTGATTTTGTTTAATTAGCAAGGCCAAGGGCTCACATTGTACGAGGCGTAAGTATGATTTAAAAGGTCTAATAAGAAAACCGTGGGAGATCTTTTGTTAGTGAAAAAGGGGTTCGCATTGTATTATGAACTTGATCTAGAGAAGGCTACAATGTATGTAATAAATTTATCTTATAGATTTAAATAATAATCATATTTGACAACGTACGAATTGTGTACATTAAAACTACAAGACTACTTGACTTAGAAACAATCTTAATATTAACCTTTGTTGTAGAAACTAAACATAGTGTTATAAAAATCTATGAAAAAAAGGGCCAGGGCAAATAATGACATAAACAGTAAACACTATAATATGTTCACAGGTTGCTCTGGCAGTAAACCATGCACATTATGCAAATGAGAAAACTCGTAATTTGATTAACATTTCACCGGATATCTCATAATTTAATAACATTAATGATATCAGTAAGCGCTGCTGATGTTGATGGGAATGTTCCGTCGTAAATAATGTAATAGGTAACGTTCAAGCGGCGTACACGCGACAAAAATATATATTATGTATGGTAGAGATAGAGACATTAGTATGAAATATATTTGATTATTATGATAAGTACTAAATCATTAGAAAAGACAAGTAAATTCTACGTCAAATAGTTTTAATAAAACATTGCGAAATCCACAGACTAAAGCTGACTTTGCAAATAAACACCCCACAGCTTGACCTAACTCTACAGTAACATTTTTATTGTATTGTTAATAGATGTATTAATGATAAGAACGGGGACCAAAAACATTACAGTAGTACTCTGAAAGCTTTAAGAACAGAGGTTAAGGAACTCTGTGTGGCAGGATGGTTGTAACGTCTAACGCGGCAGTGAATTCTGTCACGCTCTAATGATCGCAGTTTCAAGGACAATTATACCTGCGTTCCCTTCCAGTTGACCGAGCTAGAGAAATATTGGATAACCAAGTCATAAGCCACGGTCGAGGGCTTATCAACGGATTACCTGCAGTAATTACAGTAGAAGACTAGGATTTTTAAACTCTCAACTGAATATGTAGGTAAATGTAAGTTGTTGTTAATTATCCAAAATCGGACAAGGGCCGCATTAGTCTCGAATTACGATGACGACGACGTAAAAAACATTAACTAAACTTATTTTAATCGATACTATCTAGTTTTTTAATTTGTCGAAGTCACAAACTATGTCAATTTCCCCCCACACTATACCTACATATTTTACAACTTTGGAGGACTTGATTGGCCTAACTTTAGCTGAATAATAGTCACGAAAATCAATACCGACCTAAGTCACAAACATTTTTTTCAATTCATACCGTAATCATACAGTAAATTATCACTAGTTAAGAATTCCGTTCCTGAGCAGACTCCATGTCAAATCCTAAAATCCGGGTAAATTACTGAATTTACTATAGCTCTCCTATTTAATTGGACTTTATTTCGCAATCTATCTAATTGAGACTAATACGACAAAGAAGTTTTCACCTGCTTGTCTCTATCTTGTGGCATCTTGGCGTCGACTCCATCTGGGAACGGCTTGACGAGCTCGGGTTTCTCTTTGATCTTGTCCATAATGAAGTCCAGCACTACCATGATGCCCTCCACTGAACCGGTTATTAAACATGCGCGTTCTGTGGTGCCTGAAATTCAACATAAACATTATGAAAATATTTATTTTCATTGTGTGAACATTTTAAAATTATCACAGTTTAAAGATCTGGAATTTTCCGAATGCTAGTGTTTTTAAATAGTTTAATTTGCCATTTTATATTATCGTAATGTATGCACAAGTCAAGTAAAATATATTCATCAAATTAAAATTCCCTCACGAGTCGCGTTTAAAGTCACTGTTTTTCTTGCGAATATTCTACGCTTTAATTATATCTCCATTCTTTGGAATAACAAAAAACCTTTCAATTCTCAGTTTTAATTTATGCAGCACCGTCCAATCTTCCCTGCTTATTCTAGGAACAACTGAAGAAATATTACGTTGAGCTTATTACGAATATTAATTAGTTTATGTTACTGTAACACTTCTATTTATTTATAACCTCTGTTATTCGAAGGTATACTGTAATACTCGATATTATTAACGTTAAATTTCGATAAAAAGTACTCGAATAGATCAGACCTCGAGTAAGCGAAGATCAAGAGAATTAACGTTCCTCAAATTATCATACAATTATACAATGTACATAGATATGACAAAGGGCACCACGGCTATTTGAATTCATCAAAGAAACAAGAAATTCATAGCGAGTGTTTCAAATTCCAGAGTTCGAGGTCAAAGCTTCGGTCGAGTAGCCTTTGTTGTACAATTCTTTCAAAGCTTCTTGTAAAACCGCAAGGCCGAGCGAAACATTCTAAGTGTCGATGACGAATCATAATGTTTCTAAGAGAGAAATCAAGTTTGTCCATTAACGTAACTAGTAAAGAAAATCTGGGATCTTTTCTTGGATTAATTAAATTGTTCCAAGACGGGTCCTTTGGTAAGTTATTAAACTAAGGCAGATTCGTCTTTTCATTACTAATGTTACCAATAAGTGCTGCTAGTGAGGTGTTCACAGACAAAGACCTCACACATTTTTGATTTTACATTTCAACGAATCAAACACTGCGCGAAGGGGCAAAATAAAAGTCTCTCGTTCAAAGTGGTATTGATAGCATCGCACAATGCAATCAAATAGTGAACTTTCGAGCGGAGTGGCGATATTGCTTTACGGCTAATGGATAAATCTTTTCGTGTCTATTCTTGTTATATCTCATCTAAACATATCGATATCTGCTATAACAGATTATGAATTACCTTAAAGTAAATACCGTGCAAATTTTTGAACGACTATATGAAGATACAATATTGTTCAAAATAATGCAATTGCTAAGGTCATTAGAATACAAATTTTCCGTGCGTAGAAAATGCTTTATAAGGCAGAGATTCTTGAATAAAATACCATATTCCTTCGTCTTTCCCTTCGTGCCATCAAATTTTTAAGAAATTCGTCTCAAATCGATAAGCTGCAACAAATTATGCAACGTTAGGCGTACGAGCCGAACCGGTCTGGCTCCCTTGACCTTGAAACCTGCCGTGCAACTTTGATACTAATAAGAATATTTTAGCGCTCATATTCGCCTGTAACCGGGTCATTAACATTTGGTACCACTCCAACATTGCTGTAATTGAGTATAGTGGGCCAAAAACCAACAATCTTCGGAGCGCAGGTGACGATTTGACGAGTTAACGTAATGTCGAAACGTGACAAACAATTCTTTGTTAGCACGTCGAGTTAAACGCTTGACGAGAATTATAATGCGGACAAATAACAAAGTAGATGCGACGGACGAGGAACACGCGAAGGCGAGTGATTTGCGATCGGTTCGCTTTATGTGCAATACAATGCCACGACAAGGTCGCGCGGTACACAGATTACCTGTGTTATCCAATTATATGCGCTATTGAGTTATTGTTGCACTGAGCGCTGCGTCTAACAAATGCAGAACGTCAGCGTATTTATAAAATTGTTACTAAGCTATTCTCGAATCATTTACACTGTGTCTAACATAAAATATTTATAGTATGGCTTTTGTTTTTTCCAGTTAAATGCAAATAATATCGCACTTAATGACGAATACTGTTTAGTGCGTTAAAATAAAATCCAATGGGAAGAAATAGGTTTTTTTTTTTATTCAAACAACTCATTGCACACAATACAAACAAAAAATAAAAAAGCCCTACCTACGGGCAACACTTCCAAGAAAATCGATGGTGTAATCAAAATAAGATTACAGCGAACGATTACTTGCTAATTGTCAAACATAACATTAATGACGAGTATGAGATAAGTATAACACAATATACAACTAATCTCGGAATTACCCACAAGCTTGTATGTGCTTCAATAAAAGGTATTTAACTATTAATTAGTGGCAGTAAACAAAACGTAAAAACATAATTGGACTAGTAATTCGCGTTGTTGTAAAGTAAATAACATAAGAGCTTCAGAACAAACGGCTCTAAGACAGTGCCATAAGATTCATCAAGAACAACAATGGATGCGACGAAAGAAGTGTCCTATTTGACTGTGTCAGGGTGTCAAGATGAATGTTCTGCTATTTTTAGGTCAAGGCCATTAGGCAGAAGTATTTGGATGCGACACTAGAAGAAAATCTTTTTCATCTTAAAAAGAATTATGTCAGTATGTATGTACATTCCCTTGATGCAAGGAATTTCACTTTTTTTCTACACAATATAGGACTTACAATGATAATGTAAAGAGGTAAATAAAAAATGTTGTAATATAATATAGCAAAAGGCCATAAAACAAAAAAAAATATTAGAAATTCAAATCAAACACTTCAATGGTTTAAAACGTGAAAAAATTCGTTAACCTTTTTTGGAAATTATTTTTAACTACGTTACTAAACCGTTAAGTGTGTTATTTAAATATGTACTACTAGAGAGAAAAGAAAAACTCCCAATCACATCTCGTTTCTCCAAAACCACAAAAATGTATAGTTCAACGGAAAATCTAATCTTTATTCGGATGACATCATGCAACCATGATGGATAAGACGTCGGGCCTTGAGTTAGGCGACACGATTGGAAGATTGCACTTGTCTTGCGGACAACCTGTTCCGACTCCGACGCGATTCAGCTTAATCATTCGTAACACATGATCATGTTACAGTAACTACGGGTTCAAGGCGATATATACTGCATAAGGAATTATTTAGTACCACGAGGGCGTTGTGGGAACTTTTAAATCTTTTGGATATTATGTTCATAGATTTTAGCCACTACACAATATCTTATTAAAAAATGTCGCGCCCTTTGTTAATAGTTTAGTATTTGCGCATAAAACCCATTATTTGTTTAATGTAGACCCCAAATTGTTTACGGGATATTAAAAGAAATATCCGGAGTTCTATTGTTATGTCTATCTCTGCTGTTTGGACTGCCCGAAGCGAGGATTTTTATTAGGTCCCTTGGAGGTTCGTATCTATAACAAAGTAAGAATCTGTTGCAATATTACATTTTCAATATTTATTTTTAGCAGTGACGGGTTCAAGCTATTAACTCGTATCACTTACACAATTAATCAAGTACGAGATTTGAATGGTACATCTTTCATTGTACCTTAATAATAAAACTTTCACAGCACATCACCGAGGTTTAATGACATTCGCGCCAAATAGAGATCGAATGGACTCAGTCATGATGACCGAGAATGGCAGAATATTTACGCAGCATTTCGACGTCATTCAAGCAACAAATGTAACCTAGATAAAATAGATAGGCTACGAAAGATTTAAAAGTAAATTTGTTAGTATATAAGGAATACGAATTGTAATGCTAATGTGTTAGAAATTAGGATCAGAACAGTAAATAATTTGTAGGAAAAGTCTTAACGAAAGATAATAAGAGTAAAATCCAATCGAGAAAGCAACAAAGCAGCTGAAAACTTTTTAGACACGTTTACTTTCAATAGGACGGCGTGATTAATAGTGCCTCGGGCTTTATATTCATGAATTGCTATTGTATTCGAGTGAATCATTAAAAACCTTTTTTTGATGGCGTGGGTGGGGACAGAATAGAGAAATTTAAAAGTCCATGCTAGAAATAGGTCACGGGGCCAATTACACATCATGTCCAACTCCGAACCACGTCTTGGCTGCCAGATGAAAACCCACTTGACGTTGTTAGTTGGATTCGTGTGATGAGTTTTAGACGATTTTATTTTCATAGTTTTTTTCTTTATTATTGTTGATGTTGTAGTTTTGTTTTATTACTAGAGACGAATTATTATGAAAGAGAGTGCTCCTTTGTAATGATCTTAAATATTTCTTTTATTTAACGTATTTACCTCTATATATAGGAATTCCCCTTTTGCCTTTTTTTAGACTGACTTACACTTTGAAACCATTATTACCTAATATTATTATATACGGATGATAATAGATATGACAATAACAACAGTGCCCTCCAAAGACATTGCCTCAAAAAGCTTTTCATGCAGGCACCTTCCTTACGATTTTCATGACTGGCCGTTTTTAACTATCCTAATAAAAAGTAGTAAGAGTAAATAATAATAAATTTACAAAAAACCGAAAACAAACATATTAATTAAGTCTCAAATGTCCACATTATACGTCCAAACAAAGCAATCACAAAATAACGTAGTTTCGAGAGCAACATTTTAATGGAACGAAAACTTTCAGACTGCACGTAACAATGAGTATTATTATATAGCAGACAAAAATTAGGTTAAACGAATGGATAACCCAAATTTACAGTCGAGGAAACTAAGCGGGCACCGGATAGGGTGATTAATATCGCTGATGGACTGTTTGTCGTTGCTGTTTTTGCGCAGTTAATGTGACCAACATAACAATTGCATTGCGCAACGTGCGATAATTCATTACAATTCCTATGATGATATCATATTTATGAGTATTAAAATTCACACACTTCTTCGTTCACTTCATGTGGACGGCCTTTACGTCTCATTAGCCCATTGCTATAAACAATATTGCCTATCGACACCAATGTTACTAAGCTTCAAGATCACCTCTCTAGAAGATAATATTTTCACTTATTAGAAGAAGGCTATATACATTACTTCGTTGATAATTATAGTAGATATTATGTATATCGCGAAAACGAAAAGAATATATTTCATCCGAGAGCTACCTACCTAATAAGACGGTGTTTAAAAAAATCTTCTACAATCTCATGTCTTTTTAGCTCACAATAAAAAAAAACACTAAACTTATTTCAAAGAATGATAGAGGTATTGTTATAAAATTATAAACATAAATAAAATTTACCTAACCACAGTTTTTTTAAATTTCGTCATCTCACAAAACAAAAAGGACAACACAAATATTTTTCGTACGATATCATCTAAACAGTGAACGAGCCGTGTATAACCTCAGCCTTGACACACCTTAGTTTAAGTACTTCAGTGATGTAAGATAGATGATCACATAGCTATGGTGATTTATCAAATCCGTTTCGACAGTTACCGTTGGAAATCTCTCGAGAGGATTCTACTGTTTACTAATGCGTGCTTTTAATTCAAAGCTATAGAACCTCATTAATTTGAACGCGAGTTAATGGGGTCTTCGATACCACGAAGGAATGTAACTAATAAACTGCTGTTTTATCGAAAACGTTTTTTTTGTTAATCCGGTAGTGAGTTTCGGCTCGGTTCACTTTCTACGCAAACTTTATTTGGTGTTTACTTGGGTGTTTAGTCAGTCTACAACTACTTTGTATTTTATAAAACATATTTGCAGCAATTTTTGTCCATTAATTGTGATAATATTATGTGTCTTTAACTTAGAAGTCATATTAACTATAGTAGGTATTTGTGATATATGCTGCGTCCTAGAAGCCGTTGTGTTATGTAAGTTTGACCTACAGCGGTCTCTAATGAGCCACTTCTTCATAAGTCGACTCGTTAAAACGTGTGTGCTGTATACGATGTGGAAAAATATTTGAATTCGCCTTTGAATGTAATATGACGCTGTTTTAGAACAGGTTTTAATGGTCACGATAATTATTAATCCCTTAATGCCTGAAACTGGATTTCCACTAAAGATCGGAGGGGGAGAGAATTCCGTAAAATCTTTTTCAGAAAATAGGATAAAGTCTCCAGAACGATATTCAGTGTTCGAGAATTCCATATTGACTTCATTAATAGCTGAGAGGGCTTCAAAGGCACTGGGAAAATAATCAGTCAAACAGTCTGACATGTTGCGGGATTAGGTCTTTCAAAGGGTGGAATTCGAAAGCTTGCATTGACCCAGTTGCGTCAGGAGCCAAACGCCCTTTGTTATAAAGGCCTACTTAGCTCATAAAGAGGCAGCCTTGAGACCTAGCACATAGGCTGGGGGCTTTGTTGTGCCCAAGAGTGGAAAACACTTTGAGCGAAATTTCACACAATGTGTATCGCTTTTCATTTCAGCGATAATGCCTACCCACGTTATTAAAACTGTGATATCAGCGTTATTCAAAGAGCGGCAATTTTGTTGTTCATACGTGCTGTATCGGGCTTACTCTTAAGCCAATTACTTTTAGAGGAAATTATACAAAGTTATAATACGATTATTATTGTTAGTACTAATAATAAAACGTTCTTCATAGAACGTGTTTTATATACTATATATATTTTAAATTAAAACTACTTCAGCTAGCCACTTTATCTTAAAGAAATTATTATTTTATTGACAGCTACATTATGTTGTATCAAAGAATATTAAAACATAAAAAATGATTATATTACTTAGTTGACCTTTTATTATGTTAAAGTTTCTTGACGAATTATTATTAGAGTCTTTAAAATGACTATTTTTTTTGTAGTAGAAAAACTTATTTAAGCCGGTCATTAGCATCAAGTAAATGCTATCGTTTCGCTTAAATCACATTTCTCATTCCGACACTTCAGACGCTACATATATCGCTCGGGAGCGATATTGGTGTCTGAAGATTCCAATTTATCAACCGTCATCTTCGATCAGCCGGGAATATTTGACAGATGAATCGCGGCGTTGCATCTTAGGAGATACTTTATTGCCCGCCGAGCTGGGGATTTCGATATCTACTCTGAACATGCTCACGGTTATCAAAAATCAGGTAAATCAAGAGCTTAAAAAATGTAATGGCAATGACACTATTTTATTGAACGTCGCCACGCCTTAATTTTTAAAGGAACAGAAGTAGGAAAGAAGATTTAGGAAGAGGTAGGTGAAAACGACATGAAATGAATAAGAATCGAAAGGCTTTTTCGCGAAACGCGCAAGTATTCGTTCCTATTTATTGTTACAAGGTTAAGTTAATCTAAATAATTAACTACTATTAGTATTTACAGGTATATATTTATTGGATCACAAGGTTGCTTGTGTTTAACCATTCATGTTAGTTAAGTGAATATAATAGTTTCGTATTAAAATTTAAAAAAAACTTACCCGGATAAAAATCGTGTGATTTGGACATCTTCACCCTGGCGCCAGTGTCCTTCTGCAGTTGCGCGATGGTCTCACCACCCTTGCCGATGATGGCCCCTGCGACCATGGATGGCACCAGAACTTTGAAGTGGTAGGTCGGCTCCACGGCTGGCGAAAACATCACACTTAGATCTGGAGCCTGGGTCAGGAAGTACTGTGTTGTCAAGCTTAAGCTGCGAGAAATCGAATTTGGAATGCGTGGTGCTCACAACTTTAGGGCCTTTCGTAAATATGTATAACGCAATTGCTTGTGTTACTTTTGGATAATATATAATTTTTAATAGAGTCAATATTAAGTTATTTTTATGAAAGGCCCCCTAAATGAGAAATGCCAATAGAATCGATGAGCTTGAAGACACAGTAGTTCCAAGATTATGATAGGAAATTTAATGCTTATGATCTTTCAAATATCGCTGTAGTGAAGAAGCGTAATTTACAACTCGATATTGTTCTAGTTATGATCGTGTAGCGCTTGTTATTCGCACCACAGTTCTGTGCCGAAGATGTCGCAGTGCGCAATGATAATAATCCAACTATATCAATTTTGAAAGTTATATCGTCGTAAATGGTAGTTTGAAGTGAAAACATGTGTTTAACGGGTAGCGTTGATCTAGTGAAGATAGAAATAGCTAGTTCCTCAATAAATGTACCATAAACTAAAATTATTACGCAGGCTTAGGCCTACGTCGCTTCGATGACACATTTCTATCTAATTATTTCATTTCTAATACAACACGATCCTATCTCGATGCTAACGTATCTAGATGACGGTGCATTAATAGAAGTATTAACATACATGCAAATCTGTCGCTAAGCTACACAGAGACGGCTAGACACAACGACAAGACTATGTACAAGATGATTTGTGCCCAATGTTGAGGACGAACAACACTCAACGGACACAGCCTTAACGAATAAGAGATTAGTATGGTCTTACAGAAGAGAGTAACTAGTCGATATTAATGACAGCAAGATTCGGCCGCCACGCGTGAATATATCTGCAAAACCAGAGGACCAGTAAATATTAAAGTCTTAAACCCTGTGAAAATTCTAGAAACACCCACATCGCAATAAGAAAAGTATTAAAAACGGGTACACATTGTTTGAGGCATATATGTGTTCCTAAAAAAATTAATTACATAACGAACTCCAGTTCGTTATTGCATCGTTCGTGAGTCTTTAATTATTACAATAATGGGAAATGATAACGAAATAGTACTTCATCGTAAAATTAAACTATTCTGATTTTATAGCTTTGCGATTACCATAGTTTTACCTTTTCATGAAACATTTTGGACACAAACAGTTGTTTATAAAAAAGGAAATAACAAGCAAAACGTTCTGGAGATCTGCACGCGATACACTGAACGTGAAAAAGGCAATCAAGCAGTAGGATTGTTCCCTTGAATATAAAAGTTCCAAATGTGTAGGTACACTTGAATAGGCCAGCTTCACAATATATTACTTTAATATCCTGTAGTAACTAGTTTATTCTATTTTCGTAATCGCTTTGTATTTATCATTTAATATTTACACAACAAGGTTCATTAATAAAAAAATAAATAAAACAGAATCCATTTCCATGTAGCCTTTCTAGGTTTGTAATACACAGTTGCAACGCACAACATCACAAAGTCATTAGTAGTAGTAGCGACACTACTTACTGTCGAATGTGTCGGTTTTTTACTTATTCTTAGGTTGAAAAAACGTTTGCTCGCGAGTGTACCTAGCGTATTTACGCAACACAGACGGGCACGAGGGAGATAACACGCGTCACCTGCGACATGCTCATTTACATGCAATATATTATTTTCGTTTGGAAACGAATAGCTCATAAATATATTGCCAGTGTTAAGCAATGTACGAACAATGGAATTTCAAAAAGAACATCGACTTTCCGTAGAAAATTACCTACTCTATTGCCGTAACCGGATCAATCCTTAACGAGTACAATGCGTTAAATAGGACATAATACAACGATAATAGGTGTTTATAATTGAAGACCGGCCTCTGTTTAATAACATGATATCTCCTTTATTATGCAGTCATTGCATTCGCAAACTCGCAAGTCAAACTGGTAAAACGTGTTTTACAAGACTACATGATACATTGTATAAGCACTGCAACAGGAAGACGTCTAGCTCTCAATTCATAAATGCTATTGACCCAAAAACAAGAACGCTTACGAGGCGTGCGTTCAGATGACCCCAATCACATACTCGTGATAATTGTCGAGCCACGATCGCTTATCTATACCTCGTCTAAAATAGAGTGATAATTTTGATACTTCGTTCTACTTAAATATACTTCTTCGTTATCGGGAAGAGCCATCACTTACTTGGGTTTACAATTCGTCTTGCAAACGAATACACTTGATTGAAAGAGTGGAACGAATCCACCATGACACATGAACAATATTTTTTTTATTATAGATTATTAAAATAAGCTTTTAATGTCATTTTATATTAGGTAAATAATACAACTAACTATTCATTGTAGAGTTTGATCGTCTGAACGCCTTATTTCAGGGTCTGCTGGTTTGAACTGTTTTTTTTTTGTGTGGAAAATTCTTTAATACATAGTGTTTCGGTTTTTTTCTCTTTCTCACATCTCTTCGTTCTCTTAGAATGATATATTATATCTTAAAGCCTTCCTTGATAAAAGGTCTTACTGTCGAGGAACCCTTACTTCCCGAGATAAGTTGGTTAAAACAAACAGACTCTTCAACTTTATAATACTAGTGTACTCGAAGAAAAATTATACCATCACAGTGATACGAATAGTAGTTATTCTCGGCGCATAGAGTACGTGTATTGCACCCAAGGTGAATAGGATTCGAATAGCATCAACGTTTATTCGCTATTTCAACATCTGCAGCGCAGAAATGTTTAATTGCCAATTAGCATTTCGCATAGGATTAAGATATTCTATTTCACTATGTGCAATCGATGACATTTTTTGAGACGTAAAATAGTCTAGTCTATGTATTATTTTAGCGTTAGCTATATAAAAAACAATTTAACTTTTTGGGCGCCAAAACCATCTCCTTTGTATAACCATACCAAAATTATGAACAGATTTTCATATAATAATCAAAATATATAAGAAATATTTGGCCTTCCGGTAAAGCCCGACATATAACGCTGTAAATGCTGAGACAAAAACCTGTCATCATTAGCATATAGGACACGGAGTAATGAAGAACAGACCGCAGCCTCTTCGAGCTGATTGCGAATAGGACTTCACCTAGATGCGGTGCTCTCCCCTCGAAGTAAATGTCGGTTACTACTTATACACCCTCTCGCAGCTGCAATGTAATTTACAAGGCCCTCCAATAAGGCAATGTTGACCTAAATTTAATATGAACTCTTGTGTTAGATATGTGAGAGTTGGACATAACCTCTTTATTATCGCTATTATCTATTCGCAAATAGTGTGATCTGGGCCCAAGCAGGCGAAAACTTTTGGCTCTCCGAGATTCAAACCTATGTAGGTTTGAATTCACTCTTTCACACTTACCGAATAGAGGACGTTCCCATAACATACACAACAAGTTAAGGAGGACCTTTTTTAAATATAATATTATCAAATCAAAATGTATTTTACATTTTCCTAATCACGTCTTTTATTTAATACGCCTGTAGAACCGCACTTATAGATGCATACAAATAGAATGATCGATCTACTAAATCCATTTGTTCAATTGTTAATTTTTATGTGTTAGTATTTGACGTTTTATTTTAATGTTAATCCAACCTAAACGGTTGTATCCAACGTCATGTAGACCGAACCATCGCAGAAAATCTGAATTTCTCAACAGCGAATACAGGTTGCATTATCATGAATACTTGAATAGTATTTGTACCTGCATAGATTTTGAGTAAACTATTGCTAAATCATATTCACGTATGCACTTCAGGATCTTAATGGAAGTGTAAAACGTGTGACTCTACACATATGGCATACAATGGCAACAACATTTAATGAATCTCTTTTTAGAATTTTATATAAATACGAGTCGTCTTAGTAAGTTCTGCTACTTGCTACGACCAAAAGATTCATAGTCTTTATTTATACTCAATGTCTCACATAAAAAGTCATTAGTAACTCTACAAAGAAGTCTATGATACAAAAAACTACACTCGTCTCCCCTATAAAAGCGAAATGAGAACATCGTTGAAAACAAAGAAAACATTTCATTCGAGAAGTCCCGGATTGGCTGTCGATTCAGACAATCGTTTCTATCGAGTATCGATTTCGATGTTATTAGCTCTTCATTCACTGCGTAGACATGGACATAAATGGTATACATAGTGACATCTTTTGTAAACGGTTTATTTTGGGTTCCGTACCCAAAGGGGGAAAATAAAGACCTTATTTTCCCCCTTAGGGTATTTGTCTTTGTCCCGAAGACTTTGTCCTCTGCCTAATAGACGGTATTCTACTGAATTGCGGTAGCTACAGTTACAAAATAAAATTAATACAGGGTTGCTCCCATTTTACAAACCCGTTTTTATTTTGATGAATTTATAAATAGATAGGAACTCCAATAGTTTACGTAGTCCATGATACGGAATCATTTGTGCACAAGTCCAACTCGCACTTGCCTAGTAATTTTTTCACGGTATTGCATGGCTTATATCAATAAAATACATATGTATCATTCTTAATAGTTAAAATAATATGACAATTTCTTTTTACATTATAGTACAAAAGCTATTGATTGAATTGGAATTGTCTAATAAAAAAACTTTTTAATACCAGCTAGTTTACTTTTTGCTCTAGCAGGTTGTATTTTCAGTTCAAAGCAATTACTCCAAAACATCGTAAGTTAAAAAGCGAGCTTTATATCCAATTAGTAAACCGCCTCACTCGAGTTTATTGCCTAGAAAAATAACCATCTAACTCCGAAGATCGGATTAATTAACGATCGCTCTCAACAAGCCAAATTGTTCTGATTAAAAAAAAGGATTAATTTGTAAAAAATGAATCTAACTTTAAATCTATGTTTCCAACAATGATGAAATATGTATCGTTGTTTGTTGATATACGTTCAATAAAACACCAGGGTCATGGGGGGGACCCTGACGACGGTTGCTTTAAAGCTAAACAATATTAGAA